TCGTAAGATACGCCATTCATAGGATCTTGGTATTTGTGTTGGCCATGTGTTTGCAAAGGAGATTGGCATATAAGCTTTCAACAGGTTTCCGAGTCAATGTCGTAACTCATACGGCATTGAGAGGCAGCATATGCCAAGTAATGTCGTAACTATCGACTAAATCATTCAACAGATGGCTTAGATGGTACAATGTCAGGGCGTTCATTTCAGAAAACGCAAGGGAGAAGGTACATCAGCTCAAGAAACGTTGCACTCAACAACACGAAACTAACCACTCATCATATGATACGCAGCCTAAACTACCCATCGTTGACATCATTATCATCGTCGCCACTGCTTCCGCTATCGCCGCCTTGGCCACGGCGAAGCTGGAGTTCCCGCCTCGTTTTCTTGCGCTTCCCAGCACTTTGGCCCGGTCGACGCAGCACAACTCGCTTCCCTAAGTTGAGGGGAATCGCTTGGCCGGCCTGAAAGTCGTCGTGCCAGATCTCAAAACAGGTTTTGGCAACACCTTTGTAGTCTCGGCGAATCCTGTTGCATAACCAGCAGAGCAGCGCTCGCAAAAGTAAGACGTTGCAAACGACTTCCTCTTGTCTGTACGCAAGAGCGCGCAGACCTTACAAGATCGCTGACGGCGTTTTTGGACGCCGCTAACGGTGACCCAATCTTCAGACTGCTGAACACCATGGGTAAGCCGGACCGGTGCGCGCCTTCGCTTCTGGCTTGACGGAGCTCTATCCCCGCAAAATCAACGGCCTTCAGCTGTAGAAGCTGGTTTTGAAGGACCGAAAACCACTCAGAACTCCTCATAGCTACCGTTTGCTTCACCTTGGCTGCCTCTTTGTGAGAGAGGTACGCATTTACCAGCGCGAGATCTAGAAAGCCAAGAAAAAGGCTTTGTAATACTTAGAAAACCGCGTCGACATCTGAAGCGAGTATGACTGGAGGCGGAGCTGATCGTGGCGATTGACTCCGCCCATCCAGTTCTGGTAGTCTCTCACCGCCGAAGGGCACCCGACCTGAATCGCCCCAATTCGCTTGACCTTCCTCTCAATTGTGGATGGCGTCAAAACGAAGCCAGTACACAGATAGTATACTGGCTTGCGATCCCACCAGAGGTACGAAACCATACTGGGAACGGCGACCGAACGCGAATATACGAAGGAGCCGCGGGGGATGGTTGCAGGGCGTGTCTTGCTTTTTGACAGGATCTCCTTGTTGAAGCCCAGGCGGTTCGTCTGAATAGTCCCAACCACATAGATTTGCATCTTTAGTAGCTCAACAGCAAGTATCACTGACGAGTAATACCGGTCAATGACGACAACATGCCACGGGTGGCGCCGCTCTGGAGTGAGGGCAAATTTCAAGTTCCGCACGACGGCTGCTGCTCCAGTTTTAAAGTCAACTCCAGTTTCACATCCGTCCGTGTTATTCCGCTTGCCTACGTAAACTTCAAACCTAGGAAGTTACGACATACATAGCAGTTAGGATCTGAAACACCATGTAAGCTACGACATTGAATAAAGAGCAAAAAAATACCTGTGATAGTACGCGGTCTTAGCGTCACACAACATAAAAAGTTTTGAGCCGTACCGGTGGGGCTTGTCAGACATAAACATACGGGTGGTATTGCGCCTCGACGTAGCAGGCAGGACCCCTTCATCGAACGAGAACGCCGCTGGGAGAGACCAGCCAGCCAAGAACCGCTTTTGGATCTTGTCAACTACGGGTCGCACCTTCCACAGCTTGTCGCGACCGTGGTCGACGGTATTATCTACGAAGTGAAGATCGCGTAGGATATCCTGACACCGATCTCGGGTCATGTACCTCTCAAATAGTCCAGCAGGAATTGGTCCGTCCTCCACCATGGACCAGTGCGCTGCGAATCGCCTTTTCTGCGGGCAAAGCATCCGAGCAACGAGAAGGCTCACGACATGAAGAATCTCATGAGCACCGTATGCCTGCACTGCCTTCAATCGCCGAGTAATTTGTGCTACAGTCTCACGGCGGCGCCCAGTTTGCCGTGCAAAAATCCTTTCCGCACGCTTGCCGACTTGCTGAATGTTGTAGCGGTTCGTCTCCGTAGTGATCATGACCCACAAGGACTTCGGCATGAAGTAGAAGAGGGTGAGGATTGGCGATCGTTAAACGTCTAGTATATAACCAACCGGTTGAGCCTCCTCCTGGCCCAATCCAGCGTAAGCAGTTGCATCCGACACATACTCACTCGAAACCGAAGCCCACTCCATTGATCGTAGTGTTTCTTTGCGCGTCTGTTCATCTGCCCTGCTCAATGTACTTCTTCCAACCTGCAGAGATGCCAGAAAAACTTCATCCATTTCGACCGCATCACCATCTGAGAGTACGTCAACCTCTTCGTCAATATCGTCACAAGTAGAATCGCGCTCGCAGACACCGACACCATCGCTCTCGTCTGAACTGTAATCTTCATACTCACTGCTGTTCTCCCCGTCTTGCAATACGTTGACGTCGTCGTTTGGACACTGCGGAACTCGAACTCGTCGTGCGCGCTCGGTAGGTACAGATAGGCGCAGAGCACGATCGTCGATCTCCTCACTCTCCAATCCTGACGCATCGGACAGCAAGTGCAGCCCAGCCGCGGCATCTTGCTGCTCCTCGTCGGCCAGAAGATCGCTCGGTGAGAGATTGAACGCTCTCGTTACAGCGCTCTGCGAAAGAATCACCTCGGGCTCGTCGGAGGGACCGAACATCTGCGTGATAGTATTCTGCGACAGCTGAACACTGGTGTCGATTTGGGAGGGCGTTATGTCGTCGCCATCGACACCTTCTGCACTCTGAAACTGCCCATCACTTCCAGCGTCCTCCTGGGCGTGTCCAGGCTCACCGATGCCCTCAACATCCTCCTCCGTAGTGTCCTCAACCAGCAAACCTGACTGGAAGGCGTACTCTACGACCTCACTCTCGCCTACAAACACACGAGATTCCTCAGGAGATGTATACGTCCACTGTGTCTGTAGTCCTGTCGGCCGCTTGGACATCCACCCAGCTGCCTTGAGTTGCCGCCATAGGTGCCCGAAGTCGTGTGCGGCCGAAGCTGGAGCGGCGGGTTTGTCCCGGCGACTGGATCGCTTGTACGCCATCCAGCAAATTCTCGAATGAGTGGACAAGTACCCACCTTCCATCTGGTCCCCTTCCCCTTCCCTGGTTTTGTTTCGTTTCTGAAAGACCTCTCGCAGCTTATATCTTCCAAAATACTTGATCAAAGTATTGATGAATCGCTTCCGAGCCATTTGCTAATTAATAAAGCAGTATGTCGTAACTTACGACATAGTTTTATGGCTATGTCGCAAGTTACGACGTTCGGAACCAAGGTGATAAAGCTACTACGATACTAGCCGAGGGTCTGTAGAAGCTCTGGATATAAATGTTCTGTGCGAACTTAACGGAAGCGAAATCTCCCTATTGCAATATTTCATCGCATGCATTTACGATTTTTGCATTTAAAGAGGAAATTGAAAAGTTCCCGCAATTTATTGGCAATGGTAAAAATAATGTTTATTTTACTTTCGTACCAGAATCGAGCATCTAACGTAATGCGATGCCACCTCTATCACAACCACGGGTCAAGAACCCCCCGCTTCAAACTACGTCAACAGAACCTAGCACTGTTTTCAGTGAGGCGAGACTGGTTCGAGCGATCCAAACGTTTGATTCAACATGGAAGAGACCGAGTGAAGAGAAGATTGAGAGGTCACAGCTTTCAGACTTGCTTCGTAAAGCGTTATGCACTTTTCTGGAAATTGCAGCTTGCTTTGACGTACCCGACTTGGTGAAAAAAGCTCAGCTGGAAACGGTATGTACTGCTCGAGTGCTTGGATGCTTAAAGCGGTTTGTGGCAGGTATGCCACCTTCCCTTGGCGAATGCTGTGACCGCAAATGTGAACAGCGATTAATCCAGCTAGCGCTGTTGAGTATTTTGTTTCGAATGTGCCGAGAACCAAAAGTGGCTGGTTACGTCGTACGAGAAGAGCTACACATGTTTCTGATTAAAATGATGCAGAATTCTGCCTTGAAAGCACGAGCAGAGCCAGCAACTCACAGTTTTGCTGACGTAGCTTTCGATCCCCATGATCTCATGATCACCATTGATCCTTTTGATTGGATCTATCTGCCTTTGTGTAGTCGCCTGCTGAAAGAGAAGAACCACGTCTTTGTCATCCCTATGGGAATCCGGTCCTTGGTCTGTTTACTACGTGGAATTGCACTACCAACCGACGAAGTGTCCGAGTTTGAACAAATGCGAGTGAGCAGTACCACTCGCAGACACCGAAAACTCCCGTCAATTTTTGCTTTCCCTATACATGAAGACGGTGGTGAATATCACAAGACAAGTCAACTAAAACGACGTAGTCTTTGCTGCAAGGACAACGCAACAGGAAGTCAACAGCCTGAAATTCGTGCACTGTGGAGCTTGGTACTGGACGACAATTCAAAAATTCATCTCGCCCTTCGATCACTCATCGCGCTTGGTATCAATCTTCCGCAACCTTCGTTAGAATACAACTCGCTCTTGCGTGAGGGGGACGACATCCGCCGTTCACTTCGGAAATACAGTCTCTTACCGCCTAGCAACCACAAACTGGAGAACGTGCTGTCATCGCTCAATGCTGGGAGAGGCTCAACGCGCACGGATCTGCTCCCATTCCAGCGTTTAGCTACCAAGAAATTTGCTTTGGCACGCATTGCTACCGCAGCACTGTCATTATTTGCCGAAGATAAGTCCACACAAATAGCTGCTACTTCGAAAGAGCAAGTGTCTACGGGTGGACGGAGAACACTCAGCCCGATCAGTCAGAAACGTGACTGTGCAAAGAAACAGGAAGCATTTTCCATTCGTCAACGTCTTAGCGCTGCGTCTGAGGCTGCACGTGTCGAGGTAGAAAGACGAAAGGATCATTATCGAAGCTCTGGCCTCGAGAGATATCGCCAGAGACTTGCGATCCGAAAGGCGTGCGACGATGTTGAACGTCTTCGGAGTCATTTAGTGAGTAGTCTAGGAATCTTGTGCATTGGACGACAACACCCCGATCCGCAGCAATCTTTTGCCGAGTGGATTAAGTCACTGCCAACACTCGAAACGCTTCAACTTGAACGCCAACAACAGCAGGAAATGCGCCAACGCCAAATTCTGGAGCAACAATACCAAAGAGAAGCTCAACGTCGTCATGAGCGAGATGAATGCAATATAATGCACGGGAACGACTACAACGTACCAGAAGAAAACGAAGTATCGATACGACAGCAGAAACATAAACAGTTTCTTAGAATGCAGGCAGAAATGCGCCAACTGGAGCAACGGGGTACAGCTGACAGCACCGTCAATAGAACCGAAGAAATGAAAGAGAAACGAGCCGCTCAAGAACGTCAGCGCCTGCTTCAGCTAGACGATCAACGGCGTGAGAGACGTGAATCGGAGAAAATGAGTCGTGAAGATCTTTACTATGTCGAGCGCATTTTACGAGCTAAGGCAAAGGCTAAGGAGGAGCAGGGGAAACGAGAGAGACGTGCAGATCATCAGAAGAATGCTATCGAAGAGCAGCAGAGACATATCACGCGAATGCGTCTGCTAGATGAAGAGAAACGACTTGCAGAGCGAGAAAGCAGTGGGATGAGACTCGAAGACTTGCTGGGTAGACAGATACGACTCCGAGAGGCTGAGAAAGCGAAGGAAGTGTTGCATAATGAATGGCGTGAGAGGAAGACAATGCAAGCAGAGGAACACGACTGTCGATCTCGTTGGATACTGCGGGAACGAGCTTTGATTAAACAGCAACAGGAAGAGCTGAAGCAACAGAGAGCTGAGGCACGGAGACGGAAGCGACACCAGCAACGAGAAGAAAGAGAGCTCAGAGATGCATGGACTGAAACTTGGGATAACGACGGCAACAAGTTTTTCTACAACTCCATTACCGGGGCGTCCCAATGGGAGGTACCAGACCAGCTTTGATACTTTATTGCTACAACGCTTCAACATATACAAACACCGACGTCTCTCAATCCTCGTCATCTGCTACACTGTGGTGCCGAGTCTAGGTATTGTATCTTCAAGAAATATTTAAAAATCTATTCATACTCTTCGTTAACTGCTCTTGCGTCTCGTTCTCGAGCTTGATCCCACTCTTCAAGACCTTTAACTTCATTCCAGTCGATTTGGAACTCTTTAAACTGTTCCGCAGAACCCCAATCCGACTCAGATGTCGGTATAAATGGTTCGAATTCGCCACTTGGGAAAATTTGGTCTACTGCAAAGTCAAAGAATTTTTCCCATTCTCGGACCGCTTCTTCATTTTCCGACAATTTCGACCGATTTCTCTTGATAAGCTGCGCCATTCTCTTGTGGAAGGCTGTATCGGTGGCCAACTTGACGGCTAAGGCCACATAGTCGTCCAATGAAGTCGCAATGAGGTCATTGATCCCCATTTGTCGATAGAAACCATACGTTATTCGTGAGGCCCAGAGCTCGTTCGGGAACGTCACTACTGGAACACCAGCAGCAAAAGCTTGCAGTGACGCACGTGGCCGTGTGAGATGAAGACTCGCGATAACAGCGTCTGCAGCCCGCATAAGCATCGTCTCCTGTTTTTGATCCACATCGGTGAGGAAGTGCAATCGACCTTGATCGACACCTGCAGCCTCCATACGTGCTTGTAGTTGACTCTTCCAGATCTTCCGACTTGACGTCGACAGAAGGAAGAGCCGTGCTGTCTGGTCCTTCTCAAAGAGCTTCACTACCGCAGCGTCAAAGTCAGGATGGATATGGATAATCGACTGGTTGAAAAGACATTAAAACAAGATAAGAACACTCGATAGCATCAAGGTAACACAGTTTTAAACAAACCTCGATGGCAAGGTAGAAGTGAAAGTCTGACGAAATGTCAAAGCGCTCTTCGATCGCTTTGCGGACCTGACCTCGATTGATGCTCTTCTTCGATAATGCTGGCAGCTTGTGGTAGATTCCCATTCCTCTGCATCAGAAGAAAAATCGTTAGCATCCCATGTATCACTGTGACAATAATACTATCGCCTTACTTGAGTTGGTAGATAGCTTCGGAGTAATGCGAACTGGCAGTACTGTGCTCGTGTTCGCTAGTGAGGTAAAAGTCCATTGTTGGCACACCCGATGTGTCAGCGTTGCCCCACCAGACCGCCTGAACTGGAGCCAGCCGAGCTAGCGACACGAAATACGTCGTTTTATCCATACCAAGCTGAGAAGATCACCATGGTTAAGCCACATTAAACTAGAGATTGGAAGAGGCAACTACACCAACCTCAGGGTAGATCAGCACATCCGTTTTCCACGCCCGAATTTCCTCTCGAGCCATGCGCACATCTTTCGGAAGAGCAACAATCTGAGCCATGAATTGACCGGTTAGCCATGGCCGGATACAGGTCAAAAGCTACTTACCGTGTCGGTAATCGCCTCGACTTCCTTGACCACCTTCATAGACTTGCTTTGTCCTATCGCGAAGACGATAATCTCGTACTTGTCTCGGTTGAACTTGGGTATCAACTCCGACATGTATAAACCCACAGCCGAATTGAAGATATAGCGCGAGACGAAGCCAACTCGCAAGCGTCGAGGACCGATCTACACGTGTACAATCGACACATTAGTGCAAACTAAGTTAGAAATACTATGCTCGGCCACTCAAGTTACCTCTGGTCTCTCTGTATCCTTCATCTGTTGAGTGTACGGCAGTGGAATGATGCCGTAGCTGGCCACATAATCTTCACGGATCAGCTGCCGCTGGTACAGTAATTGCCAATACAACTGGCCCATAGCTGCCTTGAGTTCGCGGTTGTTTCGGTTGTGAGCTGTCAACGTAATGGCGGTAGATAGAGAAACCCGATTGGGGTCCACCTCCGTCATCTCGAGCGAGTCCACTGGCTCGTATCAGTCGAAATATGAGGTTAACAACACCTTCCCAAGTAGCCACAACATTAGAAGAACTCACGATTGTGTAGCAAAGCCTCGACTTCAAGTTCAAAACGATCACGCCACGCGTCGATTTCTTTCTGCGTTGCAGGAAGCACACGCGGCAAAACTGTCGCTTTCATCACCATAATCCGCGTTCGAGGGTGGAAGCGGTCGAAGATTTCGTCGCCAAGAACCTGGTTGTAAAGATCAATACTTTTCTGTGGTTCTCCAAGCGCCTCCAACGTCTCGGCAAGGTTTAGCTACAATATATAACGCACAAACATGGTTAGTCTCGCAATATAAGAGCTTCACTTTGACTCCAGCTTCATGAAGCTTACTGTGCCTGCAAGAAGACCAAGCTCCGACGATCGTTGATATTCATTCCGAGCCGTTTCAAACTGACCAGCGTTTGCCAGTAAATTACCACGGTCATTGTGAAACACTGGCTCGTCCGGCCAGCGTTCCAGAGCCTCGTTTAGGCAGCGATCGGCATGGTACCAGCCGTCGGTGACGCGGATGAGCTCGCACAGCCTCCCTGTCGCATCTTTTGCCACATTTTCTGCCTTTGTCGGCTCCAGTTGACTGTACAGTTGGCTCATCGGTGTGCTCGCCACTTTGCTGTACTGCTTAAAGGCTTCCTCCCACTTCCCTTTGGCCTGCATGGCATCTCCCAGATTTACTGCCGCTTGGACCTGCATAGGGTTGAGCTCAATTGCGCGACGGTAATGCTTGATGGCTTCATCTACGCGTCCAAGAGACTTTAGACAGATCCCCAGCGAGTTGTGGAAATTCTCCTCGCTTTCGTTCGACTGCACTGCTTGGTTCAGCAAAGGCAGCGCTTTTTGCAGCTCTCCGTCCTGATATAGCGCCAGACCGAGAAGATGTTGAGCTGGTCCGTGATTTGGGAAAATGGCCAGCACGTAGCGGTAAATCCCAGATGCAGTTTCGCGATCCTGAGTCTTGTGCAGCTCTGCACCCGCTTCCAGGGCGTCAGCAACGCTCAAGCGGTCGTCAACGCCTGGTAATAGTATAGAGCCGACCGAGAACGTTCGTGTGGATAGCGCCACCATGTTGCCTTCGTTCTCGAGCCCGACAGTCAGAGCGTAAGAGAGACCTGGGATCAGCCCTGCAACGTGGAAGGTGGTGTAGTTCAAGCTCTGATCGAAGCAGGTCTCATCTATGTCGCCTGCCCCATTGTCAAGTACCACGTCGGGTGGTACGTAGGCTGGCTGCATCACGATACAGACCCTGGAGCGACGTAGACCGGAGCTTAGCAGCTCGGAGCGCACCTCGATCTCCACTTGCAGCTGTGTACCTGCCACCATCATATCGTTCAGCGGATGCAGGATCTCCAACAACGGGAGCGTGTAGTACGGCATGGGATCATTGAATCCAGGCGACAGCGCGGCAACAATAGCCACGCACACGCAGGAGCACAAGACCCAGAGAGATGAAGCCATCTTCCGAAAGTTGGAAGATACTGTAACCTCCTTGATTTGCATGGCTACACCTGTTTTTAGCCAATAGTAGTAAAGATTACTCTTTTTAAATACCAGTCAGATTGCGGAATTATCAACGGTTCAATGGCCACCCGTCACTTGTAAAGACGCAAGCTACCGTCGCTACGTTAATTGACTGCATCATGGCCGAGCACAACCGTTACGAGCACCCGCTGGTGAGTCGCTATGCCACCAAGGAGATGAGCGAGATTTGGTCGCCGGACCGCAAGTTCTCGACGTGGCGTCAGCTGTGGCTGGCGCTGGCCAAGTCTGAGAAGGAGTTGGGTCTCGCCATCACGCAGGAGCAGCTCGATGCTATGGCCGCCCACCTCACGGACATTGACTACGAGTACGCAGCTGAGATGGAGAAGAAGTTCCGCCACGATGTCATGGCTCACGTGCACGCGTTCGGCAAGGAGGCGCCTGTGGCTATGCCTATCATCCACTTGGGAGCTACCAGTTGCTACGTGGGCGACAACGCCGATATTATCCAGATCAAGCAGGGTTTGCAGCTTATTCAGCGTAAGATGGTCAAAGCCATTAAGGTGCTGGCCGACTTTGCGCTTGAGTACAAGGACATGCCCGCTATGGGCTTCACGCACTTCCAGCCGGCGCAGCTCGTGACGGTCGGCAAGCGTGCCTCTCTTTGGCTGCAGGACTTGTGGCTGGACTTCCAGCAACTTAATGAGCAGATCGACAGTCTGCCCATGCGTGGCGTCAAGGGCACCACCGGTACTCAGGCCAGTTTCTTGGACCTGTTCGAGGGTGACCATGAGAAGGTGAGACGAGGGTTTCGAGACTTGCTAAGTCTTACGCGTTGACTTATTATGATTTATTGTTGAATGCTTTATCAGGTTAAGAAGCTGAACGAGCTGGTGGCCGAGAAGATGGGCTTCAAGAAGGTCATTCCCGTGTCTGGCCAGACCTACACCCGTAAGATTGATTACTTTGTGCTGTCCATCCTGTCGGGTATCGCCCAGTCGGCCTACAAGATGGCCGGTGACATCCGTCTTCTTGCCAACATGAAGGAGATCGAGGAGCCGTTTGAGAAGAACCAGATCGGCTCTTCAGCCATGGCATACAAGCGTAACCCCATGCGCTCAGAGCGTATCTGCAGTCTCGCGCGTTACGTCATCTCTCTTACGGACAACGCTGCGCAGACCCACGCTGCTCAGTGGTTCGAGCGTACACTCGACGACTCGGCCAACCGGTGCGTTGTCTCTCTAGCTTCTTGCAGACCAATTTGTCTTCTTATTGCTGGATACTGACATCTATATATTTCGTCCTACAGTCGTATGGTGCTGCCGGAGGCTTTCCTGGCCACGGACGTCATCCTGAACCTGATCACCAACGTGTCGGACGGTCTGCAGGTGTGGCCCAACGTGATCAAGGCCCACATTAAGGCTGAGCTGCCCTTCATGGCCACGGAGAACATCCTGATGGCTTGTGTGAAGGCCGGTGGTGACCGTCAGGAGCTGCACGAAGCCATCCGCACGCACTCTATGGAGGCTGGCAAGCGCGTTAAGGTGGAGGGTGCTGCCAACGACCTGCTGGAGCGCATTGCCGCCGACCCTCTATTCAAGGCTGTGCACGACCACATGGACGCGCTGCTGGACCCGTCGCTCTTCATCGGCCGCTGCCCGCAGCAGGTTGAGGAGTTCATTAGGGAGGAGATTGCCCCCATCCTCAAGGAACACGCCAAGCTGCTTGACGTGGAGAGCGTCGATGGCATCAACGTCTAAGTCATGTAGTTGACGCCATGAAAAACATGTGATGTGAGTCACAGATGCTCCAGTTAGAGCAAATTTCACGAATTCTCTACATGTAGCAGAAAATTTTCATTTCATTTTAGAAATGCAGTTTAACAGTTCAATCTAGCCTCTATAAATATATAGTATAAGCAATTTCACAGGCTATTGCCGGTGGCTCCCTTCACTTTCACCAGAGCCGCTCTTCACATACTAACGCCATGTCAAGCAGCTCGTCCAGTGGCTTCTCGGACGAGGACCTGGAGGCACCAGCGCCAAGTGCCGCGACCCCGCCGGCCACGGAGCTGAGCCATGCGGTTGAGCTAGCTCAGATCTGCTCCTTCTGTACCACGTTCCGCCAGCCATTGCGCCTACCGAGCTTCTCTCGAACGGTAAGACGTCGTTTAGAGCTTCCGGGGTGTTGAGTCGCTAGAGGAGGCTTCTGAGGCGAATCCTGGGCCTCAGGGGCCACGGGGGGAGTCGTGGAAATGGCCACAGATAGCTCTACATCTCCGCGACGTCCTCGTATCCTCTACACTTGGGATTTGTATGCAGGGCATGAAGGTTTGCCCCCTCGACGTCAAGGCTCACCCAATGTGTCATACCTGTTACCATCGATTCCAGGACCTCCAAGAAGCCATTCTCGGCGTTTCCAACGGCGATATGACTAACGTAAGTTGGCGATTATGCTACTGCATTGCGGTGACGATTCTAACGAGCGTTGTGGCGTTCTGGTGGTCTCTCAGGTGGAATTGTTGGCCGAATTGCACTTCAAGTTGGCTCGCGAACACCCGACAGCGAAAATGGAAAAAATGTGAGTGCGTTGTTATTGCCAATTGGCGACGAGGCCGTACAGCCAATGGTTGTGTCTACACTCGTACTGATGCGCTTTGGTGTTGATTCACAGGGTGCAAGATTGGGAAAAGACCTTGGCTCGCAAACTGCAGGAAAACTGGCGCAAGGAGTTCACGGCGAATCCCATGGGCGGAGGCGTGTCGTATGCACAGTTGACGGTGTTTGAAAGGGTATGGTTGCTCGTTTTCTTAAGGGGGGGGGTCGATGTTTCGTGCTGATAGTATAGTTACCCGTAGGTGAAAATTCTGGATGCATTGTGTCATTGGAAACTTGACACGTGTGCGGAAATCCACAAACATATTGCGAATTTGCAGAAAGAAAACGACAACGAGGGCATTAAGCGACTGGTAAAGTGGATAATTGTCATAATTTTTTGTAGCGTGGTCTAATAAAGGGGTTTGGTAAACATAGCGAGCAGGGGAGATCGGAACGGATGATGAGGGAGTGTCCTACTGGTATTTCGATGATGGATGTTGGATATATGCCGAAGACAAGCCACGGTGGCAGCTAGAAGATCGGTACGACACGAGTCATGGTGCATCTACAACGTCTGCTAACTACCCTCTGTTGTTCTAGAAAACCGTCGTATATGGTGGAGTTTGCAAGCGCCAAACGAATCCGATTATCTATTAATTTTGACCCGGACCAAGACTCGACTGCTCCACCGCTGCGGTTGCCCGTAAAAACTGTGGCTTTCGCTGACGAAGTCAAGGAGGAGAAGATGGAGAAGGTCGAGATAATCCAAAACTTGTCGGATTCCAAGGTCAAAAGCGAAGATATTTCTGCCGAGACAGTCAAAGTGCAAGCGTCAGTTGAGCTGGCGAAGACGGAGAGCGAAGAGTCGATGTCGGTCTCTATGGCCAAGGAGGTTCCCATCACTACACATGGAACGAATGCTGCTGTAAAAGAAGAGTCATCACCTATTGTGCAGAGTCCGCCTGCCAGGAGAATGGACATCAATGCGCTGTGTGCGTCCGTGTCTCCGTTGAGCGAAAACGCCGTCCCACATCAGTCCAATGGATCTGCTCGGAAGCAAGATGCCGACTACGTGAGTAAAGCGGAAGGTGTGGCTACTGTTTCCATTACGAGTGAAGCATCACGATCGCTGAGTAAAGCGCAGGAAGACGTGAGTTTATCGCACAAGAGTGACAAGAGTACGGCCTTGAACGAGAAGGATGGCTCGATTGCTAAGAGCTCAGGAAAGGAATCACCAGTGAAGAGTAACGAAGACAATGCAGGTGATCATACTCACCCATCTGTAGTGGCTGTTGTGGGCTCCAAAAAGCGTACAATTATCGACGACGACAGCAGCGATAGCAGCAGTAGCGATGTCGATACCTCGACGGAGAAGAAGGCGGCATCATCTCCGCCACCAAGGAAGAAACGCAGAGCGAGCATTGAGAATGCCAATAGCGCACCTGCATTGAGCTCCGAAACCAGCACAGATGAATCCATGAAGCCCGTTAACACTCAACTCAACGGGACAACGACCTCTCTAGAGTCCGTAGGCGACACTGTGGCTACAGAAACGAGTCCAGTAGAGGCTATCCCTGATAACGAGTCCACGATGTCCAAAGAAGTTAGCTCCGCGTCGTCTAAAACGGATACTAAAGCCAAAGAATCGAGCACTTCGACCACAGCACCGAAAGACACCAGCAGTGAAGAAACTGACGCGAAGAAGCCCGAGGAGACAGCAAGTCAAGTATCAGCGTCAGGTGCTGCTTCTGCGTCACCGACGGACCCAACTGCAGCCCCGGAATTGTTCGACATTACTTGCGAGAGCTGCAAAAAGTGCTATGATATGAGGTACGTGGACCCTCCGTTAGTGGAGCGACCAACAGAAGAGTGGCGGTGTTTCGAGTGCCTGGTGAACGACGCTCGCGGCTGGCCTCGTCGACGGAAATCCACCCCTAGGGAGCCTTTTTCTCCGCGTGATGAGGATTCGTCATCTAGGAGACGAAGCTCATCGACAAAGTCTCGTAGTGGTTCTTCATCCTCGAAAAAGTCAAAGAAAAGCTCCAGTAAAAGCCGTTCCAGCTCCTCCTCCAAGAAGAAAAGCAGCCACAGCAGCTCGTCCAAACGCAAGTCGTCGAGTAGCAAGAGCAGCTCGGGCAAGAAATTGTCGTCGTCGTCTTCAAAGAAGCACAAGAAGCGCAAGTCGTCGTCGTCTTCGCATCACAGCAGTCACGGTCACCATCGAAGGCGGCACCACTATCATCATGCGGAATTTGCCAAGCTTGTTACTTTGTTCCGAGAGCGACAGGAACAGCGTCTTGGTATTGAAGAAGCTCGCATCAATGGAGACCTCCAGATGGCTTTTGATGAAGCTCCACAGGGCTGGCGTGTGGTTAGCTCCACGCTTGAAAACTTACGAGCACTGATTGAGTCGCTGTCAGGTGGATCTCTGGAGCAAGACCGACTGCGAGGACGCCTTATCTTGATCATGAAAGAACAAGAGAAACAAGAAGAGCAGCGACGGAAGCAACAAGAACTTGCGTGGAATATTCTACCACGACGGCAGTCGTCTCGCATAGCGATCGGGAGAATGAAGAACCAGTCCACGCAGGAGTCGGACGTAAGTGTTGTTGCAGCTGTAGTTCTGGTCGGTTCATGAGTGCTGATTGGTGCTTTGCTTACAGGCCGAAGACAGATATTCTGACGACGACGTGGAGAGTCGACGTCCCGGTTTACGGTCGAGAAGATCGCCCGACGGTGATGGCAAGCAAAAGCACGACCGGTGCGCTCTGGGGTTGTCTTCGAGGGGGATATCCCAGCTACTAACCATGTCGTTACTTGTTGTCCAGAGCATGGCGGGCACGTCGACGACGTCAGGGTTCGGATGATGAGGATATCGATGATGAAGATGACGAGATGGATAGCAATGGCGGCAATTGGATCGACTGGTCTCTCTTGAAGGTACTGCAAGCTTTGATACTGTGGTCTGGAGTTGGCTAACCCACTTTGATGTTATTGTAGGGCAATACTCACGCTCTTTCGATAGTTTGTTTGGCGCTTATCAACCGGTTGCTGAAGGAAGAAGCGGCGGTTCGTAGACATCTGACGCTTGTGGTTGACTGTCGCTGACTTGTCGATTTGTACAGGACATTTTCTCTAAACCGGTGGACCCAGAGCTGGATGGCTGCCCCAATTACTTGTCTGTGATCACCCATCCGATGGATCTCGGTACGATTCGGTCGCGTGTGGAAGCCAAGTTCTATCGGGTACGACCTAGAGCTGCTGCGATGCTTCATTCCTATTCACAACACCTCACTTTTTTCTTGTTCTCTTGGCCAGAAATGGAAATTATTTAAGAAGGACGTTGAGCTGGTGTGGCAGAATTGTCGCACCTTCAACGCTCCCGACACGTTGGTAGTGCAGTTTGCCGACATGCTCTCGAAGCTGTCGCGCTCCATGTGCATCACTGCAGAAAAGAAAGGTGTGGATCGGATGAAGGACAAGAGGAGTGACGGCGAAGAAAGTAACAACGACAGTGACGATATCGTGAGCGACGCGAGCAAAACAGAGTCTGCCAACAAAGCGTGGACAGAGAGCAGTGCGTCAGAGAGCAGCGACTCCAGCAATGACGGGTCGTCGTCTAATAGGGACAGCGATAGTGAGGCAGGTGGTCGCAAGCAAAGACCATCGCGCTCGTCGTCAAAGAAACTGCACACTCGCTCACGACCTACAAAGCCCAGTCGAACCAGGAACAAGCGAAGTAGTCGGAGTACTCCGAGTCGTTCGTCCAGGAAGCGTCCGGCGCCCACATCAAGCAGTGAAGACGAGTCTTCAGCTTCAGGCGACGAGGTGTCTTCTCCTGTTCGGAAGAATCACCGTCCCGCTCGAGGGTCAACTACCAAGGCTAAAGGCAAAACTGACCCTCCTACGGAGGACGAAGACTTCAGTGCTGACGAAAAGGCGAACACGCGGCCCCCTCCACCTCAAAATGGCGCTCCGTCACCTTCTCCGCCACCTCCGCCACCCCCACAAGTGGCTCAGAAGCGTCCAAAGCCACGACTTATCATTAATGATAGCTCCAGCTCCGACAGCTCCGATAGTGACGGGAACTCGTCTTCGTCGTCGTCCTCTGACTCAGAGGCGTCCGATAGCGACACACGTCCCGCGATTAAGCAGCCTCAGCCACCTGCAGAAGTTCCTGCGCCGCCTCCAACTTCGCCGCCACCTCCTGTCGCGTCGCCTGAAGACAGTAAGCCTCCAGAGCGATCATCCCCCAAGCCGAAGACTAGTGCAACTCAAGGAAAGAAGACGAAAGCGCCTGACGCATCTTCCGGGTACACGACACACTCGCCGGCGCTGTTGAATTCGTATCTCTCGCCGACTTCGTCGTCGTCGTCCGACTTTTCTTCGGGTGACAGCGAGTCCAGTGATGGAGACAGCGACAGCGACTGAGTTTTGGTAACTCTGGATGACTATAGGTAAACATCAAACAGAGGTAAACTGTGTGTAATTCAGATGCTGTGCTGACCATGTAGAGCAAAAAAAACACAAACAACCGCCATCAATTCACAAGTGTTGGCATTTCTCGTCGTCTACAACGTTCCTTTTACCAGAAGTAGAGCACGTATAACAAGAGCACGAAGGCTGCGAGGTAGCTGAGGTTCACCTTGCTGGCCAAGAAGCGCAAGTTGAACCGGAAGCGCACGAATGGACTAGCAGGGTCCACTTCCAAGTTGTCTTCCAGTTGCTTGCCATGGTACGGGTTAACGAACCCGAACTGCGCGTTGAGCCATGTGGAGATTTTGTAGGAGAGTCGTACGAGCCACGCCACCTCGTAGGAACAAATAGGACTGAGCATCGGGTCACCAAGGTACTCGGCAGTGTCGGGAGAGCACAAGCGCATTCCGTACTGCAGCTGGAAGACACCTTCACGAGAGAGCAAGTGCGGCAGGTCCTTGTCTCGACTAGGTGCGAACGACTCCAACCCGCTACCTGTAGCAGTAGACGACGAGCGAGAGTGAGCCGTTGAGGCCACATAGGCGTCTGAGATCTCGAACACACGTCGTAACATGCGACTCAAGCGCTGAACCTGCTCGGCCACCTTGTCAACCGTCTTGGAACTGGATGCACGGAACACAGCACTCACATTGTGGTACAAGTCTGCAGGAGACGAGGTAGAAGACGTCGCTGCGGATGTCACTGCAGCTTCCCACAGCTTGTCAAAGAGACGTTCAGCGTCGCGATGGAAACTCTCGTGGAGCGGGACAGGCGTGCATTCGATGCCTAAGGACTTGCAGTAGAACGTCAGTACATGTGCTTGAGTAGCCGTGAGTGCATCGCCCGCTGTCGACTTGGATTTCGACGAGGAACCGAAGCTGCCACTACGTGAACGTGCAAAGTTGGAGCTGCGGTTGAAGCTGAAAGGCATGGCGAATGGCTGCGACTTCTCGAGATGCAGCGATGCTCGACGCAGTAGAGTCAACAGATCGGCGTTGTACACACTCAACACACGGTCGACGATCTGCAAGTTGCGCTCGTCACCTGCAGAGAAGTCCAGCTCCTTCGCACGCTCCACAAACGCACCTAACAGCGTCGTGTAGAAGTGGTAATTCGCCAGTACGTAGCTCTCCCACGCCGATGTGTACCCTGGTACTGTGTCTTGACCTGTTATCGCTGGGTCCTTGGATTCGATCCAAGATCGACAATGCCACGGCTGGATATACGCGAGCCAAACATCCGTAATAGCCAGAAACGCCGTCGGGGAGAGTCCTATAGGAGCCCGAGAGAACACAAGCCGGAAGAACGCGTACAACGGAGGACGCAACATCGTGACACTTCGACTCAGATACACTCCTCCACTCCCGACGACCATTCCTCCAGCGCCAGTCTGCGATCCACTCGAGTCTTCCGCCAATGGAGCAGGGAAGAAAGAGTCCGAGAGCAAGTGAGTTATAGTCAGCAGCAATGAGCTCAACAGATCATCGGACGGCGCCATGTAACTTGTGGACGTGTATACCGAGGCAAATGGACTCGCTGGCATATTGGCTGGCGGTGGTGGACGAATGACGCCCGGAGCAGCAGTTGAAGCCCCCACAGGCTCATCCGAGATCGAAATGAGGTTCTGTCGCAGCCAAAACTCGATCAAAATGTGAAGAAACAGGTTCGAATCCTTGAGGAGTTTGCCGTGGAAGCGGCTCTTGACGCCGCGGTTGCTGTCCGGCAGGAAAGCTCTCAGATACTGCAGTAGCAGTACGTTGTATGGGTTTCCTCTTGTCAGTGCTGTCACTCCGTCCTTCACGTACATTCTCCAACCAGACTGGCGGGTCTTGGCAGCTGTAGACGTCGATGTCTTGGAGCCAGAGCTCGACTCCACCGCTCCGGAAGCTGTAGACGTCGTGGCTCCACTTGGATGTGACGAACTCGCTGGATGTCGTAGGAAATAGAACAGATACAACTCTTTAATGGACACGAGCAGCTCCGGACTGCGTAGATCTAGTCGCTGCTTGGCCAGAGGCTTATGTAGCAGCTGCGTGAAGAGCAGACTGGCCCCTCGACCACTGGCAATCGACATCTTGCTCTGTTCTGGCAGCATATCTAGCGCCAGTTTAAATTCCACTGGATGTTGCACTCGAAAGAGGAACTGGAACACCGAGCCGTCCTCGGAGCGCACTCCACCACCCAATAGCTTGACGATAGCGCGCCCGCTGGTGGTTAAATTGGACAGAAATTCGTCTACGTCGTCCTCATCGGTTGCTACACCCGCCGCCGCGCGCTCGCGTCTCTGCTCGGCGCGTTTCTTGGCTGCTTGTGCAGCAGCTGAACCTGGAGCGGGCGTCACGCCTAATCCTGCGCTGTAGTCAAGCCATCCGCCGTCTTTTTGCTTGGAGACCGTGTCGAGACCGAATACGCGGTCCAGTAGCTGGTTGAACCGCTCGTAGAAGACGCTACGCAACTGCGCAGACTGCCGTTTGGCTGCTGAGCCGGAGGATAAGCCTGCTTGCGTCTCGGCCGCAAGATATCGACGTAGCGCCTCAGCCACGACAGGTACATCGTATGAGTTGAGTGCTCGTTCGAAGTCGGCATCTGACTCGCTGAATGTCAACGCCGAGGACGTGGAAGCAGCGGGTGAGGCGCTGGCATTGGAGCTGCCGGTGCCGGATGAGGACATCATTTGATATTGGTGCTAAAGTAAAAAAGGTTGGAGGAGCAAACTCGGACTAAAAACTAAAATCCCATAACGATACTTATTTTGAGTCATGGCTACATAAGTTGCAGGCCTTACTGCAGCAGAACACCTTTGCCTTTAAAGTAGAGAATGCCTACAATGGTCATGACCAGGAACAGCGCAATAGTGACGATGACGACACCGAGGAACCAGCCATCTGCAGTTTCCAGTCCGGAATGCAAATTCATGCCGAAGACGCCAGCGATGAAGGTGCCGACAGACAAACTGATGACCACGATGGAGAAAATGAGGTCTACACCGAGCAAGTAGTTTCGCATCGAGTCGAGCTGCATCATGACGAGACTTTCTGTGTTCGAAATGCGGTGTTGCATCAGCTCGGCCTTGGTACGTGTGGAGAAAATGTCTTGGAGATAGTTCTCGATCAACACCTCGATCTCCTCCGAGTCGATGCTCCAGAGATCCGACAGTAGGTTAGGCTCGTTGTACAGCCTCGTGAGATACAGCAGACGAAGATCTTCTTCGTTGTCCAGTAGCACCATTAGTGCTCGACGCACACCGTCCACTTGCGCCTCGAACTCGTTTATAGTATTCTTGAACTCCCGCAGTTTCTCGAGTTCTCGTGCGTTCAACCCTCCTTGCATCAGCCCGTCCAGAGCACTGACAACGACGGGAGATAACTGGCCGAACTGATCCTGAAAGTAGCGCGAAAGCGTTGCTAGTAAGGCTTCGACGGCTCTGATAAAAGGTCGCAATATTTAGTCTCAAGCGTGGTCCTCCAGGTCGATTAATCTAACCTGAATTCAAACGGAGCGTCATCTTCACGCGCAGTTTCAGCGAATTTCGTCTTCAAGACGGACAAGAGGGTATCTGCTCCGTCTGGAACATACACGAGGCACACATCTCGCATCACAATGGCGCGCAATGGATCTATAAACCAGCAGAAACTTGTGAGGGGGCTGTACTCTGTGTAGCAATTGTTCAGTTCTTACCAGCACTGATCAGGATTGCTTGCTTGCGAGTGACAATTCGAGGCTTATTCGTCACCGAGAACGCGTTCTCCATCTTGCGAATATCACGCGAGTGAACGCGCTGGTACGTGAAGTTAGATACTGCTGTGAACGATGACAGGTACTAAAGATTATAGCAAGCGTACCTGAACACCGACAGTGTAGAGATCTTGTTGACCGGCTTGTCGATTCTGCTGACCAAGTCTCCAGATCTTCCCAGCAATAGTAGAGCTACTACGTCTGCGCATTGGAGGTGGGGTCATCTTCTCCATTTCCGGTGTAGCGCCCTCTTCAGAAATGACCTCGTCCTTTGGTTCTGCAGCGTCCTGCGTCATTCGTAGCACTTCATGACGACTCATTTCCTTCATCGTGGGTCTCCCCTTCCGATCGAAGACCATCATCAACACTCGACCGCTCTTCGCCCCAGGATCAAATTGGCATCCGAATTTCTTGAACGGACCCTGACTTGAGCCACTGAGCTCGACAGATTCCGGTGACCGCACTTCGACCATGCGTTGGTACGTCCCGTACGAAGTTGAAGGGCTGGCATACTCGCTTGACAGCTGACTACCGAGCAGCCGAGAAGGAGATGAGTCACCTTCGATGTCCGAGAATTCCAGAGGCTCCGACATTACAACAAGGTGGTTTGAGTTATAAGAAGATTCAAATACATGATAAGGTTCACGTCCCTTTGACGGACGGCTGTGGTAGTTTCAGCGAAAAGATATGGCGGTTGGGATCACAAGGGAGGCTCTTTTCACTTTAGGATGACGCCTTTGTGCTTGAAAAACAGCACGCCACCGCCCATTGAGAGGATGAAGAAGACGACGATGGCGGCGACGACGCTGAAAAAAAAAAAAAAAAACCAGTAGTCTGCGGTATCCACGCCAGAAGCCAAGTTCATGCCAAACAAACCGGAGACCAAGGTGCCCACCGCAATGTTGACCGACAGGAGCGAGAAGATGAGCTGAGCTTTCAGTAGATAGATTCGCTTCGAGTCGAGTTTGAGCGTCACTAGACTCTCCGTGTTGGTGATCCAGTGTTGGAGCAGCTCGGCAGTCGTCCGAGTGGAGAAGATTTCTTGGAGGTAGTTTTCAATCAGCACTTCAGCTTCCTCCGAGTCGAAGCTATAGAGATCCGACAAGAGGTCTGGAGTCTCGTAGATTTTGGTGAGGTAGAGTAGGCGAAGGTCTTCTTCGTTGTCCAGCAACTCCATCAACACACGACGCACTCCATCCACATTAGCCTCAAACTCGTTCATCGTGTTCTTGAACTCACGTAGACGTTCAAGACGGGAGTCCAGGTTTCCTCGGACGAGGTGCTTGAGGTCGGATACAATAGCAGGAGAGAATTGATCGTACTGAGCTCGAAAGTATCTTGCAAGTGTGGCTAGCAGCGCCTCCAGTGCCCTATGCACAATACGTAGCAAACCAACGCGAGGTTTACGTTTACCTTTCCATATGAATAAAATGAACTTGTAGCACCAACCTCAATTCGTATGGTGCGCCGTCATCATCACCAGCTTGCAGCTCAAAATAGTGTTTGAGCTTGGATAGCAAGCTGTCTGCTCCATCGGGAACGTACACGAGGCACGAGTCTCGCAGTACGATAGCACGTAGCGGGTCTAGCCCCGTGCAAACCCAGGTTAGTGGTATGTAAAGCTACGTAAATACTAAAGAATTTGTACCAGCACTGAAAAAAATTGCCTGCTTTCGAATGGACGGCTCGTTGGATGTTGAGAACGAATTCTCCATTCTGCGAATGTCTCGAGCTGTTGTTTATGAGCTAGAATAACGGAGTCGGAACGTCATGGACATAGCACGGTTACCTGGACACCACACGTTGGTGCAGGTCCTGACGATGTGACCTTCACAGCTTTTTGAACCCGAGGCTCCGCAGCTTGTTGTGTTACGCGCAACACCTCCAGTCGATCCATCTCTTTGAGGCTCGAACTACCACCGTTGTCGAATACTAGCATGAGCAGCTTCGTTGTCTTCTTTTTGGCAGGATCAAACCGGCAAACGAAATGGTCAGATGTGCTGCAGCCACCTCGATACACCAGATCAACATCAAGATCAATGTGGTAGCTTGACGTTGGGCTGATTTCATGACTGGCAGAATTCATGGCGAAATAGTGGAAAAGCGACCAGTATCTATGCGCTGCAAGTTACGTATCATCACAGAAGAAAAACGAGCAATGGGGAAGGCATGGCAGCCACTGGTTGCTGCAGCTAAGCCTTTTAACGCTACGCAGTGTTGGCTGGTTGTTGGTTGTTGGTTTTTGCTGGTTGTTCAAAAACCATGGTTTAACCAGGTCCAAAAACCAGTTCAACCACTACAACCTGGTTTAAAACTGGTTTTTGTACCGACCAGATTCAAACACTGCCAAAATGTGCACACTTTGTAATGTAGCCTTAAGGTTGAAATCAGTTAAGATTTAGTGCTCGGCAGCGTTGCATCCTCGACTTACTGGTATTGCTACACGACACGAGATCCTCTGCAACACTCTCTTTAATACGAGCAGTATGGGCAACCCCGCCAGTGACGAGCGCCTCGAGTTTGCCAATCTTGGTGTCGATTGCGGAAACAACAGGACTTGGCACGTTTGCAAGCACTGTGACCAGGTATACAGGAATTCAAAGCAGATTGACGGGACGTACAGCCTTCCGGAACCTAAGCGAATAAAGGGACGAATCGAGAATTTCAAAAGCCACCTCAAGCGCTGCCCAGCCTACATTGGCTATGTCCAAGCCAACACGACTTCCAACACGCCTCTCGAATACGTCGGTAGCAGTAACGAAGTTGCTGGGGAAATGAGTGCAAAACGACAACGGACAATCGATGAGTTTTACGTCGGCATCTCACAGGCTGACGAAATGAAGCTTTTGATACGTTATATACTTGAGTTCCAGGCAGACAATAATCTCCCTGATAGTTTCATTGAGCGACAGACCACTGCTCGGATGCTGCGCCATGCGAACAAGATGTCTGGTGGAATTGACCCTCTTCCGAAACGCAAGACGTTCGGGGGACCAATACTAGATGAATATGCTAAGGCTTGTGAAGACCACGAAAGTTCAGCTCTGAGCCGGTGCCAAGCCAAGACAGGAGGCCGCGTGAATTTCTTATCTGATGTCTGGATGAACATCGCACGAGCTCACTTGCTGGGCTGCCAGTTGGCGTTATTTGGAATAGTATTGGCCTACGGACTTTTACCTACTGGTTCCCGTCACGATGGGGTAGCCATAGCTGAACAAATGGAGAAGGTGATGATAAAAATGCAGCAAGAAGGCTGGAAAATTGGGGCGGTGGTTACGGACAATGCGGGACAATGCGGTAGGGCGCGCAGGATCTTAAGCCTTCGCTGGACAGAGGTCGCTTTCGTCATTTGTTTCGCACACGACTTAAATAATCTGGTAAAAGCGGTTCTCAAGTCTGACTACGCAGAAGTCACCAAGAAGGCATCGGATGCTGTCAGCGCCCTGAATTCATCTTCGGCCAAGTGGCTCGTCGAAGCCGATGCGTGCATGAGGGAAACCTATGGCTACAGCTTAAAGGTGAAACAGTTGTGTGAGACGAGATGGAATAGCATGCATGGGTGCTTCGCATCTCTGTTGCGAATCCGAAGTGCACTGGAGCTACTGGAGGTCAAGTTCAGAGATGTAGCAGATTTTCCTTCGGTATTACGGGTATTTGGAGAAAAAACGTTCTGGGATTCGGTTGAAGACGCCGAAAACGTTGTCCGCCCTCTTGCGTATGCATCGCTAAAGTTACAGCGCGATGAAAACACAATGGCCGACGTCGTTGTGTGTTACCTCGACATCTTCACTGGGTTTTCAAAGAACCAGTACGGGAGCGAAAACCTTGTTCGAGAAGTTGAGAAAAGATGGCGGCAGTGTGAGCAACCTCTTATGCTTCTTGCGCTCTTCTTACACCCTGCACACAGACAAGCGGCTAAAGCGATTTTAGACAAAACACCACTGACCTCAGTGTGTTCACTTTGCCGCATTGGGATGTATTACTTCAAGCGCTTCAACATTGGCAAGAATATGTCAGGATTGTATGAAGATTTGCACAATTGGATCATGAATGACGATGTCATAGGGCTATCGTTTGTTGACTTCAGCTCAGTTGACGCGTACTGGAACTGTATGCGCTCCGAGATGCCACGCAGCAAGTTGCCAGACCTCGCACTGGTAATTCTATCTATTGCTGTAAATACAGCAACTTGCGAACGTTACTTTAGTGAGCTAGCTCTCATTCACACGGCCAAGAGGAACAGGATGTCGCCAGATAAAGCACGAAAACTTGCTTTAGTTCGGAAGAAGGTACGTGAGTACAACGCCGGCCAAGATGACGCGAAGACATCTAGTAAATATACACGACTAATCGACCCCACAGAACGCACACGCCTCAGATATCGCGATGATCGCTTCGAATGTCTCGAGCCTGAGGTGGATGCTGAAGATGGGAACGTCGTTGGACCTGACACTGCGTTTGAGTACTGGCAGGCAGTACTTTGCGAGCTCGAAGATGACGACGATCCCCCCGTTTTCGATACTACCGCTGCCGCTGACAATACAGGATCTCCGTTAGCTGCAGCAGCCGCGTCATTAGCAGAAGAAAAGCGTTTTGCCGCAGTCCTCGAGACGATCAAAATCCAGTCAACCGACCCGATTCCAGAGGGAGACCGACGTCCATTTCCGAGACACAATGACAGACTCTTTCCTCAGGAACAAAGGTTTCCAGGATTGCGCGGGCAAAAGGTGACTTTAGCTGAGCTGTCGAAAACACCCAGCACACCGTTGGCTCAACCAGGTAGGTTCGTTATTGCTTTGACGAATTTCAATAAGGTGACACATTCTCTTTTGCACGCACAGTATGGCACTTCGCAAGTCCACAGCCATTTCGGCGCCGTCAGTAAGTGCCCATTATCATCTCAACTGATAAATGCTGCGAGAAGGCGCGCAAGCCACCAGTCACGACGTCTTCCAGCTCATCTGCAAAGCACCGAGCAACCGTCAAACCACCCGAGTATTCCCTGTGAATTGTACTTGCTTCAACTTCTGCTTTGGCCTGAGCTTTTGCAGATAAAGTAGCTGTGCCGCCACTCAAAGTGAGCCACAATAACAATCCTGTCACAAGACTCATTTTTAGCGGACCTGGTAAGAGAACTGTGGTGACGAGTGCGTCCAGTAGCACCAGCAATAGGAGAAGAGGTTGAAAAGTCTCACGTACTTCCCTTTGAGCTTCTGAACTTGGGTTTCCAGCCGGCGATGATCTTCCATTGAACGTGCTGCTCGTTCACTGGAGACAACCGCATGGCGTTTTGCATCGCTGTAGCTATCGACTTTATCAAGTGATGTTCCGACGCACACTTTCTTGTATCTAGCCATTGAGTTCATTTGAAACGATATTCCAGAGCTGACGTCACTGCTGGAAAAGTATTCCACACGATGTTCGTGATGTAGCAACATTTGCTAGAGCAAGAGCTGTAGAAACACTGTACGCTCCAAATCTCAGCAGTGCTTGGACGCCATCCATCCCTGATATCCCTTCGTCATCAGCATCTTCGCGTCGGTCAAATTGCGTTAACAATTGCTGGAACGCACTGTCATGTAACCACAGCAGATGACCACGACAACGTTGAATTTCATCCTGGTGGCTTTCGTCATCAAGTAAACAATCAATATACACCATTTGAGCTTCCTTTACTAAACAATGGTCCTTGTTGACACGATACACCCGATTCGCTCGATACACAAAGCTACACAAGCAACAAAACGGCTGAAGAACATCTTCTTCTACCAGTTTCCTCGCAAGTACCGACGCTTCGCTCTCTGTAAAGTCCGCTGCACTACCATCTCCAAGTAAAATATCCTCAACGTCGCATCCTCTTACAGCCGCCGCAGCTGTATCGCTCTCCGTCGCCGCTACCAGCATCTCCACTGCCTGCTGCATATCCAGCAACAATCCTTCGCTAGCACTAGCTTCATCATGTCCTCGGCGGTACGTTTCCTCCCAGTCCTCCGCCGAATCCGTAGCCAAAGTTTAAACCAGGTGTTGATCCTACGTAGCCCCCCCCCAAAGAGCAGCATACTGAGCTCCACACGTATGTGTGAGACATCCAACGGCTCATACTGTGCGATGAGAACCAATGCGTTACGATCTTCTGGTTAGCTGCGCGTTGACACTGCTAACTTCAAAGCGGTTCCCACTGATGTCGACGTCGTAATCAATAGCGTCAAGTAGTCGAAGAACCTTTGATCCAAGTCACTCCAGCAAAGGCAAGTTCAGCCTCTTGACCACAAGACGCACGGCACCGTTGGTTGACCCCGAAAGAGTCACGCGACGCGGAGCTGGGGTCTCTCTCTAGCCAACAGAAACCTCTTTGAGCACAAAAATGCAATTAGTCAACCACACAACTCTTACAAAAAACCAAAGAACCATGAAAAACCAGGTGGTAGAACCAAAAGTACAGGTGCTTTGGTTGTTCTGGTTTTTGCAACCACTGGTTTTTCCAACACTGCGCTACGGGGTGAGTGTTGGTGCTGGATATAAAACCACATTCAGAGTGGATAAATGATTACTGCATGATTCTTTTAACAAGATTGGCATTTTTAAAAAGTCTCATAATCACCGATCATTGTCAAGAAGAGTCACTATTTAACGACTGAGCATGGATAGCAAGTTGTTTCTTCATCAGAAACGAGCACTAGGCGCACATACGCAACAGCACGCAACAGGTTTAGTTAAATGGAGACGAAAACGTTACTGATATAAACCACGACGAGAGCAGATTTTTCTTTTGCAAGCGATAAAAATCTCTTGAATACAAAAACAACTTTCCCGACCCGGTAATTACTACTTTTGAAGTATAATCGAAATCTTGATCTCGCGGTCACAATAGAGGGAGTTAAAACCGATCTCAAGAAAAAAAGATTAGCTTTTGATTCACCAACCGTCTCACGAAGAGATGTGTTTTTCGTTCAATAAGAGCAAAAAAAGGGTCGAATTTCCCAATCACCCAGAGTTGAAAAGCCCATTCACAATCGAGTCCTATATTCCTACCTTCCATCGCTTTCGGCAGCGCTTCTCGCACACACCCGAGTCCATGGAGCGGTACCAGAAGCTAGAGAAGATCGGTGAAGGCACGTATGGCGTGGTGTACAAGGCTAAGGACCGCGTGACGGGTGAAGTGATCGCCCTCAAGAAGATCCGCCTTGAGGCCGAGGACGAAGGCATTCCCAGCACGGCCATCCGCGAGATCTCGTTGCTTAAGGAACTTCAGCACTGCAACATTGTGCGCCTGTACAATATCGTGCACACGGAACGCAAGCTCACGCTTGTGTTCGAGTACCTGGACCAGGACCTCAAGAAGTATCTGGACGTCTGCGAGAAGGGGCTAGAGAAGCCCATTCTCAAGTCCTTCCTGTACCAGCTACTGCGCGGCATCGCCTACTGTCACCAGCACCGTGTGTTGCATCGGTGCGTCATTTTGTCTCAGTTGTATTGCCTTTGAGGCGATAGAAATGGAAGCTCACTGCTGGTTTCCTGCTGTACCAACAGTGATTTAAAGCCGCAAAACCTGCTGATCAATCGTGAGGGAGAGCTCAAGCTTGGAGACTTTGGTCTGGCTCGTGCGTTTGGCATTCCGGTGAGAAGCTACACGCATGAGGTTGTGACGCTTTGGTATCGCGCTCCCGACGTCCTTATGGGATCACGGTGAGTAATTTAAAAGTTATGTCGATTGCGATGACATTCCTGATTTTTTTTAACACACTTTTTAGGAAATATTCAACTCCAGTTGACATTTGGAGCGTGGGCTGTATTTTCGCTGAGATGGCCAACGGAGGTCCGCTATTCGCTGGCACGTCGGAAGCGGACCAGCTCGACCGCATCTTCCGCCTGCTGGGCACACCAACTGTCGAGATTTATCCAGCCATTGTTGATCTCCCGGACTACAGAGTGAGACCTTGTATTTAATCAATAATGGGTCAAGCATGCTGAGCGGGTTTATCTAACCGTGTTGAATGACCATTTATAGCGGGACTTCCCTGTGTATCCGGCGCCGGAAAACTTGGCACACCTCGTGCCAACACTGGACGCAGATGGTGTGGACTTGCTGGAGCAGATGCTGCAGTACGACCCGGCAAAGCGAATCACTGCTGCGGATGCTATGGTCCACCCGTATTTTAGCGACCTGTCCCCGGCACTTACTGAGAACCAATGAAACATGGAGCGGTAGCGCACATACACACAAAGGAGACTGGTGAAATTTGGCAACATCCTTCTGAATGATAAGCTGGTGTGGATGGTTGCTGTAGTAGTTGCACCTGTATTTCTTGTCCGAAAACACACCCACGTGCTGACGAACGAGCGAGGATTTTGCTAGTTCGACCGTGGTCTGGTCTATCAAAGCGATTACTGCCAGTGTTGCAACCTCCTCATTATCGGGAACTTTGTTTTACTTGAGCATTACTCCTTTCTGTTTAAAGAAAATTATACCAGCATACGTCGTGGTGATGAAGAGCACAACAGTGAAGATGACAACGCCCAAAAACCAGCCAGATGCGTCTGCCACGCCTGAGGTGAGATTCATACCGAACACACCGGAGATCAACGTGCCGACGGAAATGTTGATCGATACAAGCGAGAAGACGAGCTGCACTCGAAGCAGATAATTTCGCTTCGAGTCCAGTTTCAGCGTCACCAGACTCTCTGTATTGGCAATGCGATGTTGCAGCAGATCGGCTGTCGTCCGGGTGGAGAAGATATCTTGGAGGTAGTTTTCAATCAGTACTTCAGCTTCCTCCGAGTCGAAGCTATAGAGATCCGACAAGAGGTCTGGAGTCTCGTAGATTTTGGTGAGGTAGAGTAGGCGGAGGTCTTCTTCGTTGTCCAGCAACTCCATCAACACACGACGCACTCCATCCACCTGAGACTCAAATTCGTTCATCGTGTTCTTGAACTCACGTAGACGTTCCAGCTCGTGTGAGTCCAAGTTGCCTTGAACCAGGTGCTCGAGGTCGGATACAATAGCGGGAGACAACTGATCATACTGAGCTCGAAAGTATCTTGCAAGTGTCGCTAGCAACGCCTCCAACGCTCTGCATAACGACAAGCATCCTTCAGTGACTGTCCATGCCGGGTTTCAATAGTCGTGATCGATGTTTTACCTGAACTCGAAAGGAGCCTCTGCATTGTCCCGTGCATTAGTCAGGAAGTCCTGCTTGAGCATGGAGATCAAACTGTCCGCTCCGTCAGGAACGTAAACCAAACAGGCATCTCGCAGAACGATCGCGCGCAAAGGATCTACAGGGATGCAGCGATGGTTAATACTGCAGTAGTAAATAGTCACAGGACATTCCATTATCGTACCAGCGCTAAAGAAAATTGTTTGTTTGCGAAGGATAATGGACGGTTCGTTGGATGCTGAGAACGCATTCTCCATCCTGCGAATGTCTCTGGCGTGTACGCGCTAACAGTAAAGCAAAAGTCAGCTCAATGCTTAACATCGCCGCTTGAAGGATACTCGCACCTGGACGTCACAGACTCCATCTAGCCCTGGTTGAGCCTGTACATGTCCACTCGCTCGCCGACCTGTTCCTGGCCTTCGGTATTGAGACGGTTTAGCAGGAGACTCACTTCCAAGCTTTGCCGCTTCTTGTGTCATGCGCAGCACATCCAGTCGACTCATTTCCTGCAGAGTCGAGCTACCGTCACGAACGAACAGCAGCATTAGCAGTCTTCCTTTCCTCGTCACGGGGTCGAATCGACAGAAGAATTTGCTTGGAGAGTGGGAAGCACTGACTTCACTCGTCTCCATTGGTGTGATGTCAAGGTCGATACAGAACCTCGATCTCGGGCTCATGTCATGTTCGGATGCCGTCGTCGCCATAGCTGCTTCCATTGCTATCGCTGGCTGCAATACAGCACTGGAGCTTGACATCTTCCGTACCATTGCGGGGACGGAGAAAAATATGCCTTAGACGACCAAAATGTAACGACCACGCATGGCAAGACCAGAAAAAACCTGCAACGTCATGAAGAACCATTCAACGGCCCGTCTCACGCAGAAGTGGGTTCAATTCGAGTGGTTGCTGCGCTTGAGATCTGCCTTACAGTACTTGTTGAAGACAACAGTATCTATTCATCAGACTACGCTACGGGTTACACAACCTTCCAAGGCGATGGGTACATTGTTACCGTTCTACGTCCGGATCTGGAAGCGTCCAGCCTTGGTCATCGTCCGCACACCCTTGTAGGGTTTGTACTTCTCGTTAGTGATGAGCAACGTTTCAACGTTCAGACCGGAGACAGTAGACATGGGCACCTTGAACCCGAGCACCACAACAGGCTTCTCGTCGGGTACTGACGCACTCTGATGAAGGATGATGTTGCCTCGAAGCGACGGATTCAGCACCTTCTTGCCCAGTTTGCCCACATTCCACTTGACAGTCTTGGAAGCCTCGTCGAACAGACACGTGCCGTGCTCCGTGTTCACATCCACTGTACGCACACTCTTCGGGAACGTTACCTCGACTGTAACTTCTTCGACTTGCAGATTCTTCTTAGCATTCGAGTTGAGTGTGGGCATCCCGCGTGTGCCGATCACCAGGTCCAGCGTACCGCCACCTTTGTCATTGTACGCGATCTGTGGCTGACAGTACACAGGCGGCACGAGTTCTTGAACCTGAACACGGTACTGCATGAGTTCGAACTGTCCATCAGGCGGCACGAACGAGATGACTCGTTCACGTTCGTATCTCGAGTACCGCACACACGGATGGAACGAGCAGTCGTCGATCACCGAAGGATCTGTAAACACCATGGTGAGATCTGGGACGCCCGAGAGGCGGCTGTTGCTGTGGATGACGCCGTTCACCTCGCACGAGAGCATGCGACCGGATACGTCGATGATGGTGTCGATTTCCTCCACAATGTCGAAGTAGATTTCGTTCTGCGTGTAGCGCACACCACTTTTCCGCCACGGGATGTTGGAGATGGCGCCGTCCGGTAGTGTGTTGCTTACACGAGACTTGCCGGACACCATGGCAGCGATGCGGTTTGCAGTGGAGGGAGGAGCCACCATGGCTTTAAGAGCGTTAGGCTCCGTGGTGAGTGGGTAGCCATTGTCCAGCATCTCTTCCAGTAGCTGGTAGACTGTCGAGAAGTTGTCTTTCATGGAATTCTCGTCGAAGTTGCCGAAATAGTCCCGGAAGACCGCGAGTACTCGGTGTAGGAACTCGATAACGAACAGAGGAGAGATCTGCATGTATGGGTTTTAGTTCGGAGGGTGGGAATAAAGCTCGGCAGAGTTCTGACCTCGTTGGTGACAACTGCAAGCACGAATAGGTCGTCGCGGAAGACGCTGACCAAGTAATACTTGCTAGTAGTGATAATAGGAGGGACATCCTCCCGCTCGCGGTACTTGTTGACCTCCTCCATGAAGAAATCGCACACATTGCGACTCGTAATGCCACGCCAGTGCTTCTCTATGATAACCTCACTGTGGCAAACACATATAGTTAGCGATGATGTACATGCTAGAGAAGGATGCGGGGATGCGCACCCGGTGGTGGTCATGATGAACATGGACTGGATCATGGCGCCGCGCTTGTATTACGGCTCAACGCGTCGAGTCCTGCCAAAGTGATGTGGATCTTGAGAATCAAACATGGTCTGCACCACACCACTGTTACATAATTTAAATAAATCATTTTGTGATTTGCATCAGCCAAAATCGAAGCAAAAAAGTTGCCTTGAAGTCAGAAGTTAATTGGATCGTGCAAAAAAGTATCGTTAACAGCCTCGTTGTCTGCCTTGCTGAATCGTGCAAAAAGTATCGTTAACAGCCTCGCTGTCAGCCTTATTAGCCTAATCAGTCGGCGCTACAAGTGCGTGGATTCTTGGAGTCTTTGTGATAGCGACCGGTGAAAAGAGGGGTTAACTCATTCGGAATCCTCGTATTCCTTGTCATCACGACCCTTGACTTGCTTGAGTTTCTCCTTGTCTACCTTGTATACGCTGCCGCCGTTGTAGCCTGCGAACACCTTGGCGGTGATTTCCACCTGAGCGTCCTTCGGCACCAGCTCCTCCGGTATCGGGATACGCTCCACGATTTCAATACCCTGCGCACACGAACGTAGATTTAGTAAAAAGAGTGACATCCTTGCTCACACTGAGTAACACCCGCCTTACCGACTTGACAATGGCGTCGTACTTCATGTCGCTCATCGATACGAACTTGTCGATCTTGGTGATGCCAAGCCAGTGCAGAGCATCGGGCATTAGCGCTTGGAAGCGCACATCTTGGATGCCAGCCACAGTCTGAGTGCAGTTGAAGTACTCTTCTGCGCTGTCACCGCCCTCTTGGCGCTTACGCAGGTTGTACACCAAGTACTTGGTCACTTCGCCCAGTGCGCGACCTTCCTTGCGGAAGTACACGATGATACCGGCTCTGAAAACAGACAAATCCACGTCAATGTCTACTCGCTAGCCTCTGTATTCCCATCTTCCAGTAGCTCACCCTCCCTCTTGCGCTGTTTGCACACACACTTCAATGCCGTGGGCAAGATACGGACGGCACGTGCAAATGTCCGACCCGAACACATCAGAGCCATTGCATTCGTCGTGCACACGCACCGCCAGCTTCTTCGTGGGGTCCGAAATGGCCTCAACAGATCCGAAAATGTAGATCGTCAAGCTGTAGAAAAAAAAAAACTCAATATTTGGTATCCATGCACTTCTTCATCAAAAATGACGAGCTTACCCTCCAATTGGCGGCAAAAAGACCTTCAGATCGTTTCTCGTCACGAGCTCCGGATACATGCCGTTGGTCTCCTGGAATATCTGTTGACGTAGATTGGCCTCAGTCGTGTTGAAGCGCTTAGCCACTCCAGGGAGGTACCACACTGGGTCAATGGCAGCTTTGGTGATGACGAGTTGTGACGAGTTCTTGAGGATCTTGCCATCGGGCTTCAGTCGACCGAGACGCACAGCTTCGTGGATCTCTGGAAAGTCCATGTGTGCCTTGGTCACGGCGATGGTGGGACGGATGTCGTATCCCTTCTGGTAGTGCTCGGGGAAGGCCTCCACAACGCAAGCACCGAAAGGATCGATAGTGACGATCTTCTCAGGGTCCGCCCACGACGGGTGGGGGCCGATCTTGGCAGCAGGTGTCGTGTGGGTCAAGTCAGTCTTTGCGTTCTTATCAATGGCACCCGAAGCTACTGCCAAGCCGCGGTAGATGCAGTATGAGCCACCGTGAGCGCCGATGGCGTTACGATACTTATGGTGGCGATTGGTACCGATGATCGGCCCACGGACATCAGGCTCCTTCTGGCCCCACTACTCAACAACAACCGTTAGAGGCATGGTTTTGCTATTGTATTGAAGGAGGAAAATATCTTACACGGATGCGAATGGGTTCGACGCCGAACTGCTCGGCGTGCGACGTGAGCGAGACGTAGAACTGGTTCGGATCGAACTCGTCCTTCTTGCCGATCTTCTTTACGTCGTCGGCTGTCAGTTGTAGACGCATACACACGTCAGTAACAAGATCTCATAGAGCTACAAGATACTATGTAGTTGCCACGCACCATCGATGGATTTCTTGCGCTTACCCAGCGTCGCCACTTTCTTCATGCGGGAAACTTTGACGCTCGTGGTGCTCATTGTGGTGTTTTTCTTTACTGGAAGGCTGCTGGAGAGGAAGACACGAGAGGAACCACTTGAGCACTTGGACGCAAATTACGTTGTGAGAGAGAATCTTGAGCGGAAAATGCCTGTCCGTTTGCCTCACGGAAAACCGACGCCCCCCTTTGAGAATGGCGACTCAGATGGCTCTTCAAGTTGCGCATTTGACCTTGTTTTGTTCCGAATGCTCACATTAAAGCGCAGCGATTGGCCGAAAAGAGCGCATCATTAAATTGCGGCAGTTCGCATTCACTGATGCAGCAGAGCGAATTTCATTCCACATGTGACCACATCGGCATCATGTTCATCGCAGTGTGATGATCAGGATGTCGATGGAACACACACGTAAACGAGCTGATTTTGGTGCTTCGTAAAAGTGTGCGTCTCTATATCGTTTAACCTGGCGTTTTTCTAGGTACCGAAGGGTTCAGTCGATTATAACATCGTTTGTGTAAGTGCTGTTTACTAAAGTACTTGTCAGTGACAAGTTGTCACCTCATGACTGCACGCTCGCGCTAAAACCGTTAAGAAGAATCTCATACGAGTAGAGGAGAACGAGATCTAAAGGTTTGTTGGAGGAGAAGTTTAAGGAGATCAGTATATTTAAGCGACGGAGGACCACCAAACGTGCTAGTACTGTAGTGACTTGTCTTGAAGCTCTTGACAAAGTGAGCGAGCCATTCCCACGCTTACGCTGTTAATTGCAGGATATCAAAGGCAACGTTTGTGTCTCAAATCAAAAAGAGAGTTAGCATTTGACTGATGCTCTATCGATTACTGGTACTCGTTTCGCTTGGATGCACACCCCAGTGGTGCATCATTTGTAAGTATTAATACAAGTATCGCTTACTTCCTCAGACATGAACTGTAAATACATTTGTTAGCGTCACCAAATACATGTATTATCTCGAAGGAAAAAACTTCACAGTAAGCTTAGAATGAAGAATCTGACTACCTTACCGGTAGCAACCGGTACGCATTTAAAAATTTAAAAAGCCGGCTACTGATTGGCTACTATCCAAGAACTTTTTCAGCTTAATGAATCCAAGTCAACTGTGTCCCTCCAGTGCTTTTCCCCCAAAACCGAACCGAAGACGAAGTGGAGCACCTTCAGGCCGCGATCTACCTGCATTTCAAGGCTATCGATCGCTTCTCGGCATCTCACCCACGCCCATCCTGTCCATAGCACGCGTCAAATTCTGTTTCCTTAGTCTCTTTCCCCTGCGTCCTCCACACGCCAATAGTCATGTCATTCACCCGAAGGAGCGTCCGAATCAACAATGAGAACGAAATGCCCGCAGATCCAGCTGCTTCTCGCCCCGGAAAGGTGCATATAAATAGCCGTCATACTTCAGAACATTTAGGCTCAATCTTGTGTCTTTCTTATGCTCTGCAGCGTCAGATTCTGCGAGATGCGCAGGATGACGGCAACCCCGAGAAGCGCCCGCGTTTCATGAAGTCACAGAGCAGTACAACCACAGCAGGACCCCGCAGAACTGCTCTAGGAGATGTGACCAATCGTCGCTCCGCTTTGGGCGATGTGACCAACAGGATCAACGTACGTTCTGTGACTCAAGAGAGGTTGTAGTGCAACAAGTGAGGTGACAATGTATTATGCTACAGATCAAGAAGGCTACTATGAGCTCCATGAACTCCTCAGTCTCAAATGCTGGAGCGCTGGCCAAGAAGAAGGTCATTGCCAGTAAGCGCAGTGTCAGTAATATCAACATTGGCAGTCGCACACTCAGCACCGCCAACGCCAACAAGCGGAACCTCAGCAACGTGAATCTTACCAGTCGCCATGCCAGCGTAACAACCAGCAGTACGTCGTCTCTAAGCAGCCGCAGCTCCTCGTCGATCATCAGCCGGATGAGTCGTCCGCTTTCTTCCACAACCAGCACCTTTGGCTCTCTGGGACGAAAGGACAAGATCTCATCAACTGTCAACATGACCCCATCCACTCCAGAAGAAGATGAACATGACATTGACTCGGAAGACAAACATGACCCGACTACGTGCTGGCAGTACGCTGAAGACATCACAAAGTACCAACTAGAGACGGAGGTAAGCGCGTTATGTATGGAACCGGCAAGTTCCGAGTTGTTAAGCTGATCTGGACGGTGGTTATGTGTAATTTACAGAAGAAGCGCAAGCCTAGCAGCTCGTATATGGCTCGCCAGTCGGACATTAACTCTAAGATGCGTGCAATCCTCGTAGATTGGCTTGTGGACGTGCACTACAAGTACGGATTGTTGCCGCAGACGCTGCACATCGCTGTCCTGCTTATCGACCAATACTTGGAGAAGAGTCGGTCGGTTGGACGTCAGCGTCTTCAGCTTATCGGTGTGTCGGCTATGTTTATCGCTGCAAAGTACGAGGAGATCTACCCCCCGGAAGCCGAAGATTTCGTCAAAATCACAGACAACGCATACACTCGCGAAGAAGTTTTCCAGATGGAAGCGAAGATGCTGGCCACGATTGGCTTCCGAGTGACTTTCCCGACTTCGTACCAGTTCATGAAGCGGTTTATCAAGGCGTCTCGCACGTGTGACGATCGAGTGGAGCACTTCGCTCACTACGTCATTGACCACAGCTTGCAGGATTACAAACTCATGAAATTCCTACCGTCCACTATCGCCGCATCGGCAGTGCACATTGCTCGGACCCAGATGAGAGATGCTCCAGCTTGGGTACGTCATATGTGGAGCGTTATCTCCATGTTATCAGTGACTGACATTGTGTGTCTTTGTGTGTCTATTGCTACAGTCGTCGACGTTGGAGTATCACTCGTCGTACAGTGAGCGCAGCTTAACGCCTTGCATTGACGAGCTGAAGGAAATGATATGGAACTCTCACAACGGAGTGGGGAAGTTGGCCAAGCTCACTGCGGCGCGACGGAAGTTCAGCAAGGAACGCTTCATGGCAGTGGCAGCCGAGCCTCTTGCGTTTAGTAAGAGCGCGTAGACATGCTCATCAATCAAGCATGTACTCTTATGTATCAATGCCGATGAAGCCGCTGCGATCTGCCGGACGCCAATGACGAATTATGAACCTGATTATAACAAGAGCGTCTACAGTACAGTAGGCTTCGCCAGTAGCCATTTGAGGCACCAAGCATTCGTCCAGCGAGCACCGAGGCAATAACGTGTCGTATCCATATACTTTATTCTGTTCATACGCACGCGTGTAGCAGCTAATGAATGAACACCAAACGATAATACATGAGCGAAATGATTCTAAGATAAAAGCAGAACTGCAGCTACCTCTATCGCTTAGTCCACACCGAGGTCGTCCTCGTCTTCTTCGTCACTGCTCACATCTAAAGCTGAAATCTCGTTCGCAAGTCCGTCAGCGATATCTTTCGACACTTCCTCGTCTTCTCCAGTCGTAGGAAGAGTCGAGGACGCAGTAACTGGTTTCCTCTCGACTGTCTTTGGCTTGGATTCGCCCTTCGCTGCAGGTTCTAGTTCCTTTTTAGCCTCAACTGCCTTCACTGGAGCAGCCGGAGTCGGAGGCTGCACCACTGCGCCGTTCTCGCCCGTCTTGGTCTCCTGCTCAGCAGCGAAAGACTTTGCACGCACCTCGTCCCAGTCAGGCTCGTCGCCTTCTTCATCACGGATCAAAAAGTCCACAAGCTTGTAGATCTGGTCGCCAATCTCTTCGTCCGACTCCACCAAGTGAGCATCGCGGATAATTGGGTACACTTTCTTGCGACGTAGCTCCTTACGGCCGTTGCGGGTCGTACACAGCAGTAGTAAGCAGTCCACAGCAGCAAGACGAACTAGTCTGTCGTGCTCACGCTTCTTCTTGTCGCCTTGGCTGTACACAACCGGGTTCATCCCCATTTTGTCGTCCTCGTCGAGCTCTTCCGGGCCAGCAAGCAATACCATCATGTGCGTAGGGATGTCCAGCTGATCGTAGAGGTAAAAGTGGTTGTCTGTGTCAAAGCACAAGTTCTTCAGCGCAGCGGTGACACCTCGTCGACGCACGACATTAGGGGACTTAAGTTGCGGTAGGAGTGCACCTGCAAGAGACGTGCTCTGACGCATTTTGAGCAGGAAATCACGGCCCTGTTCGAGCTGACTGATGTTGGCCAAGATGTTGGCAACATACTGGTATTCGTCGTCCCATTTGGGCTCGCCGGTGGAGCTTTCCACTCCATCGGGTTCTGGTTCTCCTTCCAAGAACGCGTTGGTAAGCGTGCGGATCTTCCTCTCACGCAGAGCAAGCGTGGTATCTGTGGCCTTGTCGTCGTAGCCGAGAAGCGCCTTGGCACCTTCGGGCGTTGTGGTTACGTTTGCCAATAGCATCATGGAATAGTCGGTGAGGCGCCACTCGGAGTCTTCCACTTGGGTCATAACACGGTTCAATAGGTCGTACTTAAGTGCTCGCTCACAAGCCGCTGGGTTGGCTGCTGTGAGATTGATAAGCGCCTTGATAGCATCCTCGGCAATGGGGCGCATATCGCTCACGACGCGGCAAAGCGCTTGTACTACGTCGAATTTCTTGAGCTGCAGCAACTGGAACATTCCCTGATCTGAGGCCGTCATGTTGATGAGTAGACTGGACGCCGACTTGCGCAGCTCCGGCCGCGGGTGCGATAGGAAGGAAACAAGCTCCTCCACGGACTTAACTTGCTCTGCTGTTGCCTGCTCCGCCATGGCCAATGTATCAATCACTGATGTCTACCTGATACCAAGCGTAGATTGAATAATGACCACCAAAGTGGCGTGTCAAGCTTTATGTCCGAAGAACAGCCTCAATATTTCTCTAAAACGGCCACAAAAAGGTCAATTAAAGACGGACATAGTGAGATGGTTTTGGTGCGCCACATCACAATCTGTGACGAGCTTTGTCCTACAATTTCGACGATGGAGGTGGCTTTGAAACGCATCGCGGAGGTTGTGCGTCACACGCGTGGATGTGTGGTGTCCAGCGCGGTGGAAGCTCGCTCGATTCCTGAAATGGGTGTGGGGATTGTGGCGCGCGAGCACATTCCAAAAGATACGCTAGTTTTTAAAGCTGGGCAGGACGTGTGGTATCCCTTCTCGGCCGAATATGCATTGGAGACTGCGCAGCAGAAAGCACCAGGCTTCCTGAGCCAGTTGGACCAGCTACTGGCGTCCAATAAAGCACTGAGAGAGGGCTCATCTTTCGTACCTAGTGCGCTGGTGCTTGGTGTTCACATGCTGGTAAACTTCCCGCATGCAGAGGACCCCGATGGCCTTTTGATGGCAATGGCGAGTGTGGACAAACCACCACTGGACGAGCTCTATGTGAGTGCTTTACCACGCTACGTAGATCTACCCTTATACTGGGATGACAGGAAGTTTAAAGAACTACAGGGCTGCGAAGAGGCACGTCGTGCGGTTCAACATGGGTACGCGAGATGGTAGCTATCTAGACCACGATGCGGGACTTATATTGTGGTGCAACAACGTCGTTATTGTAGAGCGCGATTTTACTCTCAGGTGTACCAACACCTTTTTGGCACCAATAACCAGTTTGTGAGCGCAGAGGCGTTCTTTTGGGCCATCTCCATCTTAATGTCACGCGCTACGTCTGGTCAAAACCAACCGTTCGCCCTAATTCCTTTCTTCGACTGGTTTAACCACGCTGACAACGGGTACGCAGCGAATGTTATGTTATTTTTCATTATTTTTGATAATACTAACTCGGTCAAATGCTTTAGTGACGAATGCGTTCAGGAATTTGACCCCCAGAAGGGCTTTACAGTACACACCACCAAGGCATACGAACCGGGCGAACAACTTTATATCAACTACGGAAGCCATAGCAATCTTCGACTTTTGCGCAATTACGGCTTCACCACACCGAACAATCCGTACGACGTCGTCACTCTACCGATGCCAATAGCGCTGCAACAGCCCAATCCAGCAGACCCCGCTTTTCTCCAGAAGCGCGGGCTGCTGCAGTCTGCTACCGGCAGTCATTCAACCGACATACCTGCTCTGAGAAGCTTAAGGTTTAATCATGATGGACAACTCGCTCCGAACGCCGAGCACTGGCTGGAAATATTACTCGCGACACCAGAGGAATTGAGCGAGATTATCACGCAGGCTGCGTCGCAGTCGGGAGCAGCAGATTCAACCATTTCTCTTGCTCTTCCCATGTCATTGAAGCACAAAGTCCACTCTGAAGTTGGCAGCCTGGTGACAGCGCGGTTAAAACAGCATTCTTCCACACTCGAGGTACGTAAAGCCTGCGTTGCTGAAGCATTTTAAGTCAGAGCTGATCACTGTGGTTACGAACAGGAGGACGACGCGTTCTTACGAGCTAACGACCAGCAAATGGCCTCGTGGTTGCGATCATGTCTACACATTCGAATGGGTGAAAAGCAAACGCTGGAAAACGCTGCGTCTAAGTACGCTTAGTCAACGTGAAGATGTCCTTTGTGGCTCTCATAGAATAAATTGTGTCGATCCAGCATTTGCTTTAGACTACTGTTGCGTTTGTTACCGCTACTTTACCGCATCTTAGGCAGGTTGGCCGTGCACCCGGAAGCGATACAGGCAAGTGTACTCGGGATTACCATGGTTTGACAGCACCTCCAACGTAATACCATCAATAGCAGAGCGCTGGCTCTATAGCGCATTACAAGTCAGAACTGCACATTCATACCAATCTGTAAGTAAGAGAAAAACGTACCAGAGACGACGTCAGCTTGAATGTCTGACTAGCTGGTCCATTACTTGCGTAGGAAAAGTTTCCAAACGAAATAAGCTCCACCGTTTCTCGCAATGGGTGACCCGATATGCCCTAGAACAAAGGATCAAGCGTTAGTACAATCACGTTGAGCACCAACGCAGCCGTCTTCGTTCACGAACCAGAACACGGAACTGGTTCGGCGCAGAGCTGAAGTCGGATGCGATTTGTGCCGGAATGTGGTCGATGGTGATCGCGTCAGCAACAATCTGTTGCGCGAACTTCACTGAGAGGCGGCCAGAGGAGCCGGAAATACCCCAGCAACTTCCAATCTCCATCGTCTCCTATTGAAAATGCATTATCCATCAGCCAATGCAATACGAACCAGAAGATACTGAGAGCATACCGATAGTGCAGTCTCCGGTCGACCATTATGGCGTGACAGCCACCACGGATTCTCTCCGGAAGATAACAATTGCCCCAAGAATGGGGCCGGTGCACGACGGTAAGAAGGCGACGTGAATCTACTGTCACCGTCGGAGTCGCTTAGCCCTACAAGTTGGGCCAGCAGCTGCACAGGAGACGAGCTGTCTTGGTACAGGAGATCGCTACGATGGCAATGACATGAATAAGTTAGTAAAATATCCCTGTTGTTGTAAGCAGCTCACCGCTCTGAATGAATCACCGAGGCTCCGTTCGCAAGAGCAGCGTGATCCACACGTCCTGTTTTCTTGATCTCAACAGCTTGAACGGCAACCTCAATTACTCGGAGAATTCCTGGATCGGTGGCATCCAAGCCACGTAGAGCATCAGCACTTGACGAGAGTGCGTCCTTCTCGTCTTGTAGCACTCTTGACATGCGGCTTTCAATGGCCTGCACTTTACGCTGCATCTCAGACTGTAGCTCGATCTCAAACGATTGACGCCATTGGGTAAACTCTTTCTTCATCGCTCGCGCGTTCTCGCTAGCTGCATCCGGCGCTGGCGTCGATGCAGTCTTCTCCACGATGGTTTGAACCGACTGACAAAGATATTCAGCGACAATAGGTCAATACACTTGCAAAAGAAGAACAAACAGGGTGCCGGACTTACATCCATCTTCTCCTCCTGCTCCTTTAGCACTGAAGAAATCACCGACTGTTGCTTTGTTGCATTTTGCAAGTCTTGTTGTAGCTGCGAAGTCCTGTCGATGATTTTTTCCCACTAAATCAGAAGCTCTACAAGTTAGATATCTCTAAACAGCGAAAAAAAACGACGTAGCAAGCGCAAACGCACCAGTTCTTCAGTGTGCTTGGTGACAACCTTTTCAATGTGGACGTTGATGGCGCTATCGGGTTCTGACAGGCTGAATTTCTGCCGTTGTTCATCGAGATCGAGACGCAACGTAACGTGCAACAACTTCAGCGCTTCAATCTCATGCTCCTGCGTCTGCACAGTTTGGCGCAGCATACCGATCTCCTCGTTCAAGCCTACCAACTTCATGTCCACGATCTCCTGCACGACGGAGCGCATCGCTCCCTTCTCGAATCCAGCGTCTGCATTTCCACGACCACCAATCCAGCTAGACGACAAATCGTCCACGTACTGGAAAGCAGTCGTCAAATGGTGCGGAACTGTAATCGCAACCACGAAGCAGCACAGTGGCGCTAGCAGCCACAGCACGTTCACCGCCATAAACGAGTTGCGAAGCATGAAGCGCCAGAATCTCCGTAGATACTTCGAGATAGTCTTCATTGCCTTCGAGTCTGTCACTTTCTGCCACATTCTGTCAACTTTATTTGATTTCTTGAAATACGCGGCAGCGCCTGCCGCTCGTCGCTTGAGCTCTGAGCGTTGCGCCTCGTGCTCGGGTGTTTCCTGCACTTCAATGTCCACTTCGTCGTCTTCGTGGACATCTTCAAGCTCGACTACGTCCTGTTCGTATACCTGAGGTGGACGATACGTCGTACTTCGGTAAACTGTCTCACCATAGTCGTCCAGCTCTTCAAAATCGCTGTCTTCTTCTTCATCATCATCTTCAAACTCGTCCGACCGCAGCTCTAGTGTACGCTGCACTGGCTCAGGCGTGTAGATACCATAGCGCCGACTGCCACTCCTTGTGACACGCTGGGGATCCTCCTCTTCCTCCGAGGACGTCGAATCTGAGCGTCTGCGGCTGCGCAGCCGACGAGTGTACGTGTTGCCATCCGCCATCGCTTCCGTTATTTGATGAGATCACAGTTCTTTTTAGCGGAGACCATAAAATGGGCTCATTGAATGAAAGTAAAATAAAAGTGCCCAAAATTTGCAATCTAAAAATTGTAGTGAATTTCTGGGTATCAAATTCGAGGTCTCAAAAGACTCTCAAAAGTGAATTAATGGAGCGCCGGCGCGGAACAGCGTCTCCCGAAGGCAACTCGAACATCTCGACGGATACGAAGGATGCGAACAGCAGTTTAGACGCAATGGATCCTGACGCCGAAGTGAGCGCGGAGGTGAACGAGGAATTGGCGCTACAGCAACACCAGACGTCGCCATCCTATAGTCTGCTAGGCAAGCGCGAGGCCGACACTGAACTGCACGAAGAGGAGCACGAAGAGGAAGAAGCCGAAGAAGACCCCTCCCGCGTATTACCCACGGCCGAGGAGGAGCAAGCGCTGGTGCAATGTGTGGGCATAGATCAGTGCTTTGACTCGTGGGACGATTTCCATCGCGCCATGGAGGAGTATTGTGCAACCACGCACCAGCCAATGAGACTGAGGACATCCGACTCAGCAAAAGCAGTAAACTGTCGGGCTGCTAAGAGGAACAGCTTGAAGGAGCCCATAGACGAGAGTGTCGGGTTTGTGAAAAAGCTCTACTTGTGCACACACGGAGTCAAGACGAAACCGCGTGGAAAGGGAAAGCGACCGAGGCAGCACTACCGCTATATGGGATGCCCCGCTATGATTCGTGCTTGCATCTCGGAACGCAAGACTGGAAATTTTGAAGAACAGGACAAGGGAAAGTATGTCGTTCGAGTCGTGGCCCAGATCAACCGGCACAATCATCGTCTGAGTGAGCACTTGTTCAAGTCGTACTCGGAGAGCCGCGTTGTGATTGACGACGAGCTGATTGTGCCGAACTCTCAGAGCCGACTGAAGGAGGAGCAGAGTGTAACTGCACCTGCCACTGCCTCGGTTGCGTCTGTCGAACAGCAGATCACTGCTACGGTACACCCAGACCTGGACGACCCCGTGTTGAAGACTAACCGTACGCTTCAGCTCGCATAGTATATTCTTGCATTTGTGATTTAAATCACAACTTTACTTACTCTCTTGTGACGACGCTGTTATAGCTCTGTTCCAGACCCAGGGCCTCGACCTCATGTCTGCTGCGTCTCGCGTCAAGATTCGGTACACTGTTACGGTATGCGTACGCACGCTACAGTTATGTTCACTCACTTATATAATGTGTACAGAGTGGGCTGGATCGGAACGGGAATCATGGGTGCCAGTATGTGTGGACATTTGATGGTAAGTGTTGAGAATCCAAATGCTATGTGTGCTCCGGTATACTAACACAGCATCCGAATTTGTTGTCATCCCTGCAGAACCACGGCTACAACGTCACTGTGTATAACCGAACGTTGTCAAAGTGCGATGGATTACGGGAGAAAGGAGCGAGAGTAGCTGGCTCCCCTGCAGAAGTCGCCCAAAACTCTGGTTGGTAGCGTTGCAGGTTGCTTTGACATCGAGAATTTTTTTTAACTTTCTTGCTGGCCTTGCAGATATTGTTTTCATCATGGTGGGATATCCAAGCGACGTAAAGTCAGTTGTACTTGATCCGGACTCGGGTTTGCTGTCACGAATGAAAGCCGGGGGAATCATCGTGGACATGACGACCAGTTCGCCTGCGTTGGCCAAGAAAATCTATGATGCGGCCAAGCTTAAAGGTGTTTCCACACTAGATGCTCCTGTCTCCGGTGGAGATGTCGGCGCACGTGACGCTACGCTCTCAGTCATGGTTGGCGGTGACATGGAGTCAGTCTACGTCACGATGCCTTTCCTCAGCATTATGGGCAAGTCCGTTCGCCACATGGGACCTGCCGGTGCAGGTCAGCATACGAAAATGATGAACCAGATTTTGATCGCCACAAACATGATCGGAGTGGTCGAAGGTCTTTTGTACGCGAAGAAGAGCGGTCTAGACATGGATGAAGCCATTCGAGCTGTTAGTGCCGGTGCGGCGGGATCGTGGTCGATCAGTAACATGGGCCCGCGCATTGTCAAGCGAGACTTCGATCCTGGTTTCTTCGTAGAGCATTTCTTGAAGGATATGAGCATCGCTTTGAAGGAAGCAGAGAGGTACGCTGTGTGCTGTATCCGTTCAGATTCTGGTGCTCTATCGGAATTAATTGCTGTGTTACCACTGCAGGATGAACCTATCGCTCCCCGGGCTTTCGCTAGCGCACCAGCTGTACATTGCTGTAAAGGTACGTTAAGCTTTTTCAGGTGCTTGACTTGATTGAGCAGCTAACAAAGAGGTTGGCTATTTAGGCTCAAGGACATGGGCGACTGGGAACTCAAGCGTTGATGCTTGCATTGGAGCAGCTGAATGGTGCGGAAGGAGGCGACGCTCTCTATTGGGAAGAGAAATGTGAGCTAACGCAAACTGGACTTTGTTGCTGCAGGTATTTATCCGGAGAAAGCCAACAACGTGGAAGTGGTGTAACATTCTTGAATCCTGCAAGCACAGAGGCTTTACCCACCGTCGAATGGCCTCCATTTTTACCCGCAAGAATTGTTTTTGTTCAAAAGATTGTTGTGTTTTGTTTATTTCAAGGACACCAAGCAGCTTTTCCGGGGCCACCATTTGCACTTGGATAAGCCCGCACCTTTTCCGTCCCTACTTCCTTCATTCTCTGAGCCAACCGAAAGAGTGGCATCGCACCACGTCCTCAACCAAGCATGCCGCTTGCTTGAAGCAGCTCCAGCAAATTGCTGGTAGCAATTGGCTTTGATCCTAGCTTCAACACCCTTTCAACCAATAAAAAGGCAGCGATTGACAAGCAAAGCGCTCTACTGTACCCCATTTCCGAAGATCACAAGGACGAAGCCCCGAGAGCAAGATGGTTGTTGCTGTGAAGCCGAGGTACAGCACTGTGCAGTACAATACGCGGTGTGCTGTAGTGGTACTTTTTGTATTGAATAACTGCGGTGGCTGGTGTGCAGAGTTGGATGGATTGGCACGGGCGTCATGGGTGCCAGCATGGTCGGCCACATTTTGGTACGTTGTGTATGCATCAGTAGAGGAAAATAAAACAAGGGTTCATACGCTGACTGCATCGAGGAATAGAAACACGGGTACGAGGTGACGGTGTTCAACCGTACGCTTTCTAAGTGCGATGGCCTCAAGGAGCAGGGCGCGACTGTGGCCAGCTCGCCCGCCGAGGTGGCCAAGGTTTCCGGTCAGTATTGCCTCATTCTTCTACATGCAGACGATTTGGCTCTAAACTTCTACGCATGTGGATGTGATATGTGTCTAGACATCGTGTTCGGTATCGTGGGCTATCCCAGCGACGTGCGTAAGGTGTTCCTCGACCCTGACTGGGGTGTGCTATCCTCTATCAAGTCGGGAGGCGTGATCGTCGACATGACCACAAGCGAGCCGTCCCTGGCGAAGGAAATCTATGAGGCAGCCAAGCAGAAAGATGTTTCGAGTCTGGATGCCCCCGTCTCAGGTGGAGACGTCGGCGCTCGCGAGGGAACACTCTCCATCATGGTTGGCGGTGATGCCAACACTGTGAAGTCGACAATGCCGCTGTTCGAAATCATGGGCAAGAACATCCGTCACATGGGCGGCGCTGGTGCTGGCCAACACACCAAAATGGTGAACCAGATTCTCATCGCCACCAACATGATTGGTGTCGTTGAGGGTCTTCTATATGCACAGAAGAGCGGACTGGACGTGGAGGAGGCGATCCGCGCTGTGAGCGCTGGTGCTGCCGGCTCCTGGTCGATCAGCAACCTGGGGCCTCGAATCGCTAAGCGTAACTTTGACCCTGGCTTTTTCGTGGAGCACTTTGTCAAGGACATGGGGATCGCACTGAAAGAGGCCGAAAGGTAGTGCGCATCGTCTTCCTCACCTTAATTCCATCGGGACTAACAACTTCCGTGACTAAACAGCATGAACCTGTCGCTTCCAGGGCTCGCCCTCGCCAACCAGCTGTACGTGGCGGTCAAAGCCCAAGGTCACGGCCGCTTGGGAACGCACTCTTTGATGCTCGCGCTGGAGCAACTGAATGGCATCGACTCCAAGTAAAGTCTTGGATATGTTGAAGTCGTTGTAGTGAAAATTTAGCTAATTACTTCGAAGTACATGTTAAAAGTACAACAATACTAGCTAATTCAAACATTTTAATATCGAAGAAGAAAAGTCGCATCAAATCAACGCAGGATCCGTACAGCGCTCCGAACCAGACGGCCATGGACTTGCCCGACGAAGAGCTTAAGCAGCCGCTTGTGGGCCCGCAGGAAGAGGCCACATCGTCGCGACCTGGCAGTGCTGGATCCAATCGCGTGATGCGCAACCCGCCGATGGATGCGGGCGCAGAAGAAGAGAAAGAGGAGGCACCGCGGAGACAAGGAGTTCAGCAGCAGCAACAACAACAACAACAGAAGCTTCCGTATGCAGCACCGAATGTCCATCCGTACGCGGTGCCACATTATCAGCCACAAGGCTACGGCGGTGGTGCGGGAAATGGATGGGGTGGAGGCCAGGAAGAAGAGAGCGGAGATCAAGGGTTGACGGTGGACATCGTCTTTAGTGGCATGTATACACTGGCAGCAGCCTTCACTATTATCCAAGGCTTTGGTATGCTCATCCACTTCACATACGCAGCCGGTAAGCCGATTTTGCAGTGAGAATTCCCCGAGAAGTTGCTAAATACTTTGTTATTATTATTGCGGATGTGATACTGCAGTCTCGTTGGGCTTCTACACAATGGCGTTCGGTAAGTGATCTATGCTACGATATGAGGAAGGCGTGGAGAACGGTGACTAATATATCGCTGTTTGTGTTCCCTGTAGGCGCAGCAGTTATAATGTATGACCTCAAGTCCGTCGTGAATGGTGTGAGCGTGGAGATGTACCTTCCGTTCCTGGGAAACTATATCGGTCGCGCGGCAACCATCCTGTTCTTTGCGGTGTTGTGCGCGCAGACATACGAGTATGCCGGCTGGACGAAGTTTATTGTGCTGTACAACGTGCTCGTCGCCACGCTGCAAGGCTTCGTTTACTTCACGACAAAGACGGTGACGCAAAGCCAGCCTCAGATGGACGACCTTCCAGACTTGTAAAGATCCTGCAGTGGATGAGGTTCATATACATCCACGTGTTACATTTTTAAAAAGCCGAGTCCGTGCTGTTCCGTGCGGGGTATTTGCGTTTAATTGCTTACTGTATCCCCCGTGTGCGCCCGACGGGGCTTTATCAGATGCTGGGACACAGTAAGAAGCTGCCGCCAGGGCTGTTAGACCTTGGGCCCCGAGTTTGGGGGAAGGGGGGGGGGGCGTCTCACACAAAAATTCCAGCTTACACACTCGTCTGGGGCATGACAACGCATGCATTCGTGGATTCGTGCATGCATCGTCGTTGGCACTTGTCGTCGTGCCAGCATGTCCAGAGTGATGGTCGCCAGGATCAGAAATCTTTTCTGCGAAATCCGCAGCAGTCATTTTGTATGATCGCTTAGTCTGGAAGACGTTGCGAAGGTTCTAGACGAAAATTCTATTTTGATCCTGCGGGAAAGGACGCGAGCACACGTCGCAGACGGGAGTTTCTCGATGGGTTGACTTGACCACCGCCCTCTTCCAGTTTTCTCATTTTCCATTTTGCTTTCTGGGGCAACCGCATTCAAGAACCGACACCAACAAGTCCAAGCTACAAAATGCAGATCTTCGTGAAGACATTAACTGGCAAGACTATCACGCTCGATGTGGAGCCGTCGGACTCGATCGACAACGTGAAGTCTAAGATTCAGGACAAGGAGGGCATCCCGCCTGACCAGCAGCGCCTCATCTTTGCCGGCAAGCAGCTTGAGGACGGTCGTACTCTGAGCGACTACAACATCCAGAAGGAGTCTACACTCCACCTGGTACTTCGCCTACGTGGTGGTATGCAGATCTTTGTGAAGACGCTGACGGGTAAGACCATCACGCTCGATGTGGAGCCGTCGGACTCGATCGACAACGTGAAGCAGAAGATTCAGGACAAGGAGGGCATCCCGCCTGACCAGCAGCGCCTCATCTTTGCCGGCAAGCAGCTTGAGGACGGTCGTACTCTGAGCGACTACAACATCCAGAAGGAGTCTACACTCCACCTGGTACTTCGCCTACGTGGTGGTATGCAGATCTTTGTGAAGACGCTGACGGGTAAGACCATCACGCTCGATGTGGAGCCGTCGGACTCGATCGACAACGTGAAGCAGAAGATTCAGGACAAGGAGGGCATCCCGCCTGACCAGCAGCGCCTCATCTTTGCCGGCAAGCAGCTTGAGGACGGTCGTACTCTGAGCGACTACAACATCCAGAAGGAGTCGACACTCCACCTGGTACTTCGCCTACGTGGTGGTATGCAGATCTTTGTGAAGACGCTGACGGGTAAGACCATTACCCTTGACGTGGAGCCGTCGGACTCGATCGACAACGTGAAGCAGAAGATTCAGGACAAGGAGGGCATCCCGCCTGACCAGCAGCGCCTCATCTTTGCCGGCAAGCAGCTTGAGGACGGTCGTACTCTGAGCGACTACAACATCCAGAAGGAGTCTACACTCCACCTGGTACTTCGCCTACGTGGTGGTATGCAGATCTTTGTGAAGACGCTGACGGGTAAGACCATCACGCTCGATGTGGAGCCGTCGGACTCGATCGACAACGTGAAGCAGAAGATTCAGGACAAGGAGGGCATCCCGCCTGACCAGCAGCGCCTCATCTTTGCCGGCAAGCAGCTTGAGGACGGTCGTACTCTGAGCGACTACAACATCCAGAAGGAGTCGACACTCCACCTGGTACTTCGCCTACGTGGTGGTATGCAGATCTTTGTGAAGACGCTGACGGGTAAGACCATCACGCTCGATGTGGAGCCGTCGGACTCGATCGACAACGTGAAGCAGAAGATTCAGGACAAGGAGGGCATCCCGCCTGACCAGCAGCGCCTCATCTTTGCCGGCAAGCAGCTTGAGGACGGTCGTACTCTGAGCGACTACAACATCCAGAAGGAGTCTACACTCCACCTGGTGCTTCGCCTACGTGGTGGCATGCAGATCTTTGTGAAGACGCTGACGGGTAAGACCATCACGCTCGATGTGGAGCCGTCGGACTCGATCGACAACGTGAAGCAGAAGATTCAGGACAAGGAGGGCATCCCGCCTGACCAGCAGCGCCTCATCTTTGCCGGCAAGCAGCTTGAGGACGGTCGTACTCTGAGCGACTACAACATCCAGAAGGAGTCGACACTCCACCTGGTTCTGCGTCTTCGCGGCGGAAACTAAGAAGTACTACTGTAGTAGTTTAAAAGCTTGGTAAATAAATGACGTCTTCGCTACAAATAAACTATTAGGTAGTATACTGTCCTCGAAGCAAGCTAAACTCGCTTTTTGTACTTGTGAGAAAATGTGGATATGAATTCTTTCAGCAAGTTAGTGCGTGATGAGCCGGCTGAATTAGGATGCATTTTAATGTGTGAGATTGTGCTGATGCAGAACACAAGTAAAATTTGATGGTAGGGTACTGGCTTTTTATAAAGATAACCGGAAGAGTCTCGTTGAGACCTACATGTTCTAATAGAGCATAATCACGATTTTGGGAAAATGAGAAGATGTTGTGATCCGAAAACATTTTGTTCAACATTTTGTTCAACAAGCAACAAATTTGCTGCGAGCGGATCAATGGTTTGCATCGGCTACCGCGTCCGTCACCTGTGGCATTGTGGAGCCCGTGGGGCGATGAGCTGATGCAATTGAGCAGTTCTGGGTGCTCTCAAAATGATACATTTCTGGCCAAGCTGAAGTTGCTTGTCACAAAAAGTATCCATTCGAAATGGCTGCTTGGTGCGTCCAACATACATGTAGCAAAACGTCTCACAAGTCCTGAAACATTCGTTTGCGTCGACCCTCAAGTCGAGTGTCATTGCACAATTTGCTTGCCAACCATCACTTCCCATTATCAAACTAGTCGAGCATGCCCATTCAACGCAACGACTTCCTCGTGCTGTGGAAACTCTCCAGATCTGGCGACGAGGTCAAAGTTCAAGAGGAAATCGAGGAATCGGACGCTGTGGCACGCAACCTCGTGAACTTTAAACATCATCGCAAGGGCACCACACCGCTTATGGAGGCTGCTGCTTGCAGGGGCGGCGAACCAGTCGTCACCAAGCTCATTGCTGCCGGCGCTGACGTCAACGACGTCGACGACACCAGGCTCAAGAACACAGCCCTGCACTATGCTGCAACGACGAACCCGGACCCTTTGGCCACCGAGACGCTACTGGAAGCTGGAGCAGACGCCTTTGCCGTCAATCGCAAGGGCCTCACACCACTCGACGTCGCTCGTCAAAACGGTCGCAAAGCAGTCGGTACTGTGCTAATGAACCTCATGAAAGTCCACGCAGGGTGGCTGTACTTACGCGGTAAATTCCGTTGGAAAAGACGATGGGCAGTCGTGGTGGCCTGCAACAGACAACGCACGTCCACTGAGCTCTGCATCTTCCGTCGTCAAGGTGATCTTCGTCCAGATTTAGTGATGCTCATTGACGAGGCAGCGCGAGTGTCCCACTTCCCGTCGACAGACAGCTACTCGTGGCTTAAGCGCGAGAATGCCTTCGTGTTCGATAAGCCTGTCATGTGCCATCGCATTAAGGGACGCAAGTTCACACGTGCACCAATCTGCAGGAAGACCATGAGTCTGGACGACGTGCAGACGCTCCACTACGTATTCGCCGCCGATAGTTTAAACAACCTGGCCCAATGGCGTCGCGTATTGCAGAGCTTCAACTTTTGCTCACGCAAGAGTCGATCGTCGCTGAATCGGACATCGCTAGTCGAGACGCAGAATGGAGAACTGTACTATTGGCCTCATGAACTGGTTGAGAATTTGCGCAGTTCGATCTTAAGGGAGCAGGATCAACAACGAGAAGAAGCGAACGACCCACTGTACCAGCGGCTTCGCGCAACATTCGAGCAGCGGCAATCGGAACTTGCTCCTAATGCCCAACAAGCACCCCAGCCACAAGCTCCAACACAACTTCTTCCGTCGTACGAGAACTCGGTCGATGATCTGCCGCCTAATTTTCAGAGACGAGCTACACCTGGCCAACTCGTTGATCAGCCAAGGGCTCTAGTGAACCGTGATCAAAGCCGAGTGCACTTTACGCCCATACAGCCAGTGAAATACATCGAAGTGCCGCTGGCAGCACAACAACCATACATCGATTGCCAGGACACGAACTCGAGTGTCAGTATCGTCACCGGGAGCGATTTTGACACCGCCGGCCCCGAGTTTGAAACGGGGATCATGATTTTATCCGACAACGAATCACGAACATCCCAGCCTCAGCAGAGTTCGAACCAGGAACAGGAGATCGACATTCGAGGAAAAGGTGTCGAGCCACAAAACCAACAAGAAGAATCACCGCAGCCCACAGAGGCGTCTGAAGAGCAAGTTCGCCAGTCTTTTGACACCCAACCAGATCTGTGCGGAATCTGCGATGTGACACGACGGAATGCCATTTGCTCGCCGTGCGGACACCAAGCCGGCTGCACCGGTTGTCTCAAGACTATCATGCGCACGTTAAAGAGCTGCCCGATATGCCAGATGCCTGTGCGTTCGGTTCTGAAGGTGCACGACTAAGGTAAGCGTGGTACATGTAACAAGAGCAGTTGGACGAGCTTATTAAGGAAGCGTAGGCCTGTAAAACTTTGAAGTAGGAAGATAAATAGTAGTCGAGTCCATTAGGTGGACCGATTTTCGCAGTATATGAACTCATTCAAGTTATATCACCTTGCGCTTACATGACTACGTACCAGTCGAATTGTTCTCCAGCCACGCAAACTTGAATGAGTAATCCGTGCCTACCAAATTACATGTCAGCCACCAGCGTGGACACCGCCAAAACGCTTGCGATATCTATCGTACCATAGTGCTCGAGGGATATCTGAGTCGTGTAAAACACCCATAGTATACTTGCAGTTTGAACATGGATCACATGTCGATCGAGCACAAATGCGAGCTGATGCATTGTGGAGAAGTTGAGTCGCCTCTTGAGCGTCTGGGTGAGCACAGTGAATGCACCGAGTTCCACGAGGCTGTACAGTAAGACATTCACAACCGTCTTCGCCAAATGTATCGAGTCCATGCTTGCAATTTGGCTATAGTAGTCACGGTTGGGCATGTGACCAAATACAGCGCTGAAGCACATATCCTATGTCAGTTAGGACGCAGTGATCGCAAGGTAATTGTACGTACAGTATACGATGGGCGTGATGACTTCAGCGTAGGCAGTGAGGATGGAGAACTCGGATGCATACATGAGCTTCCGCACGAGACTGACGTACTTCTGTTCGAGCTGTTCAAGTTCGGATCGTGTTCCTACTACAATGTCAGTGGTAGGACCCAGCTGCGAAGCGGAATTACCAAGAGGAACCACCGTTATTTTCATTGTACTCGTTAGCTGAGTATGATGCGCATCATCACTGGAATTATGGAAAGTGTATCTCTGGAATATGTCGACAGCCCTAGGTAGCATACTCAAAGTGGCTACGCGATCGCCGCGATCGTTCTTCGTCAGGTTTATGATTCTTTTCGTCGTTTGTGCAATTTGCTTGCGAATGACGTCAATGTCGTGGGTCATCAGAATCACTTGCACCGTGTTGGCAGCCATGAGACTGGCCGTGGTCATGAATGATGGCTGGTACTGCATGCAGAAGTTCATGAACAGAGCGTTCACCATGTCAGCATTGAAGACCACAGCAATCGTGATTCGTTGACCACTAGCGAAGCGACAAAGGTAGTAGAATAGCGCTCTGTAGAAGGTCTTCAGTACTGGCAGCACCATTATAAACGCAGTTCTCTCGATACCGGAGTCCATCTTTTGGAAGGTATAATAGAAGATTGGATATCCGATGATGACAAGCCCATGACAAACGCATATCAAAATGGCGTCGGCAATCTTCCATAAGAGACCCAAGTTCTGCCGCACGTGAGGATACCAGACAATGGCCAGCGCGAAAAACATGAGCGACACGTACGGCACGGCCATCATATGGATAGTGTATGGTACGGGGAATCCTATCCACCAGGAATACAGCAGCTCGATACCCGTAGACAGTATGGCGACAGTAACAGCGCTAATGACGAGCTGTGTCTTGGAAAGAGATAATAGTGGCATACGCTCGCTGATCATGTGCATTTGTAGTAAACACCACATTGTGTAGGAGAGGAAGAATCGCCCAAAGAAGGTCTTGTTGCTTCCCATTCCGAGCGACGGTGGAGACAGATTCACCGTCTCGGGCAGGCAGACGTAAATCAAACACGGTAGTGGGGAGATGAGAATGACCGAGACGATCCGCCACCAGGGAGTCAAATTGCTATAATCATGCAGCGCGAGAACGCGGTCTGGAGAGTACGTGCCTTTGAGTTCAATTTGGACGGCATCCCACGCGACAACAAGCCACTGGAATACTACCAGTGGTAGGTTCATCGCGTAATGAGTAATGATTCACCAGCCATGATACCATGCGTGCTATTTTTAACGCTCTTCCTAATGGAGCTATCCTAAACTCGATGTGCATCAAGGTTGCCTATGTATTCGTTGACTGGCAGTTACGTTGGCTAAGTTAGTTTTTTCCTTATCGAAAATTGGAAGGCGATTGACGAGTTCTATTCGACGGTTTGTAGGCGATGAGTCAACAAATTTAGTCAATGCTTATGTGGTCCACACAAAGGGAACCGAATCTGTAATCCAATTTAGCCAATCATATGCCACCAAGTAATATCGGTACCGTTGTATTGCCAGCTCATTGACGTCCTCTCCCAGCAAGACCCGCCGCCTTCTTGCTACGTCGACGCTGTGTGTGTCCTCAAGCAGAAATCCCACCACATTAACGTACAAGACCACTGTCTGATCTATACAGGGGTGCCTTTATCAGCACGGTAGCGTTTAAATCGACTGACAGCAGTCAAGACTCGGATTCTCAGCAGTGATGGCGTATTTCGGCTGTTGCAGAGGCGTCAATGCGCGCATGTTGTTCCTCACGGCATGTGCCATGATCGAATACATCGCTCAGACTGTAGTGTTGGTGCTGGGGCCGATGCTGACGCTCCATTTCTATCCGGAGACGTCGTTCCATCGGCTGGGCTTCTACACGGCCATCATCTCCGGCTCAGGTTTTCTCGGTCACGCATTAAGCTGCGGCTTCTGGATCAATTTAGCGCGCTCTTTAAAGAGCAGCAAAGGTGTGATTCTATGGGGATTAGCCGTCACAGGAGCTGGGTTCTTTAGCTTACTGCTATGCAAGAGTTTGGTAGCCATGTCGCTCGTGCGATTCGCCACCGGACTCAGCAGCGGCGTGTTGCCAGTTGCTCTCATCGAAATTGACAACATCTGTGGCAACAGACAGACCAAACTGGCGCTAGTGACCAAGACTTTGGGCGTGGGGATCGGAGCTATCGGCACTTTCGCCGTCATCACACTGAGTGCGAAGCTGCCAGACAAGTCAAACGAAGACCCCGCTACAAGAGACTCGTCCTTGTATCTGTATCCGTTCTGCTTTGTCTCTATCCTCGCGTGGGTCGCAGTCATGGTGATGCTACTGGGGCTGCGTCTACGAAGCCGGACAGCATACACGCAGCTAGCAGAAGAAGAAGACGATTTCCTGAACTTTATGCCTCAAATTCAGATCGATGCACAGGCTTCACCACGTTCGTCAACCAGTCTGAACACAAGCAGTACAAGCAGCAGCGAGAGCGGCAGTCCAATGTCTACTACTGTCGCCCACGTCAAGTCTGTGTTTGGAGAGACGTTTGGACGCACTGCCATGGGGTTGGGATTCAAGAAAGCACTTACAACACCGGCGAAAATCGCAGCAATCAAGTTATTAGCGACGCCACAGCCACATTTCCGACTTATCCGAGGGATCCTACCGCATTATTTCCATGGCTACACGTCGGACGGCCACTTGATCGTCTGGGATTTCGTGGGGCGTGTCAAGATGGACAAACTCTTCGCTGCGGGCTTCACGACGTCGGATTTACGTGACCATTACCGGTTTTTCTTGGCTTTTGCGCAGGAGACCTTACTGCGCACACCTACACAGAAGATCGTGTACATTGTCGACTTGGATGGCCTTTCGCTTCGTGATGCTGACGCTCGTGCCATTGACAGTGTCTGTGCAGTAGTGAAGACACTGCAACGCGAGTTACCGGATCGTCTACACGCTCTGACGGTTCTGAACTCCCCCGTATGGTTTTCTCAAGTGATGACAAGCATTCGTCCCCATCTCGCGAAGCGGACTGCAGATAAAGTATCGTTCTTGTCCAAGGAGACAGCTACTCAGGATTTGATTGCACTTGTCGGCGTCGACAGCTTGCCGCAACGTTATGGCGGACGCAACGGCGTGGAGATTGGCAAAAGCGCTCAAGAACGTTCACTGGACGATCTGTTGAAGCGTACCACCGCGTCATTGGAGCGTACCCTTGAGATTGTGGCTACTCCACGAGCACGACGCACAAATGTCACTCGATCGCGTGCTAGTAGTATCCGCAGTGATGAAGGGAGTGATGAAGAAGCATTTTTCGACTGCTCTGAGTATGGACTGCAAGGTGTTGAAGACTTGGAAGACCAGGAACCGGTGATCTCGGTGGTTGTCCACTCTCAATCGACTCCGTCTCCTAAGACTGAGCCTGTTGCGAGAACTAATGCTGCAAGTTCTGGAGCGTATCAACCATTGGAGAAAAAGCATATGAAAGCGACTCGGCCGTCTCTGAAAGCTGTCGACAAGCCTGTACCTGAATTGGCGATCACAAGTGAACCTCTGGCGTGTTTAGTACTGCTGGTGTTCTTCTTCTGGTCGCTGGTACAACTCAGTTTCGATGAGATGTTGCCACTTTGGTTCTTCAAGCAGAATCCGATCACATTGGGCGGTAGTGTCCATGCTAAGCCGCCGTTGTCACGCTCGACAGTGTCGTCTATCACGCTCACTGTCGCTGGCACGCTGGCATCTCTGTCTCTGGTTGTTCTATTGGGTCAGATCGCGTCGAGTGTGCTGTGTAACTCGAGTCGTAACTCTATGACGCCTCTTGCTACGCTGCGTATCGGCTTGATCCTCCAGATTCCCATCTTGGGCTGCTTCCCGTTGATCGACCTCTTCAAGGTGGATGAATTACCTTTCGCGTGGTTTATGGTGGTCGGTGTACTTGTGATTAAGCAACTCGTTGCCGGTATTGCGTCACACGGCATCATGGCGTTGCTGGACAACTCCATCGCTGTGGATAGACGACTAGCAGTGCATCGAGCAGCTCAACGCGTACGCTACTTCAGTCATTTCATTGCGAGTGGCGCAGCTCCTGCGTTGTTCGCGCTATTGGGCTATTTCGAGCAAGCGTTCCCGTTCGACCAGAGTCTGCTGTACTTCGTGCAAGCGTTGGGACTTGTGTTTCTGCTCTTCTTCTCCATTGCTATTCCCAGTCGAATGAACTTCCCCGTGTTGTTCAGCATGGGCAAACGGTGATTGCAGAACGAGTAGTGGTAAGCAGAGGTGAATGTTGGTCGTCTCAATGATAAAGAGTAAGCATACATTCGTGGGGGCTTGCAGGTTTGCTAGGATCGATATCTACATTGCTACTACGCTGGCTTGTGACGAGTACTGTAGTGGATCCTCTCGCTTATAGCCAAGCACGCGTCTAGCCAGTTCGCACTCCTAAGACTTTTAGAATGCACCGTCCTTGGGTGTGAATGTAGCCATACCGGAACGCTGGTACTGGATGAGCACACCGACCAGGACGATGTTGAGTAGGACGAGCGGGTAGAACTGCATGTAGTAGATAACGTCCCAGTGGAAGATGGCCAGGAAGTATGCCAGGTAGATTGCAGTAACATGTGCGCTGATGCCGAGGAATGACGCCACACGCACGAATCCGCCGAATTTCTGGCGGTAAGCATTATGGTACTCGCTAGTACACGACGCGAGCAGAGACTGACGGTCCAATTCCGCTTGAGAAGCGGCATCGGACGTGAAACTGGCCTGTACAGTCAAGTACACCGAGTAGATGCCAAGTAGAATCGTGTCCAGAGCGCACGCCGACTGTTTCCGAGCTGCACGGTACTCGGCACGCACACTGGCGACCGTTTCACCGTCACATTCGGACTGTGGGAGAGCGTTCTCCATGTAGACGTTCTTGATCTTGTCGTAGATGATGGCGTGCAGCCAGAGGGACATGCCAGCCCAGAAGCCGAGGTGGAAGTACATGACGTTGCCTCCATAGTGGTGCTGCATGACTTCGCCCATGATCCAAAAGTTGGGAGCGATGACGAGACCATCCACCACGCCGTCCAGGATGCGTCCCGTGCGGGTGCCGCGCTTGCACAGGCGCGCAACCTGTCCGTCCGTGCAGTCTGAGACGATCCACGTGAACATGAAGAGCGCAGCCGCCAGCAGCGAGTTCGAGGGCTCCCACGCTAGCGGATAGTGGAACTCGGAGTCGTACAGACACAAGGCGGAGACCCAGCCGAGGAACAGACCGAAGATCGTGATCTGGTTGGGGGTGATCACGAATGGCAGGTAGCTCACGATCACAGCGGGCACGGCCGCCAACCGTCGGTGCCAGTAGTAGTCGATGAGCTCCTCCACGTCGTACATTTTGGTGCACGTGGCCTTGTTGTAGCGCTCCCACACCGTCTCATGAGGTGGCGCCTCCTTGGGGAAGACGGTGGTGCCTGTAGGCGACGAGTTCTTGGGGGCGAGCTTCATGGTGTCCGACTGCTCGTCGCCGCTGCTCGTGGGAGAGTTGGAGCGCGAGCCGTTACGGTGCGTCATGCCCTTAGACGACACGTTGATCGTGGAGCCGTACATTTCTTCGTCGGTCTTGACGTCGACTGTAGGCATCGCCATAACTGCTCTACTCGTAGAAGCCAGGTCCTCACTGGCGGCGTAATCTCGAAATGAGGCCTCGAGTCACCTCCAAGCCTCGAGTTTTTCATCCTGGCGTGTCGCATAGGATACGTAGTGTAGGGCAGGAAAGCGAGGCAATTCCGTGACATGCATGTCTCTATTTTTAGTTAAAACAAAGGTTTCGAGGCATTAGCCTTTATTTTTACTAGGGAGAAGCGTTTTAAGCTTGAGAGTTATGAATAATACAAGGATTCACAAGGGAAGTAAATCGGATAAGATTTTCTCCGAGGCTTAGGCCATTTCCAGAAAACTGAAGTGCTCGGAAATCGAGGCAGTGGTGTATCCATGCCTGTAGACTATGCCGCAGTTGCTGTACTACTGCATTGGATTAATGATAGATACATGTACACTACAATAATCAGGGCCATGTTGAAGGCAAGAGACACCTTAATATTGCAACATTTGTCGATCGCACCAAATGTACTCGACGATATTCACTGAATATTATTCAGAACACTTGCGAGCACAGTTTTGATGATGACCCGCCGTCCCACAATCGACGAGGCTGGAAAGCATGAACTCTTTCTCTTTTACTCTTTTAATAGGTAGGTCGATGAGGTTTGGAGCCACGCGTTCTGACCGAGACTATTTATCCGTAGCGACGACGATTACATCGCTGTCACCATTTACAGCGCCGCCAGAACTTGTCGATGCACCTTCCAGGCTACCCAATGATAAGCCGCCAAGTGGATTGAAGTGCACAAAAGCGTCTTGTTGTTTCGCCAGGCGGAAGTGAGTTGGCTCCATTCTGTAAACTGCCACCGCCGCCGCATTATTGTCGACACCTTCGCCATAAATCAGGATATTTGATAAATTAAAAGCTGTGAATTCCTGGAATTCCTGGAATCAATTCCACGTTTTTCAGCAAGCCCAGCGCTGCGCAGCTGCCTTGTTGACGGCGGTCGTTTACGCTCAAAGTAGAGTCCGACCAAAAACAAAGACACGACACGAGGAGGGGCTCCGCTGGAACGTAAGAACCCCCTACATGTATTACAGTACACTTGCATCGAAAGACCCTGCTAGCCAACTTGCTCGAGCAAGTCTTCCAGCACCCGATGGTCACCGCCGCCACCACGAAGACGGCTGCACCGTGCAGCCATTAGAGATTTTTGGCGCGACATGCTCCTAGGCTCGTAATCAGACCGCCGTCCCTGTCTACAGCAAGAACATGTATACAGTAATACACCAGAGTGCAACGCTACTGTTTGAGGGCGAAGTTCGCCACATTGAATCGCGCCGTGCGTCGTCTCAGACTGAGACTCTAAGCCATTCCAGACGGAGGCATTCCTCTCGACCCCGGGAGTCGCGGGGTCATGAGCAGTGTAAACGCCTTCAAATGCATGATCATTCGCTACTATTCGGTGGCTTCCACCGAAGTTGTCAGCTTCCCACGCTTCGACCGACTACGCAGCTTCTCCGCCGCGCTGGATCGCCGGTTGGGTATGAGCTTCGGGAGGCCAGCACGAAAACCGATCGCTGCCGCTTGTTCCGTTCGTAATGCGACATCGGCCACCTTGGCACTTTTGGAGTCTTTTGAGGTTCTTGCCAGTGACGAAACTCCGACCTGTTTCGCAACCGAGGCAAGCAGCTGGAGCCAGAACTCCTCGGTGTGATAGAGAAACAAACCGGGGATACATATTGCCGAGATTGCGATAGCTCCCAACGTCCAAGCCTGAGCACAGGAGGTTAGAATACACTTACTAGCAAAGATTGCAACTGTCCGTACCTCGTACACGATTGTTGCGCTAGGATCATCAATGATAGAGGTAACAAGGGCGAGCATGCTGGTCCAAAATGCCATTACAGCGCCGGCCAGTCGAATCCCGTTGACCTGAAAAGGGTTCACGGTTTCAACATGGGCTGGAACAACCAGAAGCCATTACCATTACTCTCGTTCTCACCAGCGAAAGGATGCAGGGCTTTAACGTCGCATTGATAATACCTAGAGTCAGCCTATATGTCGCACAGCTCAATTAGAACCTCTGTTTCTTGATGCCTACTACGTAGTAGATCGCAGTCACGTACGAGACCACCATACAGCTTGAGCAAAGCAGTAGCGCGTTGGCATTGATTGAGCCCACAACACTCTGGCATAAAGTACGTTAAAATTGATCAACCACACCAATTCTATCTGTCATCGGCAAGTTACCATTGCAAGTGGTGCTTTAAGAACTTGTACCACTCGTGTGTAGCGAACGTGTGTCCATAATGTTGGTTCGGGAGGTGAAGATTCGCAGTTCAATTGTAGCAAGATAACAGAACTTGCAGCGTAGTAGAAAATGAGCATGGCTGTTCCTGCAGCGACCATCCCACCTTGGATAACCGTGAAACACGAGCCATTCAGCGTAGGAAGCGTTGTTATCGATCCGTCGACCTTGCTATATCCGATAACTCCGCACTCCAAGGGCAACAGCAGCCCTATCATAACGGGCAAAGTAGCCCATTCACTATACAAACGAAGCGCAAGCGTGCACAGATCTTCGGCAGGTGAGTTCTTAGGCTGCGGCTTGAACAGCGGAAATCTCTTTATACCGAGCATACAAGCAATCAGCAAAACTCCAGGAACGAATACTAATGACAGGTACAGCATGTACGTTGGGAATTGGCTTGGATCAAGATGACCCCACAGCGGATACAGCACCGAAAGTTGCAATACTTCTGCCATTCGTCGACTATCTTTCGGCCACGGAACCACGGGTAAGAACATCAGTGCTACCAGTTGCACCCACGGCAAAAATTCCATCAAAATTACGAAGAAGATGAAGATATTCTCTAAAACGTGACCTCTAGCGGGTTTGGCAGGCAATCCTTTTCGCGTTGGCCCTGTCCACTTTCCACGCAGTAGTTGACCCCCAAAGAATAACCTTGGCGAGTCCTTCCAGCCCCTTGGAAACGTAAAAGGGTCCCTTTTAGCTTGTTCGAAGCGCAGCCTCTCGAGCGTCCTTCCAGTCACGAGGACGCCAATACCCAGAAGGATGAACATTAACGTGCACGCCAAAGGCACTTCCAAATACACCATTTCCGCTCGGAAGCTGCACTGCGTCCCAGAGTACATAGAATCGCACTGGCAACGCTCGTATGCGGCTCCTTCTGTGGTCTCCACGATGCAGTCTCCATGCAGACACACGGCGTCATTCGATCCACACATCTGGGCTTGAGACGCGTCGCTTAGAGATCCAGCACCACACCATTCACACACCAAATTACAAGGAGCAAGGTCCATCACATTTTCTGCCATCGGTTTCAGAACTTAACCCGATTTAACTGGCACCAAGGGTACATGTAGCCATTTTTTTCGCTTTACGGTAAGATACGCAGCATTTTAAAGATGGTGCTTACGAGGTCTGCCGCTGCTGCTGCGAAGCCTTCTCCGACCGAGGCTGAACCCGGGGCTCCCAAGCCCCAGCCAGAGCCTAAGACCAAGCAGCGGAACTACCGCTATGTGACGGAGGATGGCGTGAAGCGCATCTTGACTTACCACTACAGCGGCAGCGATGCGTCGCTCTTGTACAGCAACGTGATCTCCCCGCTGGCCCAATGGCTCGTTGACCACGTGCTGTCGCCACGACTAGCGCCCAATGCCATCACTATCGGAGCGCTGTCACTCGTTATCTTATCGCACGTGATTATGCTCTGGTAAGGCGCTGCACAGGGCGAATAATTCTTCATGGCAGACTGACTGGAGTTGTTGCTGCAGGTACTCGCCGAATATGGTGGAGGAAGCGCCGCGATGGGTCTACGCGAATGCTGGCTTCTCGCTGCTGTTCTATCAGGTATTGGACGTGGCAGACGGCAAGCAGGCACGCAAGACGGGCAACTCGTCCCCTCTTGGCCTGCTATTCGACCATGGATGCGACGCACTCAATGTGGTTGTCAGTGCATGCACATTTGCATCGACACTTGTGCTTGGACCAACGTACTGGGTGAGTATTGGACAAGTTCGACGGGGTGTGAGGTTGCTGACACAATTCATTTCGATGTGTTTTTTCGCTAGTCGTTGTTGATGTTCCTCGCGCCGGCTATGGTGTTCTTCATGGCGACGTGGGAAGAATACTACACTGGCACGCTGGCACTTCCGACCGTCAATGGACCGAACGAAGGGTTACTGTTCATATACTCGGTCTACATCGGTACGGCTATCGTCGGTCCGAATGTGTGGACGCAGCCGAACATCGTCTTTCCTCAACTGAACAACGGACACGTGGTCGTCCTGGGCTCGCTCACTACTGGTATTGCTCAGTGTGTTTTCAGCGGTGAGGTCTCAATTCTTTTGAGTGAATTTGTGCAAGTTATTTAATGCGTTTATTGTGTATGCAGCTGTGATTGCAATTCGCTCCATGGAGCGCAAGGCGAAGGATGGCGCTGCGGCGCTGTTCGGCATTACGCCTTTTGTCGCGCTCGTGCTCCTGTCTGGGCTTTGGGTGCTTTGGTCGCCCTCCGATGTGTTTACGGACCACCCACGTCTCCTCATCTGGACTGTGGGGCTCTTATTCGCAAAGGTAAGCACGATTTATTCACATGTTTTTTTTCGTTTTATGCTAACTGTAAGACGCTATGCTTTTTGATTGTAGATGGTGATGCACATGATGCTCTCGCACATGTGCGATGAACCGTATTGGCTGTTGCGCAAGACATTTATTATCCAACTTGTCGTTTCTTTTCTGCTGGTGGTTGGCATTGTGCCTTGGGTACGTTTTGTCTCGGGCTGGATCAATTTAGCACCTTATAACTCTGTTCGATCCGTCGCATTTCGTAGGGCCACGAAAGCTCTGTGGTGCAGCTCTTCTTCATGATCTCACTAGCGGCGTATCTGCACATGATCTACTTCCTCTCCACAGAGCTCGCCACAATCCTGGGGATTCATATCTTCAAGGTGAAGCAAGGATAGTCTTCCTTCTACTATCCGTGGATAGCTTGTAGTCCCATGACAAATGAGTACTTAGTACTTTACACACTGTTATCAGAAAATCGGTGTAGCAAGTCTGTCGTTAAAAAGGGGGATCGTAGAATTTGGGTGTTATATCAGCGGGTAGCACCGCTCCGCCACTCCGCACTCTCCGCTGTTCATAAAGAAGAGGGATCCAAATGCTACGGAAGCAAGTCCCAACAATACTGAGATAATGAAAAGCAGAGTGTTTCGTTGCGACTTGCGGCCCTATTCACACAAGAAACTAATGAGTCCAATGAATTTCTGAGCGAAGCAAAGGCCAAACATACCACAAGGCGAGGCTGTGCCATGGGAGTCTGGAGTTGGTTGATCCTCTTGTCCAGCAACTGATAGCGCTGTACCATATTCTTGACCGCTTCTTGTAGTTCCTGTTGGAGTTTCTTGAATGAATCAGCCATGAATTCCGTGCGCTCGTCGCGCATTTTGTTGCTTGCCACAACGCTGATAATGTCCGCTTTAATCTGCGAGATCTCAATGGCTCGGTCCTGTTCCTGCAGCTCTGCGTCATATTTGCGGCGTTTGCTGTCAGCCTCAAGCTCACTCAACTGCTCTCGTTGAACCCGTAGTTCATCCAGCATGTCTTCGTGCAGGTTTATAACATCCTCGTTATTGTGCGACTGCCCCGACTGCAGTAGCTTTCCCTGCACGATCTGTGACAATTGGTGATTTAAGTTTTCCAGCGACGGGAAGATGCCGCTCGCTTGCTTGTCAAACTCTTCTTGGTTCCTCATTAATTCGTCCTTCTGTTGCACAAGTTGAGCGATGGTTTCCTCCATTTGCCGCACATAGGTGCGTAGATCCTGCTGCGTCCTCACCCCACCGTACTCTTCTGCATGTTCCTGAACAAGCTCTCGCCCCATGTCTTCATTAAGCTGCCTCATACTGCTAGATTTTGGTCGTGTGGGTGACACAGAGTCGTCTTCGTCGTCGTCCGTAACATTGTCAAAATTCAGCGCTTGTTGCACGTAGTCTGTGGAATATTCTCTCAAGTCCTTGGCTGTGGTGCGACGTGGCGTCAGGTTGGCTCGTACTCTGTTCACGGGACTCATTCTCTCTCTACCCGAGCGTGGAGCTGCTGCCTCCTTCTCTGCGGTCGTCCATTTATGTTGCTCATCCGAGAGCTCCGCCATCTTCATGCGGTCTGAGCGCACGGCATCTTCTGTGTGTGAGAGCTGCATAAGCCGCTCAGCTGACGCGCTACGTAGTGTCTGTGACGTTTGGTAGCTCACATCCAGTGGTGCCGGTCTTTTGGCGTCCTGCTGTGAGTTGGAGCCGCTACCGGTTGTACGACTTCGAGTGCGTGAAGCGGGGCCGTTGCTCTCGCGGAACTGACGGTCGCGGTCGTCTTTGGCCATAATCTTGTGCAGCTCTGACAGCTCCGAGCGCGCCTTGGAGATGCGCTCGTTCAGTCGCGCATCGTCCTCCTTGGAGCCCAAACCAGCCTCGCTCGCTACGGCTGCGGGCATCTCTTGAAGACGTGTCTGAAGCAAAATTACGAATTGGGAAGTTTCACTCCTTTGATTTTTTTTGACAAAAATCACTGCTAAAATCCAATTTTGCAAGTAAAAATCTAACCTTGATTTTTAGAAAGGAGAGATTTATCAAGCTTGTTTTCTTTTTACAAATTTTGAGCATTTAATGTTAAAATAATTTGAGACGCGACATTTTGTCAAAATCAGAAAATTGTCAAAATGAAATGTGCTTCAACATACTTTTCCCTATTTACTCTGGCATCGGTTCATCTGCAGGGGCAGTAGCTTGACCAGAAGCACCTTCCGCTGCGGCGGCCGTTACGATGGACAGTGACCGTGTCGAAGGTGGGGCAGCCATTTTCTCTTCTAGCGTCTGCGGTGTTGCGGGCTGCAATGGCACATTCAGTTAGGAGCTGAAAGTTTAAATAAGGCTGGCAAAAGGAGACGTACTGGCGTTGCATCCAACTGCGCGAAGAGTTCCTGTCGCAAGTTGTCGTGAGCCGGATTGTGCTTAGTGAAGCGAATCGTGGAGCCTTGCTCGTTGTTGTAAACGTTCGTGAGCGACTCGTCGACACACTCCTCCACCTTATTCACGTAGCTCTCCGGATCATGCCGGAACCTTCTCAGCCCGATAAAAATAAAGAGTTAGCAAGTGCTCCCACCCGATACTCTTAACAACTTTGGCGACGTACATATCTAACGCAACGCCGTTCGCGACTTGAGGCAAGTCGGGGAAGTCCTTCATGTAGAAAATGCCCTTGAGGTAGGTGAGAACTGCCACCATGTAGTGCAGTTCAGGATCCCACTCAGGGAATTTCGGATTCAGATCCAGCTCCTTTGTGTCCTCGTACACGTAAGGGTGGAAGACGTTGGTATTAAACACGATGCGTGGATATGTACCCGGTCCGTTGTAGCTACAGCATAAGGAGCACCCCAATCACTCAGTGTCTTCGCATTCAGAAGAATGCTAAACAGATTTACTTTACCTCTCGGGCAGGAAGATGGTGAACTTGAAAATGCCATTGCGATAGAGTCCAGCGTGGATGAAGATGGCTCCGTACCAGATACGCGAGTGGTCGAAGCTAGGCAAAACGTAGATTCCACTGGGGACGTGTTGACGCAGGTGTTTGTACTCAATCATAAGCCCGTAGTCCTTCATCGTCTGCGACCGGTACTTCTGCAGCGACGACATGGGGCCGTCGCTGTTGTTTTGATCGCTCGGAGTCAGGGAATCATCCGACGTCTGAGTTGGCGACGGCTGCGAGCTATGAAATCATAATACATCGATACAAAGGTTACTACCTCCACTACGTCATGGAATACGACTAGATGCCGCTGAAGCCTCGATAGGCGAGGAGACGTACGCGTCCGAGGAAGCCTTGAGCCTCCGTAGCATCGTGATTCTTGTAATCTCAGCTTCGTACTTAGGTGGATACGTTGATTTAAATCGTACTTACCAGAGTGAACATGCACATTTTGCATTTTTGCTACGATGACGGGCATCGAGCGCTATGGGTCTTCAGGCGCGCACACAGTGGAGGGCAACGTGGCCGGGTCCAGGGCTTCGAAGCTGAGCAAGCAGCGCGAAATGCAGCAGAAGGAATACGAAGCCAAGCGCCTGGACATCGAAAAGACCAACCGTCGAGGAACGCGCATCGACGAGAACTTCCAGTCGCACCAGGACGACGACGAGAGCGAGTTCAAGGCATGTCTTGGCGATGTTTTGACGTTGTGCATTATTTCATCTCCACGCTAATGCTATTAGTGGATTCGTATAGCGTCAAACGGTGGGGTTGGTGACAGCAGAGGAATTTCGAAAGAAGCGCGAGAACCTCCAGAACCGCAAAAGCTCTCGAGTTGATGTGCAGTGCGTATTATAGCAGTTTTAAACGATAAGGTGATGTGTTGATGGGTTATTGTATCTTTGGGGCTGTCGGCTCTACTGACAATAGATCAGAGGAGCAGCAGAAGGAGCCGAAGAAGAAGAAGAAACGAAAAGCCAAAAAGATGGGTCCACTGTCGTTCGACATGGACGACAATGACGCAGACGAGGAGGAGACTACGAGGCCTACACGCGCTAAGAAAAGCATCAAGAATCCGAATGTGGAGACGGATTTCTTACCCGACAAGGAACGCGAAAAAGAGGAGGCTCGTGAGCGACAGCAGCTTCGTGTCGAATGGGAAGTGGAGCAAGAACGCATCAAAAGTACGTATCGCTGGGCGGTGAGCTGTGTTTCTTCCCGTTGCTAATGACTATCATGATGTAGATGAAGATGTTGCAGTAACGTATAGCTACTGGGATGGCTCTGGACACCGTCGGGAGATCACGGTTTGTAGAACGCCATGTGTGTTAGTGTCGTAAATATTAACTAGAAAGGCTTCACCTTTTGCTTACTTTTGTAGATCCCAAAGAAGACAACAATCGGCAAGTACCTCGAGCTTGTCAAGCAGCAACTGATGACCGAATTCGCTGAGTTGCGTGGTGTCAGTGCTGAAAATCTGATCTACATCAAGGAGGATCTAATTATTCCTCACGTAAGCAACTTTTGTGCTTGTTGAGAAGCTGGGATGCAAATTAACTTGCTTGTTGCTTTAATTTTCAGCATTACTCTTTCTACGATCTGATTGTGACCAAAGCTCGTGGAAAAAGTGGGCCTCTCTTCCACTTCGACGTGCACGACGATGTTCGCCTTCTGCAGGACCGACGTGTTGAAAAGGATGAGGTAAGTGCAGTTGATCATGCTTTAGTGATATCTTTTAAATGACGTGTCGCTCTTGTGTAGTCGCACCCAGGGAAAGTCGTTGATCGGTATTGGTACGAGAAGAACAAGCACATTTTTCCAGCCAGTCGGTGGGAAGTGGTATGTGGGCGTCATGAGAATTTCTCTCGTGATATTATAGAGACCTAACTGACAATTGTTTTTTTTGCCCGCAGTATGACCCTAACGTTGTTCGCGAGAAGTACACAATCCACGGCGACTAATTACACGTACATATGTAGTAGAGGATCATTTGCTAAGGGCGTGGGGCCATTCCACAGAGAATAAGAAGCAAATGAGCAAATACAACACAAAACCTTCCTTAAGAATTTGAAACCCGAACTGAAATTTGATAACCTATAAAAGTGAAATCAAACTGGCAACGGAAGCAATTGCAATAAAAGATGATACAGGCATAGTCAACAACGTGTACGCTGTTGATCGCGTAGCCCCATGCAGCTCCTTTGCGCAAGAACCACAACGTTTGGAGAGCATAGTAACCTCAGGATAGGCGAGTAGTCTATTCATCCTCGTCGGACTGAATGAACTTGGAGTAAGACGTGTTCTGGCATTCTCCGTTGGCATCGAAGACAGCTTTGTAAAATGACCCATCCGCTCCCACAACTGATAGTATAAAACACAATAGTCAGCCATAAATGAGCTCGGGAGACTTCAATAAAGTGGCACATACCAACGATGGTATTCTTCTCTGTGCCGAACGCACAGATCGTTCGAGTCTCTGGTACACGGAACTGTGCGAAACTCCACTCCGAGCTGAAATATTTCGGGAGCAGTCCTCGCATGAATGATAAGCTGTTGCCACAGTTACGCTTAGAATCCCATCAAACTCCAGCTCTCAGTTAGCAACAGCAGTACCTGGATTTGGAGTTCTCCGTGCCGTCTTCCTCTCCACTACGAGGGGCGCTTCCAGCTGCAAAGTGGGACGGCATACTCTGGGACGGAACATTTCCCATCGTGGTCGGGTCGGACGAGAAACTGTGGCCTGAACCCTCGGCTGTCAGCGAGAAAACGTGCACTGTACCCTTGTCACTCGAGCAAGCGAGCAAAGGAGCAGTTGGGCTAAAGCAAATGCTGTAGATCTCCGCACGATCTGCTCCACGACTGCAATATTTCAAGCGTGTAACGCCGCATTAGTCATTTTGGTCGTCCACTCAGGTCTCTCGTTGGACTATTCCCGCCACTCACCGCAACTCCTGCGTGATCTGCCCACTCTGAGTATCAAAGATACGGATGAGTGTTCCCTTGTCCGATGCCGTTGCTAGCCGTGTGCCATCGAGGTTCAGGCAAATCTGAGAATTCAGAAATGAGCTCTCGCTTCCCATTAAACCCGCAAAGAAACCTTGCAATCAATAGACGCACCTGTGACAGCTCGGCTTCGTGAGCAGTGATGAGCGTAGTTTTCCGCAGGTCGTACAGCTCAATGCGGACGGTACCGCGAGTCACTCCAGGACAAGCCAAGACCGTGTTGGATGGATTCGGGCACAGTGCGCACAGACCTTTGGGGTTTGCAATGGTTTCGATGTGATCCACGAGCTTCAGGTCCGCTGTAGGAAAAAGAAATGTCAGCTAAAAACAATACAGCAATGAGCAAAAACCCACATCGATAACGTACAGAAGTTGTAGACATAGATTTTGTTCTGTAGCACCACCACCACGCTATTAACATACAAAATCTTGATATTAGAACACGTATTGTCATTTGTATACTCACTGTAGCACACTGTACCGGTCGCGACGCAGCTTGACGGCCTTCACCTCGCTGCGGAAGCTGAGCTCTCCGATGTTGCGGCTCTGATGGTCGTCCCAGATCATAACCTGATGAGGCATTTTTTAGTCAGCACGGCGTGTTGCACTCGGCAGGAGCGTCCGTCTGGTGGTACCTTGTTAGGAGGGTATCTCGGGTTGCGTCCGCCTCCCACAATGGCCAGGATGTTGCAGCGAAAGAGCATCTCCACGATGCCAATACCGCCATTAGAGAAGTCTGCAGAAAAATCTAAAGCTGAGACTAAAGAGCGCCATTGTGTAAGTCTCCTGGGAGTACGAACCTCGGTGGAACGTTTCCTTAAATGGGTCGCAGTTGAAGATCTTGAAGCCCGAGTCAGTGCCACAGGCGAAGCAACCTGCACGACCAAAGATAAGGCATCAGAAAGAAGTTATTTAAGAGATGCGTAAGGCGCAGACCCACCGCTGTCCTGGTTGAATCCCACGAAGAGCAGTTCGTTCTGCTGCTCGCGGCTGAGGTTCATTGCCGACATGGTGCTGGGAGGGGAAGACGAGGACTCGGAGTGATCGTCCGCTGTTTCGCAGATTTTCTGAGTCTCTGCGTCGGGAGAGAAGGATGCGGAATGGAACGGGTGTTTGGGGATTTAGTAAACTTCGAGGTATGCATTTGGACAGGACCGGTATTTTTGCTTTTGCTACTCAGGCCTTTAAAACCCAGTATTACTGCAAAATTCAAGTTTCAGCCAAAATTCCACTTAATGTTATTTTAAAAACCTGGGTGTTTAAGCCGTGTGAAAAACACTTTACTGTCGAAAAAGCAAAATTGAAGTGTAGCCATTAAATACATCTGTACAATTTTCATCCTGCGGTCGGCATTGTTATTAATAGCATGTTCCCAGACTCTCTTTCTCGACATGAATAGAGAACTCTGCAGTACTGTAGGATTGTCAGAATAGTAGTTTAGCAGTCGCCATGAGTGGAGAAGCAGTTACCGTCGATTACAGATACTAAACATCAAAGAGCAATTCACTTAAGGCATCGAGTCCTCCGGGCGCTTGATGATCACCGTCTTGTGTTCCAAGTAGTTGCGCAGACCCAGCTCACCGCTCTCCCGACCGATACCCGAGTCTTTGAAGCCACCGAACGGGGTGTTCGAGTCGAACACGTCGTAGCAGTTCACGTACACCGTTCCTGTGCGGATGCCGTTGGAGATCTTGATGGCGTTGTCGATGTTGCTCGTCACCACACCAGCGCCCAGACCGTAGACGGGGTCGTTGGCACGCGCAATTACCTCGTCGATGGTCTTAAACTTGAGAATGGACATGACGGGGCCGAAGATCTCCTCACGAGCAATGGTCATGTCGTCAGTCACGTCGGCGAACACGGTGGGCTCAATGAACCAGCCCTTGTTTCCGTGACGCTTACCACCAGCAAGCAGCTTGGCACCTTCCTTCTGGCCCTCCTCGATGTAGCCCAGGATCTTCTCGAATTGGGTCTCGTCAATCTGTGAGCCCTGGTCCGTCTTGGCGTCGAATGGGTCGCCGACCACACGAGCATTGGCAGCCTCGACTGTGCGACGCACGAACTCATCGTAGATACCCTCTTGGGCATACACACGGGTTCCGGCAATGCAGCACTGCCCCTGGTTCATGAACAGACCAAGCTGCGACTGCTGAATGGCAAGGTCGATGTCAGCGTCATCGAGGATGATATTGGCAGACTTGCCACCGAGTTCCAGAGTGATACGCTTGAGGCTGCTCACGTGCGACGTGCGCATGATCTGGTAGCCAACCTCCGTGGAGCCGGTGAACGCGACCTTGTCGACATCGGGGTGCTGGGCGAGGTGACGACCAGCCTTGGCCCCTACACCAGGCACAATGTTCACGACGCCCTTGGGGAACCCAGCTTCAACAATCAGCTCACCGACACGAAGAGCAGACAACGGGGTCTGCTCTGCAGGCTTCAACACAATAGTGTTGCCAGCAGCAAGAGCGGGGCCCAGTTTCCACGCCATCATGAGCAGAGGGAAGTTCCACGGGATGATCTGAGCACACACACCGACGGGTTCGGCTTTGGTGTAGCAGAGATAGGGGCCCGATACGGGGATAACGGAGCCGTGGATCTTGTCGGGCCAGCCGGCGTAGTAGCGAAGAGTTTTAAGGACTAGTTGCAGGTCGTTCTCTTTGGCGACGTGAAAAGGTTTTCCGTTGTCGAGCGCCTTCAAAGCGGCGATCTCGTCAATGTTTTCTTCAATAAGATCAGCGAGCTTGTAGATAAGTTTACCGCGGTCTTCGGCCGACATAGTCCGCCATGGACCTTCGAACGCGTTACGTGCAGCAGCTACTGCAGCGTCGATATCGACGTTGACAGCCTCCGACACGTCAGCGATCTTCTCCTCTGTGGCGGGGTTGAACGTCTCGAAGGTCCGGCCGTTGGACGAGGGTACGAACTTGCCGTTGATCAGCAGATTGGTCTGCTTGACAGCCACGTTGTACGAGAATGGGCGGGATAGCATTAACGATGAAGCCTTAGCAGCGGTCATGCAAGTGGCCTGAGCGAAGGCATTGCGTGGAATGAATTCGCGTAGGGGCAAACTAAATGAAGGTGCATCGCCACATGCTGACGTTGCAATTCACCGCGGTGCAGAGTGCCGGGTTTGGGATGCAGCCTAAGTCGATCTGCACGGCTGAAACGCCGTCATCTGATAGGAAGGTGAAATAGCTCGATAGCTCTGCGTGAGATGGCCGTACACTTTGTCGTCGACGGTATAATCAGGCTGGCTACAGCATGTACTACATGTATGAACTTACTTTCATGTCAGGCGAGAGCTAAGCACAATTGAGATACATGCTCTCGAGTCTACTACATGTATGTGTATGTACTTCTTCGTCGTAGTATTTGTTATGCCTTGCAGCAAGGCTACTATTTGTCAGACGACGCCAACGGGAACCGGCCAGCACACTACGGTAGCTACGCACAAGCTTGCACGCGCTACCGATGGGGCGAGTTGCCGCATTATTAATTGATCCCACCGCTTATCGGATACGTACTGTTTATTCCCATACGTGAAGCGGACGTTGAAGCAAGCTGATTGTAAACACAGTGGTCATATTCCCTAATCCGACGCCCTTTGTAGCCCGGTAGAAGCACCCTGTCAAATCTGCTAAACAGAAAAAAGATGTAACTGTAACAATCCGTTTCCTGTCTAACCGCTTTTCTGTAGCTGCGGGACGAAGAGTGCAATGACGTGATCATTTTGTAAACTTGCTGTTCATATTCGTAAATCCGATGTCATTTCGCCTTGTCTGATGGTCATATTACAGTACTGTATCTAAATCCGATGTAGCCGCTGGGTGGAGCTCTTGAAGCACGAATCAAAAATGATTTGCAACAAGCAAGTGAATACTGTACAAGTAGACTCTATTACATGTATTTAGAAAGCAGCCCCTCCAGCTTGGAGTCCAGGCTACGCAATGTGCTTCAGCCTGGCCAGCCAGTCGAGCGAAAACGGGGTGCAGTACTTGGTGGCAATTTTTGACAGTTTGACTCAAAATCTGGATTGACGAGGTTACAACAACGACAACAGCTTTTTACTTTATTTAACACCGTTTGACACGATCAGGTTGGACTGCCTTTCCAAAGACGAATGCTTGTACGACAGTGTCGTGACGACACCAAGCAGCAATGCGCGGTCAAGGATCTTGGAATCGGTCCACACAACAGGACCTGTTACAGGTCCTGTCAGTCGCCAAGAAAACGCTCTCAAAGCCATCAACTCGAACGAGTGAATTGCTGCGTCTCTACCATCGAGTATCGTATCTACTTTTGGAAAGTGGAGGTGTTCTTTTAAGAACATCAATTAATAAATTAATAAAGCACTTGGCCAGCCACAAGCTAAAGGAGTCGACAAGTTAAAGGGGTATAACACTCACAGCTGTTCCCAATCAGCTGTGCTATCCGTAGACACGCAAGAACACCCCAGCGTGGGCCAAAAGTAGTCTAAACTCGGTTTCGGTTGCAGTTCTCCCAGATGGACGAACACCACGTGCGGCGCGTAGTAAAACATAAAACAGAGCGGAGCAAAATGCAAAGGAAACGCAAGAAATCCCGCTGAAGCCATTTTTTTAGGCTCAATTGTAATCCCGGCACCGAAACGCCCAAACATTTTAATAAAGTAAAACACGTTAAAATAAGGTTGGCGATCCCTACCGGTTTCTGTCAAATTTTATAAAAAGTACCCGGGCTTAGAACTAACCCGTCTCTTTTATGTGTGCTGAAGTTCAAGCGTTGCTTTCCAAGACACGCAAGTGTGTCCGTTTGAAGCTGTCTTCAACTGAAGAAACACATGCTCTCCAGTAACTTATCGAGCCCATTCGTACAGGTTTGGCAAATTCAGTTCATTGGGCCTGTAATATTTAATACTCCTACAAAAATAGGTTAGCAAAAGAACCTGTCTTTGTGCCGGTGCATTGCATTGGCAAGCCTCATGTCATTTCACTCATTCTACAATTTGCCTCGCACTAAACAAACCAGCACATTAGTACCAATGCAGCGCCAAATTCTGCGTCAAATTCCCCGCGTCCAGGCCAACGCCTTCGCTGTCAAATCCGCTGCGACCGTCGCCAAGGCCTCGCCGCTTGTGCTGTCGCGCCACTTCTCGACGCCTGTGTCGGACAGGGCATGGGAAAAATAGTATAATAACAATATTACGGGTATTATATTTACGGAATAACTTACTATTGATTTTTCCAAGATAAATATAATACATAACTGTACACAATAATACAATATTTTACACGCTTCCAACCATTTCCAGGAGCGCTGACAACCAACAGTTCTCTACTGCCTTGCAAATACACTCTGCGCGCTTTGATTCACACACTCCTCACTTCTCAATTTTCTCTTTAGAGAACAAGCCACCACTCTTAGCCACGCTACCCACCACGCTACCCACGATGACCTCCCGTCAACTCTGCGCATTTTACTTCAGCGACCTCGGTGAAGGTCGCTTTGAGTGTAAATCCTGTGGGCTTCCTCGGAAGCAGACGCCCGGCACGGGGTACAGCAACCTCCTCAGCCACCTTAACAGCAAGCACGCTAGGTATGCTGCTGGGTTTGCAGAACTTCATGCCACGCAGACGCCAGCACTTACCACGTTTGGTTTTGTGGACGATGTGACGCGCAATATCTACCAATGGATGGTATGGGTGATCGAGAGAAATCTACCAATCACTGAAGTGGAAAACAAGGCTACGCGTGCTGTAGTTACAATGAAGCCTACGACTACCAAGACACTGAAGCGGTACATGCGTCATGTGGCTCTAGCCGTTGAAGCAATCATTGCAAAGGAGATGGGAACTTCCTTTGCTTTAATGCTCGACGGTTGGACTAGTCACTCACTTCACTTCCTCGGCATCTACGCGATCTACGTCTACAATGGTGTGCGCCACCAGCGCCTTCTTGCGCTTTCGCCAATGGAAGACGGCCAGACAGCTGAAGCCCACCTGGATCATATATCCACCGTACTGAGCGTGTACGAGAAGAACCTGCAGATGGTGCGCTATGTTGTGGGGGACAATTGTGCAACCAATCAGAGTATGGCTACACGAATGGGCGTCTCCCTCATTGGCTGTGCAAGTCATCAATTTAACCTCGCGGTTAATCGATTTCTACAGGATTACCAGACTCAGATAGATCTGATTCAAAACCTGATGATTCAGCTGCGTCATGTCAAAAATGCTACTGCACTGGCAAAGGCGACCAACTACAAGCCTGTTAAGGCAAACACTACGCGCTGGTCGTCTACATTCCAGATGATTGACCGATATTGCAAGATCCGTGATGCGATCCTGACGGTGGAGGCTGTTGAAGAGTTTGTGCCTCGTGGACATGCGCACCGCCGCGTTAGAGGTGTATTGGACAAGCTTCGTGAGCTGGACAGTGTGTGTGTGAAAATCCAAGCGGAGTCATGCACGCTTGCCGAGGTGCGCCTGTTGTTTGATGCGTGTGCTGCTAAGTATCCTGTCATGGCTAACTACTTAGCGCCAACAGCTGAGATTGTTCACTCGCCCCATTTCGAGTCTGCAATAGTGAAGCTGCAAAATGACCTACCCCTCTCCGCGGATGAATTACATGCAGTCGACAGTTTTATTTTATCTCCGTCTACCGCACAAGAGGAAGTGCCGACTGCGGCGGACTTCGCGACCTCCATCCTCCGGCAAGCCAAGAAGCCGCGGCTTGCATCGCAGGCGTCTGTCGAGTATGATCCTCTCCTGCTCTGCGCTCCTCCGACAAGCAACACGTGCGAGAGACGTTTCTCTGAGTGTAAGCTTGTTTTTACATCGCTACGTTCATCTACTTTACCAGCTAATTTTGAAACGGCCATGTTTCTTCGTGCTAATCGCCGTATGTGGAACTGCTCCACCCTTCTCGGTTGCATCGAAGACTAAGTGATAGCAATATATTGTGATTATTGCAGTGATTATTATTGTGTTGCCAGGTATTGCAGTCTTTATTACGGATGTGATTCACGCAAAATAACACTGGGTATTGTATTTCCCATGCCCTGGTGTCGGTCAAGCAGACCAACCTGCTGATCAACGGCGAGTTCGTGCCGTCTGTCAAGGGCAAGACGTTTGAGACATTCAACCCTGCCACAGAGGAGAAGATCGCCGACGTTGCGGAGGGTGGCACCGCCGACATTGATGCGGCTGTGGCTGCAGCCCGTGCGGCTTTCGATGGTCCGTGGCGTACCATGTCCGCGGAGGACCGTGGCAAGCTCATCTACCGTCTTGCTGAGCTCATCGAGAAGAACATCGACGAGCTCGCTGCTCTTGAAGCTCTTGACAACGGCAAACCGTGCTCGGTTGCCAAAGCCGCCGACCTCGGCCTCGTGATCAAGACTCTCCGCTACTACGCTGGCTGGCCCGACAAGATCCACGGCTCCGTTATCCCCGTATCGGGCCCCTACCTCTGCTACACCAAAGCCGAACCCGTCGGTGTGTGTGCTCAGATCATCCCGTGGAACTTCCCTCTGCTCATGATGGCGTGGAAACTGGGCCCCGCTCTTGCTGCTGGCAACACTATTGTGTTGAAGCCTGCAGAGCAGACCCCGTTGTCTGCTCTTCGTGTCGGTGAGCTGATTGTTGAAGCTGGGTTCCCCAAGGGCGTCGTGAACATTGTGCCTGGTGTAGGGGCCAAGGCTGGTCGTCACCTCGCCCAGCACCCCGATGTCGACAAGGTCGCGTTCACCGGCTCCACGGAGGTTGGCTACCAGATCATGCGCACGTCGCACGTGAGCAGCCTCAAGCGTATCACTCTGGAACTCGGTGGCAAGTCTGCCAATATCATCCTCGATGACGCTGACATCGACCTTGCCATTCAGCAGTCGCAGCTTGGTCTGTTCATGAACCAGGGGCAGTGCTGCATTGCCGGAACCCGTGTGTATGCCCAAGAGGGTATCTACGATGAGTTCGTGCGTCGCACAGTCGAGGCTGCCAATGCTCGTGTGGTCGGCGACCCATTCGACGCCAAGACGGACCAGGGCCCACAGATTGACGAGACCCAATTCGAGAAGATCCTGGGCTACATCGAGGAGGGCCAGAAGGAAGGTGCCAAGCTGCTTGCTGGTGGTAAGCGTCACGGAAACAAGGGCTGGTTCATTGAGCTCACCGTGTTCGCCGACGTGACCGACGACATGACCATTGCTCGTGAGGAGATCTTCGGCCCCGTCATGTCCATTCTCAAGTTTAAGACCATCGACGAGGTAATTGCGCGTGCCAACGACCCCGTCTACGGTCTGGGCGCTGGTGTGGTGACGAGCAACATTGACAACGCCATCAAGATCTCCAACGGCATCCGCACAGGAACCGTGTACGTGAACTGCTACGACGTGTTCGACTCGAACACCCCGTTCGGTGGCTTCAAGAACTCGGGTATTGGCCGTGAGAATGGTGAGCTGGGTCTGCGCAACTACTTGGAACACAAGACGGTGATCATCAAACGCCCGGAGGACTCGATGCCGTAAGCGAATCATACATGAATGTATCAGGATAAGAAAACCGTAAATTCAGCGCTCATTTTTTCTGATAAGCTGAGTCATTTTTCATCGCTATCGTCTTGAACTTTTTTTTAAGTGCACCAGTAAGGTATACATGTAATACGTACGCAATACAGTACGTTGTGGCAATTTTGTGAAATGCGAAGTCTTACGAGAATTGGATATTCAGTTACGCAACCTGCCCCTCTTGCTCTAGCTGTATGAAGTCTACCTACGTCTTGTTTTTATTCTGCGGGGGGGGGGACTTTACTTTTTGCCTCGCCTCTTTCCAACGCTGCCGCCGTAACGCGTTACAGCTTCACGTTTGTTGCGTTTGGCCATAAGCTTCGGGTCCAGCGGAATGTAAGCGTACGGCTCGAGCTTGCCCTTCTTCTTCATGTCACCTCCGGCCTTCTTGGCACGGTACTCGCGACCATTACTGCCGTCATCATCACGTTTGCGCTTGGCTCGGCCATTCTTGTCGTGTTTGCCGTTGTTGAGTCCCATGCGCTGCAGCTGAGAAGCAACATCCTGCTTGATCTTGTCCTCATCGTCACTGTCGCTACCTCCATCCATGTCGTCGTCCTCACCGCCAGGGATAATCAAGCGGCCATCCTTGCTCATCTGGAGCTCATCGTCGCTTAACTCGTCATCGTAACCACCTCTCTGGGCCGAGAAAATGTTCTTCACGGCTGCGTTATCATCCAGGAAATCCATAATGTCGTCCTCTTCCTCACGGATAACCTTTCCGCCCTTGTGTTTCTTGTGCAAGTCCTTCTTCCGCTTCAGCACCTGCATAGCTGCAGCCTCGTCGTCGTCTCCTTCGTCATCCGAGTCAGCCATGAACTCTTCGAAAGCATCGCGGTTCTTCTTGGCAGCACGACGCTCAGCAGCCTCAGCTGCAAGCTCCGACTTCTTCTTGTCTTCGCGTTCCTTAGTCTTCTTAATGTGACGGATCAGAGCACGGTCCTCCTCGGGTACAAGAGCAGCCACGTGCTCGTAGCCGAACTTGCGACACAATTTGATGAGAATGATGCGAGTCTTGGCACGGAAGCGGTTCTTGCTCTCGCCAATCCAGACCAAAAGACCATTAATGATGTCAGGAAGAAACTGTTCCAGCTGGTCCTTGGGTAACACAGCAATACCGAGCTTCATGAAGCCGATCACGCTCTTGATCACCTCGCGAGCCTTTTCATGCAGCAGCATCAGCACTGTCTTGAGCAGCGCCGGCATTGCTTGAGCGATGGAAGGATCTTCACGACCGAACTCGAATACTAGCCGACTGAGGCAAATCACAGCAGCGCTACGCATGTGAGGTGTACGAGCAGCCAGACCACCGAGAACCATCTGGATAAACTCCATGAGACCATTCTGGGGATCACGGGCACGGAGCAGCATGGCCATGGCCACCAACAGCTCGAATGCAGCCTCGCGGGCCTTACCGTTGGCTTCCTTGGTACACAACATGATCTCACCCACAAGATTGGGCACCAACTCCTCCTCCGCCAGTCCGTCGGTAGCAGGCTGAGCCTGAAGAGCTCGGATCAAGTGAGCGAGCACACGGAGACGCATCTTCTTGGCGGGAACCGAGCACGTGAGCAGCGACTCGCAGATAGCACGTGTGAGGTCTTGCAGTTGCGACTCCTCCGACAGGAACTTGGGGTGCGAGTCGCAAATGGCCACCAAAGCGGCGTACGAACGCTTCTGCATGGGAGCATCGGCATCGTCCAGTAAGTACGGCTTGATCACACGGTACAAAAGAGCCACGTTCGCGTCGTCCACGTGAGCCAAAAGAGCCAAAGCAAGAGCCATCTGCGCGTGAGAAATTTGTCGAAGTTTGTTCGCGCGCTTGGAGTTGCTGCCAGCACCTTCAGACTCGACACGCTTGGCTTCAGTTGTAGCCTCGAGCAGCTTCTGCATCACCTTCTTGAACGTCGTGCTGATCAACTCAGTCTCCGCTAGTGAGGCAAAGCCCTCAAGTGTATCTAGTAAAACCTGAGCTCGCTCGGTGTCCTTTTCCGGGTCCAGTTCCTCCACGAAGGAGAGCAGCAGTGGAACATAACGTCCTGCGTACTTAGCCAGAGCAGCACGGTCACGCGCGAGTTTAGCCTCGTCCAGCTGCTCTTCGTTGTCGTCGTCTTCAGCCTCTTCGACATCTTCTAGCTCGGCGTCTTCCGTCTCACGATGGTAGCGACGGGCGACAGATTTTTGAAGAGCACGCGTACGCTTCACCAGCGCCTGAAGACCTTGGCAGACAGCGAGACGCAGCTCCGGGTAACGCTTGTCGGCCATAGCACTAGCGAGAACCTTCGCGATCTTCTTGAAGTGTGTGTCGATATCCACGGCACGAGCACAGACGCTCGGGAAGAAAGTCCAGAGCTGAATAGCGCGAGTTTGTAGTGTCTTCGCTTGCAATGGAGTGACGCTCGCTTCACGTGCTCCAGCCTCGCAAGCTCGAGCCATAGGCAGCACCACATCAGCGAAGAATCCAAGCTCACAGCCACGCTGCGTCACGCGTAGAGCATCACGGAAGACTGGCAGGAGCCATGCACGTCGTTCGCTTACAATGTCGGTTGGATGGTCGATCGGGACGATCTCCAAGAAGGCACGTGGGCCCAAGGCCTCAACAGCAGCACCGGCAGCCAACGCGAACAGCTGAGAGAGCGTCTGAGCGCTCTTAACTCCTTGCTGCTGCCGAGGAAGTTGGTCGGCAGCCTCATGAAGTTCACAGCACGTAACCAGAATAGGCTCGAGTGCTGGACGACCCGCAGGGCCGTAGAAGCGGAATAGCTCGGCAATAAGAGGGAAAACGTGACTCCACGCGCACTGGAAACGCAGCGACGTGAGGCTCTGCAGAGAAGCCAGCACGCGAGCGACATCGGCAAAAGTTGCTTCAGTTTCGAGCACCTCTGGGGTCACCGTAGCCTTCAGAACAGTCAACAACGAGCGTGTAGCTTGGCGCTGGACACGATCATTGTCTGTGGCAATGTGAGAGCACACGGCGCTCACTACGCGCGTCAGGAGCTCGCGAGCTGCATCGGAGTTGACGGTAGCGAGACGTACAAGAGCCTGAGACGGAATACGCACAGCGTAGATGGCTACAGGGCCGCCGTTAGCCGTCAAAGATTCACTGCTGTGTGTATCCAATACAGCGATCACGAGTTTACGAAGCGCGTCTACCGTCAGCTGCGACTCGGGCGCTGCGCTCAATGCATCGAACGCTTCGTACGTTACAAGACGCAGTGTCTTGGACTTGGCGTCCAGAAACTTGGCCAGTGCTGCGACGAGAGAGGCCACGACCTTACGTTGCAGCAATGGCAGTGCGAGCTTGAGGAAGGCAACGAGCAACACAAGACGCTGGTCGTCCTTGCCGTCCTTCTTGGAGCTGGCGAACACGTTCTCTGCAAAGCTGGCAATGTGTGTGGACAGAGCGTCGCAACCTTTAGCGGCGTGCAGCTCTAGGATGTCCATAGTCCACTTGTGTCCGGCCTTGCGCACCTTCGGGCGTGTATCCATCGCAAGTGTCAGCAGCAATTGAAAGCTGCGTAATAGTTCGGGACGGGCCCACGCTGTTGCTGACGGTTCCTGTGCCAGTAGAGCCAAAGCCAGACAAGCGCTGGCCGAGCGTAGCAACGCCGCGTCGTCGCCTGCTTCTTGTAGAACTGTAGAGAGGCACTTGGCCACAGCCGAGAACTTTCCACGAAGTACAGCTTCAGGCACTTCAGGTAGTACCATAGACAGAAGCTGTGCGATCTCCTGACGATGCGAGTCCGAAGCGGCGTCAAGCGCTGTCATGAGTGCAGCGAAATACTCCGTGGGAGAAATCGGAGCCTGGCGATCGCCATTAGCGCGACGCTCATAGATAACGTCGCAGATGGCAGCCAGCACCACATTGAGCTTGGCTTTCTGCGGGTGCGCGCCACCCGCGTGCTTGCGCAGCTCCGTGAACGGGTCCATCGCTTCAGCGTCACTCGACTTATGCCAATCAATGGCTCTTCGCAATACAAAACCACTGGTGGCAAGAATCGAACTTAGCCGAAAATAGAAATTTCTGTTAAAACTATTTAAGTTGCAAGTATTATTTCTAACTGAGGTAAGAGCGTCCATTTTCCATGTCTTGGCGGGTGCCCGCGCTCGTGTTCCTGTGGCTGTGGCTCGGCTTGGCGGCGGCCTCGTCGGAGGTACAGGTGGCCGGCAAACAGCAGGACCCTCCAACCAGTCGCTTCGCCTACGTGACAGTGCACTACGAAGGCACAGCCCGCGACGCAGAGTATGTTCTGGGCGTACAGGTTATGATGCACTCGATCAAGCTCACAGGCTCGCCTTACGATCTGGTGGTGCTGGCGTCTGATTCAGTCTCGGAGAAGAGCAAAGCGTTATTTCGCTCTATGGGCTGCCGCGTACTGGACGTAACCAACATCGACAATCCCTTCGTAGGGGGTACGCTACTTAACAAGGGCTTCATCTACACGCTTAACAAGCTGCACGTATGGAATATGCTTGAATACGAGCGCGTGGTGTACCTGGATGCCGACAACGTGCTGATCCGCAACTCAGACGAGCTCTTCTTATGCGGAGAGTTCTGTGCCGTGTTTATGAACCCTTGTCACTTCCACACGGGTCTACTGGTGGTCACGCCTTCGGCTGCGGAGTATCAGCGACTACTGAGTGCTCTGGGTCACCTTGAGAGCTTCGACGGAGCCGATCAAGGTTTTCTATCGTCCATGTACAGCAAAATGCTGCGTAAAGCAAAGCTATTCACGCCCATGAAGTCGGCGTACACTGGTGTAGACTTGGAAGTGAAGAGATCGGAGCCCGAACCTAAAGGTATGCGACTACCAGTGGGGTACAACATCAACCACAAGTATTTCTACGAACAGTACCATTGGAAACTCTTCTACTTGCGTCAATTTGCGTCCATGACGTCACCTATTAGTCCCGTGAAGGTGGTAGTGGAGTCTGCAAGACCCATTCCAGCACTCACGGTCGGATATCCCATGGCTTCTGTGCTCAAGCCGTGGTATTGGTGGGCTGGATTTTTCATGGACTTACACGCTGTGTGGCACGATATTCGCGCGACGTTGCCAGCGTCACAGGAGCATTACGGAGGAGAGGAGGCTGTGAAGACGCTGCTGGGCTTCTTCAGCTCCTTAGCGCTACTCACTGCTGCGCTGTATGCCCTAAAGATCACGTTACCCATGCGTCAGATCCAGCGGCGATGCACAGACTTGGCTATGCGTAACAGCAAGCAGGCTCGGTATGCTTACAAGGCGTTCCGGATGGCTCTGGTGGTGTTTGCCTTCCGTATCGCTCCTGCACGCGTGCATCCATTGGCTCCTGTGAATTATGGCTACGGACTGATGATCTTCATGAATGTATTCCTGCACATCTACTTCGTCTGTGTGATCTCCAACTTCTGGGATCCACATCAAGAAGTATCAATGCCACCAGTGCTCTACGTGACGCGGTTCTGGCTCTATGTTGCAGTTACGGCAGCATTCGAGGTATTCGTGGTCTGGTTCAGCACATGGAACGTGTTCCCGAACGTACTCTGGAGACTGTTTTCGATCTTCTGCTCTCTCTTCCTCTGCGCGTACTGGCAGGTGACGTACTACCGCGTTACACTCAACGCCGAGTATGGAGGCAAAAAGGAGCGACTTCGTAGTCTCTAGTCAATGCACAAAACGACCAAGGCGATATACTACTGCGATCAAGATTTATTAAAGAAGTCGAGAAGACAGAGAGCTACGCAGAGTGCAAGTCAGGTAGGCATTATCTTGTTCCATGACTCTTTGTTATGTCGACCAAAGACGGAAGGTGCAGTCGGAGCTGGAGGACGCCAAGAAGCGGCCGTTCGGGTCGAACTTGACAGCCTACAAACACAGCAAACACATAGATATATAACAGGACAAGATTGGTGGACCCCACACACAAGAGAGACAGGTGAGTACCGTCATCCTGCAAATATGAATAGAAAAGAACTCAAAAATGCCGCAACGCACCTGGACTGGACCCTCGTGGCCTTTTAGTTCCGTCGCGAGTGACTCCGTTTTCATACTGAAGAGCTTGATGGAGCCATCGTCACTTGCTGCTGCCAGTATCTTACCGCTGCGATCGAATGCCACGCTATTGAGTGGATGCTGTCCGCCGTCAAGCGAGCTGCGTTCGGCTACCATACGCACGTCCCAGACTTTGACAAAGCCATCGGCGTCACACGATGCTATAGTATCTCCAGCAAGTGCGAAGGCGACGCTGTTGCAGGCATTCTGATGGCCGTAAAAGGTTTGCACGCAGAGACCGGAACGCAGGTCCCAAATGGACACCGTCTTGTCTCCAGAACCTGTGCAGATGTTCGTGGAGAATGGCTGGAAACAGACACTATTGACTGAGTCAACATGGCCGCGGAATGTACGACGACAACGACCGGAATGCAGGTCCCAGAGCTTGCACGTGTGGTCCATGGAGGCGCTTACAAGGAAGTCGCCGTCGTGGTGGAATGCGCTCTCCCAGACTGGATGCGAGTGATCAGCTAGAGTCAGTGAACACGCAGCACCCACAAAGTCCCAGAGCTTGACAGTGTTATCTCCGGAGGATGTGGCCACGTGAGCTCCTCGCGGATGGAAAGTTACGCTTGAAAGCCAGCTACGATGGCCTTCTCCACTCATGATAAGCTCTCCAGCAGGTGCCGACCAGAGTTTCCAAGTCTCATCATCGGAAACTGTTGCTACGATAGGGTTTTTTGGGTGGAAAGCAACTGCTGCCACGGAGTTGGCGTGTGCTTGGCAACTGCGAACAAGTTCCACGCGTTCAGGATTCACAGGCTCGAAACGTTTGTCGACGAATGGATTCGCAGCGTCCGAGCTGGGAAGCTTTGTGTCGGGCACATCCGCTTTAGACTTGCTCTTCTTCTTCTGCCCACCTGTTGCAGTCTTTGAAGAGGACGTTGCGCCCAGAGGTGCGACCGGAGCCACTTGTTTGCCTTTTCCCGACGTCTTGGTTGCTATAGGAACCCCTCCAACTGCTTTGAGTTGCGCTTCAAGTGCCTCGGCTTTTGCTACTTGTCGATCACGTTCAATACGCATGAGCATCTTCTCCTTCATGGAATTCTCATACTTGGCTTTAAGCTCCTGAAGAAGAGGCTCATAGGCAGCGACATGCTTTTCGAGCTTGCGGATCTTGGCTGACAGCGCTTCTTTCTCTTGTAACACTCGCTGGTGATGCATCTTGTGGACGTCACGCTGGTGACGGAATTTATCCCACGTGCCTTTAGCTTTCTCAGTGATCTTCCGTGTGTCTTCTAACTGGCGTCTTAACTCCTTGACTTGGTCGTCTAAAGCTTGGTTACGCACGTAAATATCGGGCACTACACCGACGTCGTCTTCGCGTAATTTACCCTTGGCGATAAACTCGTACCATTCGTGGTTGAACATGTCCAGTGTACGTGCGAGTCCCAGTTTAATGAGGAAGTTCCGGATGAAGTCATCTACTACTGAAGGTCGCACTTGAGTGTGGACGCGCGTCGTCATCGATTGCTTCGGACTACCAGCAACGCTGCGATCTGCGTTCGTATCATCGTTGAGGGTATTGACAGAGACTGTTGGTGTCGTCGTGTCTTGTCCGGAGGTTATCCTGGTGGAGCGATTAAGGTTTCGCAGCACTGCGGCAAAGTCTTCCTCATCACCATCGTCGTCCAATTCGAGAGCTTCGTCGTCCACTGTTTCGTACTGGAACGTGTCATCATCGTCGTCATCCTCGGCGAAATGAACCTTCTCCAAACGCACAAGCTCTTCCTTCTGCGGCATCGTAGCAATATCAATTGCCACCTTCAGTAAGCACGCTTAAATGTGGAGCCGACACTCCTATCTTTGTTTTTCGCCTCTTCACAGTTTTTACGTTAGCGATTAGTATCTATTTCTGCTTGGTTTCTTCGTCTATAGAGGTACGTTTGGCACTTTGTTGCTCCGATTGCTCTGGAACTGAAGCGTGTAAAGTATCGCTGTCTGTCTTGGTTATGGTTTCTTTATTCCCAGACTCCTTCGACTCGGAGCCTTTAGACTTCTGTGCAGCTTCCTGCTCCTGTCGTTGCTTCTCCCGCTGCTGATCCATGATCTTCTTGATCTGGTTCTCGATGATATCCTTGTGGTCTTCCGCTGCCTGCTTTGCAAACGTGACCAACAGTGCGTCTTCGCGTTCCAGCTCCAGCTGCTTCCCTTCCCGGTATCCTTCAATAAAGGCCATGAGCACGGACTGCCCCACCAGCAACTTGTCCGCGAACCACGACTGCGCGCTGGTCTTAAAGGTCTCGACATCTTTCTTCTCTAGATTCAAGGCAGCGTCTCGTCCCTCCTTCGCGAGGTGACGCAGCTCGTTCACGTTCTTCTTAAGCGTCGTGGCCACGTCATCTTTGCTGCGACTGTCGTCCACCACTTGCTTGGCGTGGGAGACCACGGCGTCTGTGTCCACGCCCTCGGCTACATGTTTAATTTCCTTGGTGAGAAATTTAACGTTCTCCGCGCCTTGCTCGCCCAGTGTATGCAGGTTTTTATGAGCCTTGGTGCCCTCTAGACTTTTGTCAATGAAGCTGATGTTCTGGCTCGCAGTGTTCGAGACCTGGCCACGAACCGCCTGCACCGCTCGTTTGACCTCCTCCTTGCTGCGTTCCATTTCCTCTTCAGTAGGAGCAGCGAATGAAGCCTTATATTCCTGCCATACTTCGTGGAAGATGCGGCGATGGTCAGCCAGAGTGAATTCCCACAGGTCTACGAAGCGAGGCTTCTGCTGCTTCTCCTCGATCTCAGGTGGGTTCGGCAGACCTGGCACTCGCACAGCAAGCCAGCGATCTGCGCGACGGATAGATGTCTGTACCACGCGCACTGAGCGCTGGAACAACGAATAGCGCTTCACGACGGAAGACCGCGGCATAATTTAAATGAAATGGTAGGTACTAGGTGCACCCTTTATAAACGCTTACACAATTATGCGTCGAGTTGTACAGATCAATTCATATATAGAGGAGCTTAAGCTTTGCTTTTCTGAAACCGATTCCATGATACTTCGGGTTATCGCTTATGACAGTTATTTTGTCGACTTGCCTTTTCGAATACTGTGCAATCTACACGAGAGGCTACAATGGCTCTACGCATGATCGGTCGCCGCGCTGCGCGGCTCGCTTCTGCTGCAACTCGGCCGCTGGTTCCCGCCGCAACTTCTGCACGGGCATCTCCATCTTTGGGCGCGTCGGCACTCCAGATACAAACGCGGTCGTTCGCCAAGGCCAAGAAAGTCAAGGGCGGCAAGGGCAAACCCGCTCCAGTTGTAGACGACGATGATGACGATGCTGGTGACGAAGAGGACGGGGGAGCTGCTAAGGCGCTAGAGAAGGCCAACAAGAACATGAACGGCGCTGTGGTCAACTTCACGCGGGCATTGAGCCAGATGCGCCCAGGACGTGCCGACGCCGGCATCTTTGACGAATTGCACGTACCGGCGTACGGCCAGCATGTGCCGCTCGCGCAGGTGGCACAGGTGGCTGTTGCAGGCACACACGCGCTTAGTGTGACAGTGTACGACCCGTCGGTAAGCTATGCTGCTGTTGTAGAGGAGAGAAGAGCGTATGCTGACTGGTTTTTGCAATGTACAGCTCATGCCGGACGTGAAGAAGGCAATTGAAGGCACGAACGCCGTTTACTCTGTGCGTGAGGACGTGAGCTCGCTTGAAATCTCCTTTCCTAAGTACGTGGCTGCTGATACGTGATAGACTGTGCTGTGGGTGCTAATAAGTGAATCGTTCGCAGGATGTCGAAGGAGACTCGTGCTGACCTGCTCAAGGCCACCAAGAAGCAGGCGGAACAGGCTCGACAACACGTGCGTCGTGTGCGACAGGATGCCATGAACCACGCTAAGAAGCTCAAGGACGCGGTGTCTGAAGATGACGTCGAAGTGCAGAAGGAACGCATCCAGAAGGCCACAGACAGCGCCATCGCCGAGATCGACAAGCTGCTGGCTGCTAAGGAGAAGGACCTCAACACTGTCTGAGAGATAGGCACTTAGGACTCGACTGGCATAGAATACAGATGACAATGGTGCGTTTGGTTGCCCGGTACAAGGGTACAATGAAGTCTTGATGTCGTTGCATCCCTACCTCTACAAGATGCTCCATTGGTTGCGCACCCGAACGGCCATGTGACGCACAAGTCGCTTGCGGTCATCAAGCACTAGCAACAGTTTCCGCAGCACGATATCCTTGTACGGATGCACGAGCTCATACGGGATGGTAGCCAACTTAGCAAGGCATTCCAGCGCAGCATGTCGGTCCTTGGCAGCAGGTCTGTTCGTCATCATACCCACAAGTCAGCTCACACATTTAACTGTCGCTACAAGAGACCACGTACCCGAACTGTGCTTGCTTGAGTAGACCCGGGAAGACGTCCTTGAGGAAGGGCTTCGCGCTCTCCACTGACTCCAAAAGCAGCGGCTTAAACGTCTGAATGGCTGCGCTACCTAGCTCACGGTCGTCCGTGTTGAGAGCTTGTACCATAAGCGGGAAGATCTGAGCCAAGTGTGGCAGGTAGATGGCCTTAGGTGAGTGTGCGATCACTTGAGCGAACGCTACCAGAGCTGCTACACTCGATTCCTCGTCAATGCGAGCTCGAATGTACTCGAGCAGCACTGGGAACACCAGATCAAACAATCGCTGCCGGTACAGGAACTAGAGACAACATTACAAGTCAAACTATTGGACAGACCACGATAGTACCAGCATAATTCCTTACCGTGATGAAAGCTCCACACTTGCGGTTCAGTACGTCCAGGTATTCAGACACCAGAAGCTTAAAGGTCTTCGCAACTTCCATACGCAACGCAGCAGCGTGTTGGTCGTCACCTTCTTGCTCCATGTTCACATCGCCATCAGGCGTAAGAAAGCTGCAGAGGAAGCGCAGACACACTGGAGCGTGAACCTTGTGACCCCGAATGACCAAGGCCTTTGCGATCCAGGCATAGATTTGCAGTGCAGCCACCCGCACCGTAAACGACTCGGCCGAGTTACTGATAACAACGGCAAGTTTCCGGGATAACAGCAAGTCGATCAGAGCATCAAACTCAGCGCCATCCGACATCTTGTTCACGATCGAAGCCAGCGACTTGGCCGCGGAGAGAGCAGCATCGGTGTACACAAGCTGGAGCTGTCGAGGGGGGGATTCAGACACCGCAGTAGCTCCAGACTGCGCAAGCTCCAGCAATCTGTTGATGACCAGCGAGGAGTCCGGGAGCGCTACATCACGCGCGGCTGAGTTGATGACTGCAGCGAAAAGCGGTACGAATTGCAGACTTGCCGGCTCTGAAGTATTAGTGCGCAGGAATGCTGGCACCACAGCATCAACCAGCTGCTGTTGAGTAGCTGAGGACACGTTCTGCATCACTGCACGGAAGATTCGAACACAAGCGGAGAGTTTTACTTCGTCCACAAGTCCAGACTTGTAACCTGAAGACGCCGTCGCGCGCGCTGCCAACGTCTCGACTGCTGTAAGCAGTCTGAAGATGATCGAAGCAGATGACGACGCCTTGACACAGAACTCCATGCTGGTACGGTCTCCAGCATTGATCTCAACGATCTTAGCCACAGCATCCAGGATGCAATCCACGTGACGCTGACGGGTAGCGTCACCTTCTGCCTCGCAGAATCCGATAGCACTCTGCTTACCATCGCCCTTCTCCACGCACAAGTCGATGAGCAGAAAAATGGTAGCCTGGAAGATAGATGACTCACGACAGAGCTCAGTGATTGCCAAGAGAGCTTCCTCGAAGAACGAGTCGAAGTTGCGGTTCGAGGCGGTCAGAACAGCTGCTACCCCGGTGCCTTCTTCGTCGTCGTCATCTTCCTGGTCACTTCCTTCGCTGACGGCTGCCATGAGTCGAGCCAGTGAAATCTCCACCACAAACGCTGCATATCCACCGGTGACAGGGTGTTCCCCACTGTTTGTTGAGCCTTCCGACGCAGTAGAAACAGTGGAAATCTCTTTGAGACTCTGCAAACAGGCAGTTCGAACCTCCGCTACGGGGTCAAGAAGCAACATGCGAGTAAACAGGTTGATAAGCGCCTTGACTTGCGCTGGAGCCACAATGGGCGACGGCGGAAAGGTGAGAAGATGGCAAAGCGCTTCCACCGCCACACAACGAGCAGTCGGGCTACTGCCAGGCTTCGTCTGGTTGTCGTGATCGCTGCTAAGGAAGTTCACAAGCGCGTCAATTAGCGCAGCTGCATGGGGACGCATAGGCTGCCCTTGGCCAGACTGGTCGATCTCCCTGTCAATCGTGTCGATGAGCAGCAGAATACGCGCCAAAGCAGCTTCACACTTGGACGGCACGCTGTCACTTCCTGAGCTCTCGTTGTTTAGCTGCTCCACCAACAGCGGCACTGCGATCTTCAGTACATGCGCAAAACTCATGGACGACTCGCGTCCCAGCGCAGCCAACACCTGTCCAGCCGACACGCTCACCATCGAGTCGGCGGCATTTTCACGCAGCTCGCCTGCAGCACGCGCGGTCATATCCACGACGAATTTACTCCACGCATAGGCAGCCCCCGGCGTGTCTTGAGCCTTAGCACGAGCAACAACTCCAGAGAATCGCGAGATGGCTTGACGAGCTTCAGCGATAACCTCCTGCTTCTCGCCGTCCAAAACCTCGTCGTACAGTGCTGTGGCCACTGCGTGCATCTGCAGTAGCAATGCATTCACCGAGTAGCGTTCACCGCAGAACACCAGCGTCTGTATAGCATCCAACTTCGCCTCCACTACAGTAGAAGCGAGTTTCTTAAGCAAGAACGGCAGCACGAGTGGTGCTAATAAGTCCGAAGCTGCAAAGGCGTGGCGTAGTGACAAAATGAGGCCCTCCGACGTGATTCCGTACGGATCGTTAGGCGGAGGAGTGAAGATGATTGGGAAATAGCATGACACAACGTCGAAATATTGCTGCAACAGCGTGTCACTGCGCGAGAACACGGGCTCCAGCTTGGACAGCAAAGTACGTGCTACCTGCATGCACAGCAGCAGGTTACGCGGGTCTTTCTCGCCCTCCATGGCACTCAGGAACGTCTGCGCGAGCTGACGGCCGAGGTCTTCGCTCTGTTCCGCGTCATCTACACTGGCGTCTTGTGCGTCTTTACTGGCAGGTACCGAGTCCAGCAGTAGCTCAACGACTGTCGACTGCATCAGTGCAAGCTGCATAAGGTCGAAGCACATTTTACGCATAGCCTGGCCAAGCTGTGGAATGTGCAATGTCTTGCCGAGCTTCGGGATGAGCGCTACAGTGGTGCGTGGCGACTGAACCTGCGCTGCATGATGCGTCTCCAATGCGAGAAGTGCACGGAGACAAGCGGAGGCACTGGGGAAGTCAGCTAGGCGGTCGGCGAAGAAAGTCATGAGCAGTTGCACGGCGCTGGGCGTGAGTTGCAGTTCTGGGAGGCGCGTGAGCACCTCAGCCAACAACAACGTGGCACGCGATCGAACTTTGTCGTCCCCGTTGGTGAGGTAGGCTCCTAATGCCTGAATGAGCGCCTCCATGCTAACATGACGATGCACCTGCATCACGACGGTGTTAAGTCCTGTCTTTTGCGCGGCATCATCGTTCTCCGGGTCTACGAATGCATCAATTGCAGGCGCCAGTGGCGCGTCTAGGCTGAACATGGCAATCGCTTCGAGCTAATCAACCACTGCTGCGCTGACGCGATGTGATTGGCTCTTTTTACTCTGAATAATTTACTCACTTTACAGAAAATTTATTTCTCACTCGGAATTTTGTTTTTAAGAAAGCAAAAATATAATAACTGTTTGAAAACAGCTGAAGATTTTTCAAAAGCCGCTACTAAAAAGTGCGTTAAAGGGGCTGTTCTAGTACCATTTGCTTTTTAACCAATGGAGCGCAAGGAATGAGATAAACTTATGGCTATAGTTACGGGAATAGCCATTCGAGAAGGATTGCAGTCGAGTCGAACAGTATAGTGAGCGGAAGATGTATACCGATATCTACTACAATGCCTCAGACCACATTCCTTGACGCAGAAGATAAGATGTTAGTCCAGCTCGCTCGCCCGTATGCCGATCGAGGAGAGCGTATTGACTGGGCTAAGGTGTCTAGCCCTATGAAACGGTGGCAGCGCTCGCCAAAATCTTTGTCAAAGCGGCTCAATGCACTTAAGCGGACATACGGGAAGAACCTAGCAGCTTTTCCACGCGCTTTCTTCACTCCAGCACAAACCTCGCGTGGAAGAAGGAGCTCCATCCTGCATCGAATCCGTGATAGAGGCTTACAGCGTCCGTACCAAACGCAAGAGAGATTCATTCAGGCCCGTGCAAGGGAGGCCCACCCAAGTCAGCAACATGTTGATCATGCCGCCGAACCTTCTGGTTCACTACAGGGTTCTGCGAGCCTTTCTGAGGCAGAGAACCAAGCTGTTCATAGCTCACCATGTTTAACAGTAGGTACCCGATCCACGGTACAGCTCTCAATGCTGCAAAACACAGGCTTCTTTCAGCAATGGAGTCCGTATCTGCCGGTCAGCGAGTCAGCGGTTGCAGTGGATACCATTTTCGGAGGTGTCACGAGAAAAACTGTCGTCTATCCTGCGTCTTTGCCGGCTCTAATTGCTGGTGAACTTCTACCTGATGCAGTGAGTGCACTGATTGCAGCAATCGGTAAGATAAAATTGGTTGCCGGCAGTGACGTTTTTCTTGATGTCGGGTCTGGCGTCTGGAATATTATATCACAGTTTGCCCTGGAGACGGACGTTAGACAGAGTATTGGGATTGAATGTTGCAGTGGGTTAGTTGAAGAGAACGTCAAGATCGTTGAAACATTTGTAGATCGCTGGCCAAATTTGCGTAAACTCTACGTTTGCGGTCAAGATGTACGTGATACGGAATTATCGCTGGTGAGTCCTTTTTCAGAGGCAACTATTGTGTACACAAACAATCTCCGGTTTGAGCCTTCAACAACAATCACATCGAGGATGAGTTTGCTCTGATGCCTAAAGCGTGGGTTGCAATATTTACAAGCTCAGTGTGCCCTCGTCATAGTGCTGTCTGCCTGAAGACATTTTGCTGTCGCTGGGAATTGAATAGAGAAGTCAACGTATCAGTAAGTTGGACATCATCCTTAGTAAAGCTGTACATCTACACGGAGCGAAGCGGAGTGAAAACATAATATATTGGCACTTTAGAGAATACTGCGCACAGCTGGGCTTTTTTTCTGTGGGAAATTTGGAGCCGGATCCTTTAGTTTCATTTTGTACAGCTCAGAAGCTTTCATGATGTTCCCTTTGCTCGAGAACAAATGTTGCGGAAGATAAAAGGTGTGGAATTTTTCCCAGCAAGTGAGACCTGGCTGTTGGCAGTAATAAGACTTGGACATAGCGGTGTTGATAGTCTGGCAAAGACTAGCGTTATGAAGAGTACAGTGGTCGGTTAGCACAGTTTCACCGCGGTTCTCCCAGCGACACACTATGCACTGCCGTCGCTTCCTGCTGTAGTGGAATAGTTGTTTTGACGACACCGCAACACATCGTTTTTGAGGACTGTTAGCAGTGTCGACCGATTCAACACCGCACATCCACCCGGCCGTCACATCACCACAAGATGCTGGGGTAACACCTCCACAAGCAGCGTAGAACATCCTTCGATCAATAGGAGCATTCATCCATTTTCCTGAAAGTAACTCTTCGGCTAGCTGAGTGACAAAATCTCGGTGGGGGTCACGCGCTTTGCTCATGTCTACAACTTGTCTCCTCGTCATATATGCATTGACTCGTGCAACGTCAGCTAATGCCATACCAAATTTCTTGTACCACTTTTTGAATGAATGTCCGTCTGCGAGAGAATCGTGCTCTCAACTGATCTAAGCGATCCACCCCCTGCATGTGTGTGTTATACTGAGCCACACACGCTGGAGCAGTGTACGGCTGCTGTCGGCTTCCCACACGACGAGTCAGCTCTGAAGCAGTAGAGCTGTCTGCGTTCGACACCATCTTCACAACTGCACTGTCAAACCACGATACTGCAACCATTTCGTGATCTACTGAAACGGCCTGACGGTATGTTCCCCGACTACACTGTGCTTTCTGTAGCTCTACATGCTTCGAAAAATGATCCCTATTGGCACGCACGGTACCACGTCCATAGAGACCCTTTACCTTGAGTGCTGCTAATAACTGGACGGACATGGAATAGTTGTCGGCTTTGACAACGCGGTTTGAGAAATGTAGCGGGCGAACCGCCTCTACAACTTGCCCTCGTACAGTTTTGAGAGTTTCTAAATCTTCACGAAGCTCCTGAATTTCAGCTGATGGAATGACAGCCTCCGGTCGATCGGAAATATCGCTATCACAATGGACACGAAAGTTCACTGCAATCCATGTAGTCGCACAGCACAACATGTATATTCTGAAGTGATATTTGCCACCCGGCTTCATGGGATTGAACATTATTAGGTGCCGCCCGAACTTTGATCGACACGCCACGCTTGCTTCATCGAGCGATACATTTCTGCCCAAATCGACGTATTTACCTCCCGCTATTTTCAAAATGTTCAGCAAGGATCGAATTCGAACAACCGGGTCTGCTTTACGAGGCAATGGCGGTTCACCTGCAATAGGAATAGATTCTCCAGAAATCGAAGCAGTGGCATCACTGTCTTCACAGGGCTCACCATTCGCAGTAGGCACTGGTCCATGTGTTGCATTAAGCTGTGGTTCGTCGATGTTGGTCTGCACCACTGCACTGCCGCCTGAATTTGTCGCTGTCGACGGCGTTTCGGACGAGGTACCTGTGTTTGCGCTTGCTCGAAAGCAAAATGACTTTCGCAGCAGCTTGAACCTTGTCAGTGGCATTACACTCTCAAGGCCAATGCTGCTGCTACCTAAGAGTCGATCTTCAATTTGGGACCCCCAGTAATTCGCATATTCTCCCTTGTCTACGAGCTTCATATACCACAGTATTCCTAAGAAAGTCATCAACTCCTGCAGCGTAAACAACGGCCGGTGACTCAGTCGCCTTTCACGCTCATAGTTTCGCATAGCTGTGTTTGATTGATGAAGTACTTCAATCCAAAAGTAAACGGGAATGTAGGCGAAAAACGAAGACGATGCCGAATGCTCAAATAAATGTCGATATTCCGCTCGAATCCTAGTTTTTGTAGACCCATCAGCATGTTGATAGAGATCGGCAGGACCATCGATGTGAGCTCTGGGATCAAACTTCATGTTAAATATTGTCTCCACTTCATGCATCGTCGTTGGAAGCTCCACGTCCGGTTCGTAGCGTTTATAATCGTCATCTACCTTCTCAATATCGCTAGCGTCCTCCTGTATTTGAACCTCGCTTTCATCCTCCTCACATAGTGACCTCCACGCCGGTTTGGACGGCGACTTCATGATATTGCTGTAGTTTTCAATGCCGCGCTGCACAACACTCACACCGACATATTCATCTTGTTTTTGGAATTGTGTATCCAACCATTGAATCTCCAGCATAGCTTTTTTCTTGTCAAATCGAGTAATTCGGCCAACGATGTATGCGCTGCCCGCATCACAGTATATTTTCTTCGATTTAAGCCACGCCTCCTTTATCGGCGAGAAAGCTACAAGCTTATTCACGTAAATTCCTGCCATCACAGCTGAAAGCTGCTGTCCCCGCGACGTTGAGGCCTTTTTGCGTTTCTTGGGGGCCGTCGGAGCTGGATCAATGGAGGTGGACGTCAATTCTGCGGCTGCTGTGTTTGATCTGAAATTATCAGCGTTATGGGCAGCGGTGCCATCAAGAGCTGAGGATAAATTGCGCTGTGTCTTTCGCGGTTGCTCGTTAGTGGTTAATTTTTGTTGTCCAGCTTGACTCTGCCTTTTCTTGCCTGTGACAGATTCTGAGGTCTTGCTTTTTGCTTGATTTTCCAGGCTAGTGTGATCAGCTTGGTAAATTGAGCTACCTTGATCTTGTGGGTTTCTGGGATTATGTACTCGGTGCTGATTCTTGCTTCCGCAATACTGTCGTCTTTCAGTAGCTTCATCTGTGCCTTGTAACGTACTAGACCGTCCTTCAAGCATCAATTGCTGCTCTCCGCGGCTAACTAAAACACTGGTGTCTGGTATGGATTCATCCTTTTCTTCTAGATCCCACACAGCTTCTGCAAGAAGCCGAGCGAATGGGCCTGGCTCTTGATGATCATCATGGGAGCCACCAGCGGTCGACCGCTGGGCGCTCGCCATGAGGCAACTTGTCGTTATATCCAGTAATGATGCACCGAGTAAGCAAATCGAATCGTATTAGTTTTAAGAATCCATTGCCATAAGAGAACTGGACAATACAAAACGTAATACTTTAAATTGAAAAAGGTAATCAGCTGTACAACCATTGAGCGTGCAATTTCAATACTGAAACCAAGATATTTGACAATAGTCGAAGCATTCCCGGTGGCCATGCGCTTGTCGTCATCTCTGTGCTAGCGGATATACTTACTGAAATGAAGAGAAGTGCATACTTGAAGTACATCCTTTATCAATGATCTTGCATCATGATGCACCGTCGTACTACAGTACGAGTCGCTGGAAGACGTCCTGATTAGGAATAAGCACGGCTCGATCGAATGTAGCTACTGGTGCGACCAAGTACGCTGCACTGGGGAGTCCAGGTCAATCATTGCAATGTTTGATGGTTGCCAACTACCGTGATACATGTTCGTGGTACATGTATGCTTTTCCAGGCCATATCGACACTGCTGCAGTACGAATCATCGCTTCCAGTGTGAGTCACACTCTTTGACAAGTCAAGGCGTGTCACTATTTTCCGGAATTACGTTTCTAGACGCTGATCTGCCCAGTCCCGATTCGCTGAATAATACCGGAATGCACAAGTGCTCTCTAATATCCAATCACTGTGCATTCTAAAAGGAGCCAAAACAGTCCCTTTTGATAAGTCGATCAATCGCGCGACGACCGATTGCACAATGGCTACAGCAAGGTGGGATAAGCAAAAGGTGCCGTTTCGGCTCCTTTAAACGCGCGTGACTGAGGGTCACTATACTATACAGCGCAAGGCGGACGCGAAAGGCTTAAACCATTTCCAAAACCTTTCATGTTAGTTATTAGAGAGGTGTCGCGAGCCGAAAATTCCTGTTCCAGTCAGATGCGGTGCGGAATAGGATTGTTTCGATTTTGCAGCCTAGTCTATTCACAATCAGATGGTAACTCATCGGATCAAATGTTGGAGTGAAAACACTTTCGTCCACTAACGTTTCTGTTTGGCATTTTACTTTCCGCGCGGAGGAAGACCAGAGGAAGACCCGAGGTGATGCAAGGGCAAGCGGAAAAGGGGGCCTTGACTTAAGCTGCTTAGCAGTGTAGCATGCCACCTCCCCTGAAATCTCTACAGACACCAGGGCCGGCTACAAGGCCCAAGCGCAGGAAGTTCAACAATGGCGGTTT